GACTTGCAGGGCAAGCAAGTGAATTGCCCAGCAGAGGTGGGAGTGTGCTAGCGGATGTCAGAGCTGTCCGGAAGCCTTCAGGGCTCTGTACTTAGGGAGGCGTAGGTAATATATTGAAAAGAGGGGGTGGTGACCATCGAGGGAGGCAGAGGTGATTGTGGAATATGGGAGCTCCAAGGTTAGTGAAGAAGGAGCAGTGAAGGAGTGGAGCTGGATCACCTTATGTAACCAGTTTCCTACATCCAATAACAATATTAGAGTTTGTGCTGATTTGCATACTGACCATGTTTTGGTTGCCAAATATATAATTGTTCACTGTCTAAACAACAATAAACACCCCCCAATGATCTCACCTGATGTATAGATCGTCTATGGATAAAATTCTATATTGACTTTACTATGATTTCTAGTCAATATTACACCTAGATATACATACCACTTTTCAGTAGGATGTGATTTTCCTGATAATTTACTGAAGGAAAACTACTAATAAAATAATTCCGTAATAAATGTTACTCAATACAGGAGTGACCAAACTGCTCTTTCTATCGCTTAGAGTGCATGCTAGTTATCTAGCAGGTTCAGGATTGCTTACTTTTCTCCTGTGGTGTGATAACCAAATATTACTGAGAGATTATTCAATTAAGAAGTCCCCCCACCAAATTCTCACTAATTCTCACTATGACACTTTTGTTCAGCTGTGTCTAACTGACCCTAACTCATGCTTAGAGTGACATGTTAGTTTTATATTAGCTAACAACTAATATTTGCTTTTGTCATGACCTGACATATTGTCAGGGACTCGTCCGGGGTCCAGGGGGTCCAGGTATAGCGTCCAGGACCGAGAGCCTGGCAGGGGGCGGATCAGGCATGCGTACTGACAGGCCCAATGTGGGACAGTGGTCCCTAGCCACTTAGACTGAAGTGGAAAGTTGAGAAGAAGGCTACTTCTTCGGTTCCCACTTCAGGTTTGTTTATATACATGCAGCTTGGATCACATGACGGGTGCCACGTCACCCTCACACACAGCCGTAACCACCCGGGTGTCTCCGTGGGAGATCCCGAGGGTATCCGGTGCAGGCGCGCGTGCTGGGCACAGTGGGAAGTCGCCCGAGGTGCCCGGGCCGGGTACATGGTGGGCGCGCTGCAGATGGGTCAGTTGTACATTGATACAGAGAAAGTCGTCCATGTAGAATAAAGGGGGAATAAAGGAGAAGTAAGATAAGGAGAAACTGAGGAGGGGAGGATGAGGGGGGAAGAAGGGAAAGGGGGAGGAGGTAAGGAAGGGTGGACCAGCGGGGTACCGGGTCAGGTTGGGCCGGGTGGAGCCGGGTCAGGCGGGTGTGCCCTGACACATATCCGTCACTTCCATCAACACATCCTAGTGCCACTTGGCCTGTCCTGCCCGCTATCATCATCATCTGTCCACCCATCTGTCCACCCATCACCCTCATCTGCACTTCCTCCCCTGCGTGTGTACCTTCCAACCTAGGTTGCCTGCTTCATTGTTGTCCGCTTGCCAGCTGGATGGCTTGCTAGACAGCCAGATGGCCTTTTCTCTTTTGTCTGCTTGCGGACTATTGTTCCTCCTTTGTCACTCATTGTTCTTGCTTGCCCCTTGTTGACCAAGTTTTCCGATATTAACTATTTGTCTCTTTCTCCATTCATTAATATCACGCTTGATCCACCACTCCTTCCAGGCTGGTCCTATTTAGTTACTTGTGTTTATAATGCATGTAGGTTACACCGGATGTACCTCAGTTCATATCTCAACTTGGATTCCCCCTCTAGACTCCTCTCCTCATCATAAGGCTTCTGTCTGAAATTGGGACACCAACGTAAGAACGAAGCGCAGCGCTCCACCCAAGTCGCTGAAGCTAAAGTCCCACTCCTCTGACCTTACGAGCCCGGACAACTTTGCATGCCTCGTGGGTTACCCGGATATGCATCTGACATGTTCCTGACAGCTTTTATCTTTTGGAGCAAATGAACCAACCACTGGTGAGGAGAATTAAACTTATATTTCTACCTGAGGTTTGAGAGGGGGCAGAAGTGGCAGCCTTTTATGCTTTTCAGAGGCCTCTCTACTCCCATGCCTCGCACTAGTTACATGTGCTACATTTGTATTACACATAGTTCTAGAATGATATAGGGGCTTGGGCTGTGTAAGCTTAATAATGGACTTAGGACATGACTCAGCAATAAGTAATTCAGTTCTTTGTCTTTTGGGCCAATCTTAGCGGGGTCTTGCAGTGCTAAAGCTATGCTCTACACTGCCCTAATTACGAATGGTTATCTTTAGAAATGACTCAGCTATAAAGGAACTTTCTAGACTGTTCTCTAATTCACCCCTTTTTGTGAAGCCACATCATTACTAATGTTCTAGAGCTTTCCCAATTAATTAACTGATCTGCAGACTTCTGAATCACTTTATGCTTATGATCCAAGATCCAGATCATCAATCATTCCTTTGTTCCAATTTATTTGAGCTTAAAATCAAAAAGTTTTGATGAATCATGGGGAAAATATACAAGATCCTTTTTTTTAGCATTTTCTCCTCTTCTGATGTGATCAAAAACTGTCCGCCCATGCCAGGGAATACTCTGTCATATGGTATTTGGTCCGCCAGACTTCCGGGCACCAATATATTTCCCTTGAGTCACATTACTTTTTGTAAGAATTAGCAAATAAATATATATGAATTATAAGGTGTTTCGCCGTTTGAGCGATATCTCCGTCAGTTTTGAATCCTTTAGAACGAAACAAAAACGTGGATAAATTTAAGAAACAGTCCTTTCAGATGGTAAAAAGATTACAGTCAAAAGCTTACTGGTTCCCGAGATATTCACATTTCTTTCCCAATGTTCCTTCTTATTCTGCCGTCTATGTGCTATTTTCTTGTTGTAGGGATATATTCTTTGAATTTTATATTTTCCTACACCTATGCCAGGTTCTAGGCATGCTTGTAGTAGCTTAAATCTCATGCTACGTGGGTGTGGATAATTATAATGATCTTCTAATGTCTGTCCAGTCTCATAAAGATCATGAGATCTGTTAAACATCTGAACTTGTCACCTGATTGTTGACTATTCTGATAGATCATTGTTTTATTCTTTGAATATTATTTCTCCTACACTGGAAACCTTCAGGACTCCATACTCAGGGAGGCATGGGTAATATATTGAATTGAAGGGGTGGTGACCATTGGGGGTGTCAGAGGGGATTGCGGAATATGGAGGCTCCAAGGTTAGTGATGGAGGAGTGGAGGTAATCTGGAAGGACCAGAGGAAGTGGAGGGTGATGGCCATGGATGGATATTATGGCTCCTAGTGGATCAGATCAGATTGGATCCGGATCAGAATCCGCAGATTTTTAGAGGTTTGAAATAAAATCCGTATCTGGCGGTTAGAAATCCATGGATATGCAGATCAACCGCAGATTGTAGATAAAATGTTCCAAAGTTGCATTTCGTCAGAATTGTCCTTGACGAGAGCTTTCTAACAATCCCAAATTTGTCCATATTGGTGGAGAACTGATGGAAATATGGGGAGAATGGTGGAAAACTTGGAGGTCAAATGCCTAATTTGGGAATAACAGGCCTGGGTGGTCAAATAAGACTTGGAAAAATTGGAAGAAAATATAGAAACATAGGAGGGGTATCTAGAACAGTAGTGACAATAGATCCGTGGATAATCCACTAGGAGCCCTAATGGATATGACAGTGGGGGAGGCAGTGGAATGCCAAGTCCATACATCAATCAGGCATTCCAGCCCCTCTGACAACCATATCCAGAACCGAAAATGTCAGGTGGGATTGCCATGTTAAGAGGAAGAGGTGGGGAGGGCTTATATTAGAGGGAGGGTGAATTGATGGAAGTGAGTGGATTGTAAAAATGATGGAACTCATCTTTGATTGAGGTGGGTGTGAATCAAACACCCCTCCACTTTCCAGAAACACCAACGAGCATTTGATATCTTTGTAATAGCAGTGAGTCCCAAAAACTCCCTGCTTTCCAAAAAGGACAAAGCCCCTGCAAGTGAACATGATAGGAGGGTATTGATGAAAGATCCAGTAACTTGAGATATGAGCAGGAGGCGGAAGTGTACGTCTAAATGATGCATGTGATGATAATTGGAGAGAGCCGATGGGAAGTGCATGAGTGACGCTGTTCAAGAGTGGTGAAGATATGATAGTGAACATCGAGAATTTTTTCACAACAAATACAGATAGGTATAGTCCTTGGGTAAGGAGAAGGAGAAATGCACAGAGCTAGTAAGTCAAGAAACAAAGGTGTGGAAGAAGTTTGTATCCGGGCGATATAATATAAGAAACTACAATGTATAAAAGGCCCTGAGGGGGAGGGGAAACCACACACGTAGTACGGATTAGATAATATGGTGCAGCCAATCAAAAGCTGGCTTCGGGGTGATCCAAGCCAATCAGATGTCGTGAATGAGCGTCCACGAAGATTTATTAGTTAGATTTATCATCATCATCATCACCCGAAATCCCTGATATCTGCGGAAGGTTCAAACTCGGGTGCATGAGGCAGACATGTCATATCGGATGGAACATGGTTGCGTGAGAGCATGGTGGCATGAGAGGCACAGGAAGTGAGTGAGTGTCGACCAGCACGAGGGAGTGGAAAGGAAGCCAGCAAGTGTGGCTGCTTCGATTCAGGCAGGACGCTGAGGTGTTTGGCCCTTCAAACAGCGGTAATTGTAATTTACACTCTGTACCGTAACGAACAAACCATTGTGTCTACGGTGAGGAGAGGGGCTGCAAGCAAGCCCAACCGATACGGGAAGAACACAATGGAAACAGCAGAAACACCACTGGCTGATATCGTCCCTCCATGAAACGCTCTGCCTTGTAATTCACCGCACTTTCACGCAAGGTGGTCTATAGGAATCTGCACGATCGTCTTGGTCGGTCTTCTGGAGCCAGCTGCTCTAGACGAAGGGTAATACAAGACTTGATCGGAGGCTTTGCATGACACTCACTCTCCACCATCTAGATATTCGCGGATCAGAGCCTTTACGGCTTCATCGTCAATTAGACTGAGATCTGGGCGAAGGCCCTCTTCAATAAGCAAATCCACGTCATCTTCCTTGATGTGTTCGAACGGTAAATGCCCAGTATAAATGTGCCAAATCGTCACCCCAGCTGCATATAGGTCGTCTGCACGAGTTAAGGGAGAACGAGTTTTCAGGGAAGAAGGCGATGTGTAGTGTATTGTTGAAGCGTGTCTGCAAGGGGGCTCAGACTCGAGCACGGCCTCGGCAAAATCGATGAATCGTAGGTTCCCAGCCGCATCAAAGACGAGGTTAGATGGCTTCACATCTCCGTGAATGATACCCTTGGAATGTAGCCTGTTGAGCAGAGCACAGAACTGTTGGATCACTGAGAGGCGACGGTTATGGTACTCTAGGCGAATGTCGTCTTGTGGTCCTTGCGTGATGCATCTCCCGAGCCGTGTGATAAATCCCGTAATCTCGCCCTGATTGAAGTAGCGACCGATAACGGGGATGGCGCAATCATTGCCAGCGAGAAGCGCCATATCGACTTCACGACCCAGTCTTTTTTTATCAACAACAACCGAGTTTAGTTTCAATACGCTTTTGATAACGAATTCCTCGTTGTAGACAAATATATAGGAGTTTGGAGAAGCGGAAAACGCATTGCATTGGAGCGACATCTCATGAAGGTCCGATGGCCAGGAGCCCAGTGGATCAGCGAAGAAGGCTTGCGACATTGGTAGGACTTGAATCCACGTGACCTGTTTTGTGCCATAACGTCACATGTAGGCAATGGTCATTGGCTGGTTTCTAAATCAATTCCCATCATTTTTTGTTCGGCCCTAATCACGTGTATATTTCCTTTTAGAGGGGTTTTGTAGGTTTTCTGGCTGGGTTCGAGTCTGTGTAGTCGTCCTACCAGGAAAAAATGCAGTATTTACTTCGTCCTTCATTACCGCCAACACCCGTAAGAGAACAGAAGAATAGAGGAGTTTTAGTGCCAGTACTAAAGCGAATCCGCCTCTGTGAAATCCCCTAGAGGCTCTCTGTAATCCTTCATTCATGCCGACAATGCCAACCCCAACGTACCTTCACTCTGTCCACACGGTTAGGAAAACAGTCGGAAGCTGTAAAGGCGGAAGCACGATCTCGTCGGAAGCTTAAAGCCTCTAGGGAAGAAGCGATGACGATCCGGGATGCTGCTGCCATCCTGAAGGTTGATAACTCCTCCTCACCCCCAAATTCGGAATTTACTCATTCTTGCTCTCAGGCTGTAGAGGCAACCTCTTCAACATCAGCTTTTGAATTGGCCGTCATTACACACCATACCAAGGGGTCCGCTCCTCCACGAAGTCGAATCATATTGCCACGAGACCCAAGATCGAAACCCGAAATCATGCTTGTCTTTGCTGAAGGGAAACAAGCTGCATCAGCAAAGAGGCTCGGCGCTGCTTACGTCGGTGGGGCAGAACTGATTCCAGACGTACGTTTCGTTTTCTTTCTTTATTCATATCTAATTTTCTGATTCGACTCGTTGCTGCTGTTGTTCTGTCACAACGGCAGGTTTTGTCAGGCGAGATCAATCCAACAAAAGTTCTGAGCACCCCTGCACTTCTCCCAACCATCAACCCCAAACTCGCCCGTTTCCTCGGTCCCAAAGGACTGATGCCTTCCACGAAACGCGGGACCGTCACAGACAACATCGCCTTAGCTGTGAAGGCATCACGAGGTGCACTCGACTGGAAGGGTGACAAACAAGGAGTGATACGGATACCCATAGCGAGGATCACCGATTCAATTCAGGATTTAGAGCAAAACATCAGGTTGTTCATAAAGGGTGTGAAGGAGGCGACGGCCGATAAGAACGCTATTCTTCAGAATAAGAAGAGTGAGTTGTCGTTGTCCGCCTTTTCTCTCGGGATGGCATTGTGATAGCGATGTCTAACTTGGTTGGTATAGCAATGCCAAGCGTCCTCCAGGTCTTCCTTAGCTCTACCCGTGGGCCTGGAATTCTCCTCAATGATGTGTAATAATTTATTTGTGGAAAGTGATAAACCATCTGATGTCTCATCGCCCCCCATCGTGCGATGTGTCGCCCACGTGTGATTTGTCGAGTAAGCAGGGAATTACAATGACGAAGTTTTGGATGCTTCAGAAAGACGAAAGGAAAAAACATAAGTTAGGTTGAATGTTAAATGTAAATTAGCTAGGTAAACGCATGGTGACTTAGGGCGATGTAGGAAGTACAAGCATGTCTCAACGACGCGTGCCTTTTGTAGGTCTCGCGGGTGACATGACCATCTCCCCTTTTCCGTCGAACGAGATATCCCACTCTCCAACCAAGTCCAATAGGTCAACTCCCCCATCGTCGTCCACGAGAATATTTGAGTTATCCTTCTCGTCGACACTCAATTGCTTCCCTCTACGACGAATGTCAGGTCCATTCTTGCTCTCCCACGGGAAAGCATCACCCCAACTGGCTTTTCTAGCATCATAATAAGGTTGTTTGCCTTGTGATTTTGGAATCGTGTGTCGAGCAATGTGCCCTTCATAATAACAAGACTCGTCAAAATTAGCAATGTGGATCAAAGCCGTCCTTGCTGACCTTCTTTGGTACAGGTGTCTAGAATAACATGGCCGCTTCGTTTCATGGGAGGGAAAATAATTCGAGGCCAATAATAGCTCTCATTTCGTAACTCCTCTTCGGGTCTGGGCGGGGTATTCACAAAGCTGATTAATTCTCGCCGCCGAACTTCGGCATCGGTTTCAAAGGTCTGGTGCCACTTTAGAGTGACCTCGTCTGAAGCAACTTCGCAGGTACTCGCCAAAATTTGGTCCCCCGAGCTAACAACGTCGGTGTCCTCTACAAGTATTCGTTTCTTGAGACGTTTTTCCAGAGACTGAGCCGGGCGAATGGAAGTATCATTCCAAGTCCCAGAAGGTGCTAAAGGTCGTGGTCCTCTACGGATGATGACGTATGAATAGAGAATATCTTCGTGACCTTTCGAAGCATGCTTCGTTCGGCTCAGGAATGCGGGACGGGAAAGACGTTGGGAAAAGTTGCATATACTGGGTGACGGTTGTTTGGACTGTAGGGTTAGTGGGCATGTTCTATCATGTGGGCACTGACTCAAGCGCAGGACCATGTCAGCCATGAGATCGAAACGGGATGATGAAAATGGACTGACAGGTGCGAGCACGTGCGATCCCGGCGTTTGGTCGTATTCTGACACTGGACCTTCCTCTGCTGGGAATTTTCCCTGCCTTCCTTTCGACAACAAACATCGTCGAGCATCTGCGACAATTTTGAAACCTTCCGCCGTCCCATGATCGATTATGATCTAGGTGGATTTCAATATACGGAACTATGAAAATGAAGGGGAGGGTACGAGCCATAGTGTCAGCTCCAGTATTCCATAGTTCACGGAGCATCTTGAGTCGTGACAGGTCAGTCGGAAGTTCAGAGAGAGTGAAAGCAACCATAGCAATGGTCTCCTCCGGAGGACTGTACACTTTATGCCCATCCTGCCTCACATTAGGCTTCAGCAAACAAGCATGGGTATGAAGCACGATGGTAACGAACGCGACCCCAAAACTTTTCGACCTGAAGCCTTGTCCGCCCCATTGACAGTCCTTCCCGGAAGATAGATCAGCAGGGATTGATCACTAAGCTTGTGAGCTCACCAGCTGTGAGCCTCTTAGATAATGAAAGAAGATTGGGGCGGTTCTCGAGACATAAGTAGTGCTCCACGGTGCTTGAAGCCAGAACGCTTGCAACTCGGGGGGTATCCTATTTGGCCATAATGAGCGGTGCGTTGATCCAACAATTAATTATGCACAGCCTACTTCGTTAATGAGCTTTGCGTCGTCAGTTGAGAGCTTTTCCTTGGTCTTGAACACGGTTAGTGAGGACCTGAAGCGGGCCCTTGATCTGTCCAATGTAAATCGGAGACAGAGTCATGGTACACACCATATTCCAGCTCCCATGGCTGAACCAAAGTCTATCACAGTCTTGACATTCTTCGACCAGTTTTCTCCTAATCGTACGCATGCTTCTGTGAGCACTGCGGAGATGGCAGAGAACTGTCCGGGAAGTGATATGACTGAAAATGCCAGTGCCTCGCGAGGAGTAATACGAAAGGCTTTGAATTTTTTAGGGCCTTTAAATTTGTCCGGAAGCTGGATACTCCATTGAGTCCTAGTTTTATTGCTTCCCTCGTTTGCTTCATGAAGGAAAAGCCTTTTGACGTCGGAGCGAAGCTGATGTTTGTCATTATCTTCAGCAGTACCCATGAGCCAAAGAAAAGCATGTAGTGGCGGGGGCAGCTTACCCGCAATGAGAGATTCCATATTGCGCTCGAGCTCAAATGGAATAGAAATCAACCCAATACGCTTACTCCCAAACACGGCTTCCTGAGAACGCTTTTCGGACCTATCATGCCATGCATCTGTGTCGACTCCCTCGCTTGGGGAACTGTTCAGATGATCGCATGCTTCTGCATCTGTTTTGGGAGTCCCGAGCATCATAGAATTGGAAGACTCAGTGGAGGTTGATGACCTATTCTTCCCCCTATGCTTTTTAGATCTGATCAAGGAAAGGTCTGTATCTAATAGCAATTGCCTAAGAGATGAGTCCAAGTCTGATGAGGAACCGGATGGTGGGTCAGAGGCACAATCCGGAGTCCAATGCAACCACCGTGGTCCCGAAGGGCCACTGAGCCCGCGAGAGCGCACGCAACCGTTGCACAGCAGCCGAGATATCCGCTTAGGGAACATCCAGCAGTCCAGCCTTTGGACTTGGAAAAGGATGCGCACGGGACCGTGGGAAGAATCCTTCCATCAATCTTGAGGAATGAGCGACACAGCCCGTGGGCTAGAGATTCCGGAGCCCCCCAAAAAGCGACCAAGGGTTTCTGGGACAATTGACGACATTGGTTTTCAATCGACTGGTGGTTCTGATTTGAATAGTGTTCGGACAGATGTTTACGACGAGTTGGATGAGGCTAAGTTGGAAGAGACTCAAGAGCCCAAAGCTTCCGATCTGTACCTAGACACCGTAAGTAGTTGTGGAAATTTTCACACTCGACAGGCGTCTTCATCAGGTTCCTTAGTGTTTCCTCAATGATATACATAGGTTAATCGAGCTGTTCTCGACTTCGACTTCGAGAAGTTATGCTCTGTCTCGTTATCAAACATCAATATCTACGGGTGTCTTGTCTGTGGGAAGTACTTTCAGGGTAGAGGGAAAAGTTCTTACGCATATGCCCATTCCATTCACGATGACCACCACGTCTTCATCAACTTGGACACTGAAAAGGTCAGTCTATCTCCCTCCTTTTGAGGCTCCCGCACTCTCCTTCCTAAACTAGTATGAATTAAGGTTTACGTGCTGCCTGATGGATATCCTGTCTCAGACCCTTCATTGGATGACATCTCGGCTGTTCTGAATCCTGTCTTTACGGAGCAGCAAGTAGCGAACCTCTCTAGCCCGCGTCAGCTTTCCAAACCTTCGTACGACTTGTCCTCCAGGCCATATATTCCTGGGCACATCGGTCTCAACAATATCAAGGCGAATGACTATCTGAACGTCGTCATCCATTCGCTACTTCATGTGCCTCCTTTACGCGATTACCTCCTTCTGATGAAATTTTCGGGCAAGGAACCCGAGCTGTTCAAGCGTTTTTCAGGACTTGCGAAGAAACTATGGAATCCACGTCTGTTCAAGGCTCAAGTGAGCCCGCACGAGTTTCTACAGGAAGTTCGTCGGGCGTCGAACGGGAAGTTCAAAATAACTGAGCAAGGGGACCCGGTTGAATTTCTTGGATGGCTATTGAATCATCTGCATCGCGACATGGGGGGCACGAAGAAACGGAACTCTTGTAGGTTGCCTTCACCACACTCTCTTCCGACGTTCATAATCCATTTTGACCAGCGATCATATACTCGACGTTCCAGGGCGAAGTACGTATTGACACGCAACAGGTCTTGGTGAAAGCGGACATGGACAATGAACGACCCTACTTCGATATTGATCGCGGTGAGTTTGCCCCAGTCGCACTTATGCAGTATCCTAACTTCTGCCCTTAGAGATCAAATCTGCTCATTCTCCCTTTCTTTTCCTTGCGCTTGATCTGCCGCCACCGCCGATATTCCAGGATGCCGTAGAGAAGAATATATTGCCCCAGGTCACCTTGGCTCAAGTACTTGCCAAATACGACGGGAAGACAACGCATGTGAGCTATAGGCTGGTGTTCAGCCCATGGAACGTTCCTCACACCCCATGCAGGAGTTCGCTGGCCAACTGAAGAGATGGAGATGCACACGCCTGCCTCAATATATTATACTGCACTACAAGCGTTTCACGAAGAACAATTTCATTGAGGAGAAGAACCCAACCATAGTGAACTTCCCTGTGCGAGGGGCAGACTTCCGTGATGGTAAATCATCTCTTTCACATCTTTCTCGAACCGGATTAAACACTCGTACAGTTTTAGAGGCCCCTCTGCTGGCCACACGACAGTGTATGATCTCATCGCTAATGTCGTTCACGAATCCACCGCAGGCACTACGCGCGATAAAGAGAACACAGTGTGGAAAGTCCATTTGAGGGCTGGAAAGCTTGAAGCCTCTGAAGAGGACAAATGGTATACGATACAAGATCTCATCATCGAGGAAATAGCGAAGGAGATGTTGTTTTTAGGTGAAACAGTTCTCCAGGTAGGTTTGAACTTTGCCAACTTTGAGACTCACACGAATGATAACCAATGCCCACTTTGCCAAGATCTGGGAACGTCGGTCGTAAGATACACCAGCTCTTGAAGGGTACGTGCCAAGCCTTTGGCGTTTGTGTTTGAGTAGTAGGGTCTCATCATAAATGGAACTCATTGACCAATTCGTGCATGCCACCGCAATCCATTCTTGATAGTTACAATCAGATACAATACAAACAAACCCTCCGGCGAAGGGACCACTAAGACGATCACCTTCGAGAAGATGTAATATTATATTCTCAGAAGTGCTCCTTTGTAAACCTGAAAGTGATGTGTTCTGTCGAAGCTGCGTCGGACTGAGCCCGGACGGCTTTTGCCAAACCACTGGGCTGTAATGAAGCCAAGTCAGCGTTTAAGTAGAAGGCTTCCAGGTTGTATCGCTTCTTACCCCACAAAAGAACGTCTAATAGCAAGGTAGGCGAGAATACAAAGTCAGCCACCTCGATGTGTCTGTGTATGGGCATACGTACAACTACACTGGTCTTCAAACTCGCCTCTCTTCCGGGAAAATACGCTCCAGACTCAATCGCCATCCTGAGCCTTGTATAAATCGACTTCCAGTCAGGGCGCCCATACAGAGTTCTTGACTTCAAGAGCGTAAGAGGATCGAATCCAGCATCATTCAAACTGATGTTATACATTGTCGATTGGTCCAGCGACGCTGTAAGGTAGGTAGAGATGCGCAGGAAATTGGCTAGACATGAGGTCAGGGTGTGGTAGAAGGTAATTGGACATGTGTCCTCACGATCGGTCTGGGCCGCCTCAACCTCCGAGAGAAGCGTTTGGAACCAACCAAAGCTTGGCGTATCACGAACAACCCAAATAAACTCAACGCGTTTGAGCGCGCCAAGATTACCTCTGCGTTGGCGGTACCAGATATCTATAAAGCGAGGATATCAGCCCGCTAAAGGCAAAGGTGTTGGTCCTGATGCTTACGCTTAAGAATACTGGCAAAAGGAGTCACGCCAATTCCAGCACCAATGAGAACAGCGACCTCAGCTGTGAACACATCTTCAGCCGGAGCGCCATATGGTCCATCGATGCGTACGAGAGGAAGTCGCGATCCTGCAGCAGTATCAATCTCCACAAAGTCGCCCCGAATGCCGAGGTCGTCGAAATCCATTGACTTCTCAGAACCAGCTACAGCAGCTTTCGTGAGTGAGGCAACAATATCTGGTCCCACACCAACGCGTTCGCCCAATGCTTGGGTCCAGTCACCAACCTGGCGGATGTGGACTGAAACGTATGGATCTTCAGGAGCAGATGTAATAGTGAACTAGGTTCTTCATAAGCAACCACAACAAAATCCAGGTGTGGGCGGACATACAGGGTGCCATTGCCACCTTGACACATCGGTAACTTGAATAAACAGCCATTGACCGGCTGTATACTTAAAACTCGGCTTCCTGATCCGCAATTCCATGGCACCTGATGAGGTGCGCATCAAAAATTGCGTCCATGCGGTACACTTCGAGTGAACTCACCACTTGGGTGCACCAGTACACGTTCCAACTGAGTCTCCCACCGAGCCCTTATTTCCCGGTATACACGCTCTCCAAAATATATGATGCCAGGCCAGATGGTGAATCTCCAACTCTCGTAGCCAAGACAATGCTTTGTCGAGTAGAATGGGAACATTCGAATGTAATCCGGCTCCGGGCTGTCTCGGACAAAGCAGCCCGTAGCATGAGTGTAAAGAGCTATCATGAAGAAAAATGCAAGATGATGCGTGTACCAGAATGCTTCAAAGCATTGGGTGCGGATGCGATGATGGGCGGTCGAGTACCTGATGTGAAAGTCAATGATAATGAGTTGAAAAGGATTTCTTAGAAACATCCGACTTACATGATAACCATTATTAGAAGCATGAAATGTCCTGTGATGCCACCAGCTTGCGTGTAATGAATTTGGAGAGCGAGCTGCGGTCGAAGCTCTATGACCAGTTTCAGCGGATCTGAGTTTCAATCGGCTGGCCAGCAAGTAATACTTACGAGTCCTCTCTACATTCTGGTGGGCGATCGACCAGTAGAAAGAATCAGGTTAGGTGCTGCGATACCCATCGTGAGAGTCACAGGTAGCTTACAAACTAGGGATACCAAAAAGTAAGCGTGTCGTCTAGACAGATATTCGAGAGCTACACACGAAGTTGACATAGTGGGCTGTAGTATGAACCATAGCCCAGAAGGCCATCGAATATGCTACTTGACGGTGAAACCAGATATTTTCATCCAGGGGCATCAACCACTACATTTCGCTCTCAACATCAGCTCTGGGATGGACAAGAGAGAACTTACAGCAAGTTTTGGACGCAGGTGCCTTATGACGTTGCGGAGCATAGGAAGAAGGATGAGTCCACCGTCGTATGCGAGAACAAGACCAGCGCCTCGGGAAGTCCATACAGAGAACCTGAGACTGTTTAAAGGAGCCAACTTGGGGTTCGTTGCCTTGCGATTAACTATTAGCTTAGACAACTAGTAGCTAAGGTTGTCCTGTTACCTGAGCCCACCATCCATAGACAAATAGACCAATCTGGCTCCCAAACCATACAATATTGAAGCAGAGCCGTTTCCATGTTGCGAACTCCCGACGAAAGCTATCCCCAGCAGACATGACAGAGAGCAATGGGTGTCCTTAATATTTGATAAACGGTGTCAACTGGACAGTGATGGGATATGATAGAAACGAGGAACGAATGACAGGTGTTCAGAATTCCAGACCAGCGGAAGGTCGAAGCCTACTCCGAGAAGAGGGATTAGATTCACAAACATTAAGAACAACTTCCGCTGCGCTCACCCAGCAACGACGGACAGAATAAAACAACGAAACAGAAAACCACAGAACCAGAGCGCTCGCCCACAGGGAAGCAAAAGAGAGGGAGACCGGACATCACAGCATGATTTTATCCTACGGCGCCTTTGAAGTTGCCTCGTTGTTTCCTGTCATCACAGCTGGAGTGATGGTGTATCCAAGACTCTGGAGCCATGTCGACGTCGTCGCATCACAAAGGTTGGTGTTGTAATTGATTCACACTTGCCATCTTGGTAACTGTGGTGCATTACCTAAGTAGGACGCCCCGACAACGCAAAACAGTTTTCCATGGATCCCGAAGCCCCAACATCTCCTGATGAACTACTAAAGTTGTTGAAGTTGGATGCGCCTCCTACAGAAGAGGAAATCATATCTCTGATTGAAGATGAATGGCTAACACCTAAGGATATCTTGCCACGCGATTGGCTGGATCGATATCAATTGTGGGAGTGTCGTCTGAGTCTGACCCGTCAAGCGCTTCCAATTGAATTTTGTGTATTAGACATGAATACCGTCCTTTCAATATCCCATCCCTTCTGTCGCTGGCACCTTCGCCACCCACCAGCACTCTTTCATTTGTCCGTGCTGGACTCGATGGCAAAATTACTGGCTACATCGAGGTGCGCAGCCTTCATTTCCTCACGGTTGAGTACATTTCCGATCATCATTCCAACTCGTTATTTTGTGGAAGACGCCGCGCGCACGTAGTGAAGAATCACCTACCACTTCAACATCCTTGCTTCGAGCGTCTGCCCCGACGTCAACCTTTGTCCGTGGAAAATCTGGCTACTTGCCCTTTCGACCAGGTGGCCTCGATGATGCATCTATAGGTGTAGATGGGCTGCACAAACTAGCTAATAGGGACACTCATGGTGCGATCTTTATGACGTAATGCCACCGCATCTGATGTTTATCCTCCAGATTCGTACGCCACTGTTCCCCCTGGATTCGAGAAGGGCATGGAGTTTGATGACCCATCGGGGGAATTGGACGGACGACTCCAGGTGTCCCCGGACGCCCGACATCCCCAGTCTCTTCCCCAATTTATACCTAATGTAAGGGCACCCGTTTGCCTAATAGGCCCCTCTACGATACTAAGATACCTTCAATAGAATCAAGAAGAAAAAGACGCATACAAAGGGAACGATGTTCCAACTTCTTCTGAGGAGATAGATGCTTTCCTGCCAGCCTCTGTGGGCGTCATCGCGACTCCGGTCAATGCATACTGATTGCGAATTCTGATACTAGGTGTTTGCTATTCGCAAGCCCGATGCGAAGTCATTCAGGAAGGCTGCAACGACAAAAAAGAGAGATTGGGCTCATGTTGTGGATGTGAAGAGGGGCATTCCTAATTTCCACGAGCTTGTTCCTGACATGGCACACAAGGCTAGCAACACTTCCGCAAAGGTTACGCTTATTTTGAGACGACCATTTTGCAGTATCCATTCGAGCTTGATAACTTCCAAAAGGAAGCCATATACCATCTAGAAATGGGAGATTGTGTCTTCGTCGCAGCACACACCAGTGCTGGCAAGACTGTCGTTGCGGAGTATGCTATCGCTCTGGCAGGCAAGCATATGACCAGGTGCGTGGAAGGAAGAGCCTAGAATGCCTTTCGATCTCACCTGGAGCTTCTGTGTCGGTACAGAGCTATATACACGTCACCCATAAAGGCGCTTTCAAATCAGAAATTTCGTGACTTCAAGTCCACGTTCTCCGCATCGACTGGAACTACCCACTCCCCAATCGAGGTTGGAATCCTGACAGGCGACGTGCAGATTAACCCCGAGGCGACGTGCCTCATTATGACAACAGAAATTCTTAGGTCCATGTTGTACAAAGGTGCAGACCTAATAAGAGATGTCGAATGGGTTATCTTTGATGAGGTCCATTATGTTAACGATGCTGAGGCAAGTATTGTGTTTGTCACCCATCCAATTTTCACTCACAATTCTCATTCCAGAGAGGGGTTGTCTGGGAAGAAGTAATAATCATGCTTCCAGAACATGTGAATATAATTCTACTCTCAGCCACCGTCCCAAATACAGAAGAATTTGCAGCCTGGGTAGGGTGAGCCAATTCGCCGCCGTAATTGTGACCAAGTGTCACCCTGATACATTTCTCTCCGAAGGCGGACGAAACAGAAACCAATCTACGTGATCTCAACACCAAACAGACCTGTCCCTCTTGAACACTACCTCTATCCACCTGGAGCGAAGGAAATATTCAAGATTATCGATTCCAAAGGAGACTTTAACACCACAGGCTACAAGCAGGCTGGAGAAGCGAGTAAACGCAAGCAAGACAAGGAACGGGAGGCTGCTGGCTTGCCACCGGTTCAAAGGGGTGGGGCTCGAGGTGCCCGCGGAGGCGGTGGCGGGCGCGTTGCCACCGGACGCGGTGGTGGCAACCGTGGAGGATCCATCCATTCTTCTGCCCGGACTGTCCACCAAGACACTCGGAATCTTTGGATCCACTTGGTTGGACTCCTAAAGAAGCCCTTTCAATATTCAACCATCTCTGGCGCCATGCACATATCCCCTTCACTTCTTCCTGCCGTGATATTCACTTTTTCCAAGAAGCGGTGCGAGGAGAATGCTGCTAGCCTGAACAATGTGGATCTCACTAGTGGTGCCAAGGAGAAGAGCGAGGTGCATATATTGTGGGAGAAGGCTCTGAACCGATTAAAAGGTCTGGCCATTTGTTCTCTGTTGTGTATGAGTGATCCTACGGACCCAATTATTGAAAGGGTCTGACAAGAAGCTCCCTCAGATCGAACGTATGAAGGATCTGCTTTCCAGAGGCATTGGGGTGCACCATGGGGGGCTTCTGCCGCTCGTGAAGGAGGTCCGTTTGGATTGTTATTGTTCGATTTGGATCGTACGTTCTGACGTCATATCTGACAGGTAGTCGAACTATTGTTTGCTCGGGGTTTGGTCAAGATCTTATTCGCGACAGAGACATTTGCCATGGTAAGCTCCAACCAAAGGTGAAATCTGATCATTCTGACAGTGACCACGATTATCTTAAGGGTGTTAACATGCCTGCTCGTTGCGTAGTATTCTCAGGCATTCGCAAACATGATGGACGATCATTTCGAGATATTCTGCCTGGTGAATATACTCAGATGTCTGGACGCGCTGGACGAAGGGGTCTCGATGCAAATGGTGTGGTGATAATCGTTACTGGTGAACAACTTCCGGATGTAGGTCGTCGTGATGGTCCGATTCCCCGGAATTTTCCTCATCCTGTTCGTTCAGCAAGCTACATTGAAGACGATGATAACAGGGACTCCTCACAAGCTTCAGTCACAATTTCGGCTCACGTACAACATGATCCTCAATCTCCTTCGCGTTGAAACTCTCAAAGTGGAAGAGATGATTAAGCGTAGTTTCTCGGAGAATGCCACTCAAATGATGGTCCCAAAACATGAGAAAGAAAAAAATGAGGTATATTGATCCCTGAGCCCTGTGGGGCGCATACTTATGCCAGTGTGTTAGATTGAGGAGAAATTCAACGCTCTTTCTCGATTGGACCCCTCGCCGGAATCAGAACGTGTTCGGACTATTACACTGCATCGACGTCCATTGTTTCCGTGGCATCGGAAATTCTGGAGAAAAGTGTGAGTAACCCTGCCTCGAAGATCCTGTCCCCTGGCCGCATCGTAATCCTCCGTGAAACGGTAAGGCTTAATTCAGTTGGGTATATGTAGTGCTCATTACCCTTGCAGCGCTTCCCCGGGAACATCGCAGTTATACTTAGACAGGACAAATTGATGGACAAGGTGGATGGGCATCCACCTTATGTGATCTTGACTCTTCTGCATAAAGAAAAGAAGAGCAATCATCACCGTAAGTGATTTTAATTACGCAAAGGGCGCACTGGTTGTTAATGGCAGGAACAGGGACTGATGGGGATGCTCTCCTACCTTACTGGCCACCTCGTGTCTCCTATCTATCGAAAGATGAGAGCTCCTATCATGTCGATATTGTCGGTATTTCGAGTATTGCACTCGTGACGAATCGAACCATTCAGGTATGTTCCCACTACACGGATTTTCATGAGCTCACTTTGATGTCAAGGTGGACATAAATGAAATCCTAGACCGTCGCCTGCTCAGGGCTCTGAGTGCCGTCAAGGATCAACTGTCGGAATTGCTGGTCGAAATTTCGGACGGTGACTATCAGAGCCGACCTCCTGAGTGGACCTGGTCAAAGACCAGGACGTTGGACTTCCAAATGCTTTTTCAGCAAAAGGATGAACTGGTAAGAAGACTGCAGTCAATGAGCGATGTAACTCGTATTGTCAACTTCGAAAAGAAGGTGGATTGTCTGCCCTTGGTTCTGTTCTCAGGAAGCCGCTGATTCAAGTCCTAGTTTGCCACGGTTCATATTGAAACTATCCTCCGCACCCGAATTAATGAACTAAGGGAACAAATCTCAGATCAAAATCTTGAGTTGTTACCGGACTACAACCAACGAATCAACGTGCTGAAGGATCTACATCACATCGATGAAAATTCCACTGTCCTGCTCAAAGGGCGAGTTGCATGTGAGGTATGTCGATCCATCGACTTGGTTCATCCAAATCACACTATGTCCTTGTTTTAGATCAACTCGGCCAACGAACTTATTCTTACGGAACTTATCTTGGAGAATACTTTGGCCTCGTACGAGCCGGAAGAAGTTGTGGCCCTCTTATCTGCCTTCCTCTTTCAAGAGAAGACAGAAGCAGAACCGGAGTTGACGCCCCCACTTCAAAAAGGAAAAGATATTTTGACCTCCACCGCGGAGAAAATAGCGAAAATCCAAGACAATTGGCAAGTTGGGGGTGCTGGTGCGCAGACTACTCTCAAGTTCGGACTTATGGAGGTGGTCTATAAGTGGGCCAAAGGGATGGTAAGTTCGTGGTACTCTTTCTTACGACGAGTTCACAACTGTTCTTCATCCAGCCCTTCGAGAACCTTACTGAGCTCACAGATGTTCCTGAGGGTACCATTGTACGTGTTATCACAAGGCTGGAGGAGACATGCCGTGAAGTGCGCGATGCGGCTAGGGTTATTGGGGACGCCGAGCTGTTCAGGAAAATGGAGGAGGCCCAAATCAAGATCAAACGAGACAGTGAGCGAAGCTACTGCCCTTGTCCCGCACACTTGCTCACGATTTGTATATTCAAGTTGTCTTTGCAGCGAGTCTGTATTTCTAGGTTTGGAGTATCACAGGAGCAACAGCAAGGTGGTTGAGGCCACTCAAAAGACCCGTCAAATTCGTCCTAGGAATCATTTGACTTCGGGTCCGGGTTCTGACCAGGTCATGTTAGGAGAATATGTCGAGGAGAGTGCTGATGGGCGGGGGAACGCAGTAGTGAAAATGAACAAGGATAGGCTTAAGTGCACAAAGCATTAAATATGGAATTTCTTCTCCATCACTTCGCGGTCATCGACCAATGGTTGCGCGGGACCTGGACCTATGGAGAATCGTGAGAGCTCAAAACGTGTGCTTGTGACAGAATCCGGTAGCTCACTCCCAAATATGTCGCTGACATCCAGCGTCTCATCGCGACCCATTAGAATGTCCAAATGAATATTTGAACGGGCAATAGTGGGCATGTGAGGGATCTGGATGGCGTTGGTGCATCAGAGGGATGGGACCAATCAGAAGGCATTCGCCCACTAAACTCACGGCCGAAACAATCTTTCTTTCCATCAACTGGCGCATCGGTGCGTGCATCCCAAACACATTACGATGCATGCTTAATCTTAAGTTGTCTTGCGTTTCTTCCCACTTCGGGACGAATAAGATTGCCAGATCGAAGACCCATTGGAGCCACTCACGCTGTCAAGCCGTTTCTGATGGGAGTGTGTTGCATTGATTTCAGTGACGAGGCTACGCGTCCCGTAGCGCAGAGAATCGTGCACGCCGAAAGAGTTAGCAGTGGCACGAATGGATGCGGATGGAGGGCCGGAGGCATGGGAAGGAGGTACAACGCAGAGCCTTCTGCTATCCTATGGTGATATTAGATGTCTATGACAGGATTGAAAATCTCCTGGCTACACACCATCGTGTTTGAGCCTTGAGCAGTCACGACGCGTAGGCTGGGGACTTGCCGTGCACCGCCACCTATGTCCCAATCCCACGCTTGACGCTATGCATCCTGTCCTCAATGGCTTGCCATGTCGGCAGGTACTTAAAATTATCTCATTCAAGCCCCGATTCATTTTCTCTGCCTCGTATGCAACCGCAAAAAAAGGACAGCAGCAAGATCCCCGATCAATTCCTTTGCGAAAAGCCTTTAACCCGATTTACCATAAATATCGTTCGAACCTGGAGACGGCACTTCATCGTGCCATACCGTCCGTGGAAGCTCACGAGACAATACACAGGGCGTGGCAGCTACACCAACGTCATCAACGCGAACAGCGGCACGCAGAGCTCACTGCTATGCTAAATAAAATGCGCAATGCTGTGGAGGAGCTGAAAAAGGTGGACGAGAAGTTATTCTATTGGGCCACAGTCCCAAGGGACCCACGCCGACTCATCCAACCAGAGGCAGAGGCGCTGCGAGGGACAAAGGGATCAGTCAGGAAAGCATTGGAGGCACGTATTGAGGGTCTCTTCCCTAGAGAACTCCGGACACCGACGGAAACCCCTTCTATAAGAGGGTGGGAGGAGAACTGGAGGCCGCCCAAATAGAGGGATTTCCACGCGATCACTCAAACATGTCAGTACAACACCCATCAATAACATTGCTTGTGCCATACCCATCTCTGATCTCGCTTTGCAGTGTGTGGTAGCGATACATTGGATAATTATGGGCAATTACTAAAGTACGGCAATGCTAGCTTTAAAACGAGTCCGAGCCAATCCCGATGGCCATGGGTGAGGAAGGACGAGGGAATTCAACGGGAAAATAAGGCGCTTTGAATGACTCAAGTTTGGCCCCATATAGACGGATGTTACAGTCCGCTCCACCAGTACCAATGATCATCTCGTTCGGATGGAATGCCAATGGTGACAGGCCTGGAACTATCGATTCGGGCGCTGCCGTCCGCCCAGTTGGAATTGACGTCCGCCCCAGTGATGATAGATGAGGTTGGAATGAGAAATTGTCCGGCGGAGGGTATATGGTGAGGAATTGCTGGCGCCACTGTGCCGGGGTAATTGCCGTAACACTGAACCGCCAATTGAGTGATCGATCGTCAATAAGGCGAACAATTACTTACGTTGCAAAGATGTTTGCCTCATCGTGGATTGCGAGGCTCTCAAGACCGTAGGAATGAGGCTCAATTAGCGTATTAGGGATGGGTGAACGAATGTCCCATAGGCAAACAGTGCCGTCCACACTGGCCGAAATCATCTCCCGACTGCCATGCTTTTGCCAGTGAACATTCTGAATCCAAGACTGATGGCCCTCACAGGAACGTATGTAGCCACCAGATCTCATCCGTCGATCGTACACATGGACAGATCCGTCTGCATGTCCTACACTGAAAATTTGGCTCGCATCTGACTCAAAAGCAAGAGATGTTACACTGCTCGCCGCGTTTGTGGGGACATCCTTGAATCTGCGGTGAGGAAATAATTCAGGACTTGTGGGCAAACATACCTGCAAACAAAGTTCCCTGTGGGAGTCCCAGACTCTAACTGCCTTAACGTCTCCAGACGCTAGCAGAATCCCACTATATTGTTGCCATGCCAAAACCATACCACTGCCCTTCTTGACAGGGACTCGGTCATTCAGTGCCCGAAAGGCAGTAACAAGTTCAACCGAATCATTTCCTCCATTACAATTTCTGAAGACGCGGACTACCTGATCGCCTGGATTCAGGTCAGTCGATGATGTGAACCCTCCATTGCCACACTTACTGGATCCGGAGAGAACCAAAGTATGATAATCGTTGTTTATGTATTGAAGATGGGTAATCCTGGACCCTGGTGAATTGTTGTTGTAGAAGACACATATCTTCCGTCGCGAAGCCCAATCCCATAGCCTGAGGAGCAAGAGTCAACAGTGGCCAACCAGTATCAGCTAGAAAGTGATAATACCCTATATTATTCAGTCTATCGGCGATTAGGAGATGGTTTTCCGTAGGATGGAAGGCAAGTTGGGATACGTTTTGATCATTGGGCAAAGTTGCTATCAATTTGTCCCATGCATGAGAATCTGAGATTGATTGGAAAGCACATGTCAGTACCAGCTAGCACCGCTTAGTCGCTTACTTACCGGCCATCTCAGCCTGGTCAGCGCTGTCTTGTAAACTCTTCTCGGCAGCCAAACGCTTCAGCATTTGCTCGTTATATAGCTCGGAACCAGGTTCTTCGATTTCGGCCAACTTCAGCAGCATCAGCATTCAGGTACGACACACCAGTCACTTTGCTGGACTTACACCCATCTGCGATTCACTGTAGTATTCCGCGCAAGAATCGTAATAGGTGCTTCTCAATGGTAACGTATCGGAAATCGTATCCAGTTTCCCTAAAGCCAAGCTTGACGAATGACGCTTGTGACTGTTGGAGCGATAATTTTGAACTTCTCCTTTCCTGTCCCAAGGGACTCGACTGCGCTGTCGTTCGAAGTCCTCTTCGACAAGAGCATCCATTATGCTCTTTGCCGATAATTGGGAACCTTTTCCCCCTTTGCCGTTGGCCCGGGAAGCGGGTTCTGCACGGTCTCTGCTAGGGAAGGTTAGCGACGATGGACCGAGAGATGGATTGGGAGGTGAAAGTGATTTCCAGGAAGGGGACAACGCCGCCGACACTGTCGAGCCTCGAGCATCGGCCAGTGAAGCTGAAGGACTGGGAGAGGGTAGAGATTTGGTCCGTGCTTGAAGGTTCCAAGGTGAAGTATATTTAAATGAGTTAAGCCCAGGCTCTGGGGTGACAGCGATCAATGGTATGGAGTCTGGACTTGGAAGTAAGGGAGAAGCAGGGAGAGGTGACCCGGGTTCAGATAATGGGAACGGATGACCGACCGCAAGGTTCTTCAGCGATGCAGCTATTGATGATGTGCGCTTGAGCGTGCTGGAAAGTGCATGAGTTGACATTGAGGAGTCTGATCTCTGAAGGGAAACATGGCGGGTAGCGTTTATTTGGTCGCTGTTCATTGCAGTCGCGGAATTAGCGTGAAGCGACGATTGACGAGATCGCGGAATTTGTAACTTATGACCCGAGCTTGTCACCACGCGAGCAATGGTAGCCGCTTCGTCATTGGATGAGCGTATAGGGAAAGAATTCAGTCCGGAAGATGGGAGGCGGGCAAAAGCAGATTCCACCAAACAAGCCATAAGGTAATCGACCACTGTTTTCGCCATGGCAGCCACCTCAGGGTAGGGGTCGACAGAGAGATCGAACAAAGCTGACCATATGGTAAAAAAGGACGACAACAAAACCCGGTTCTCTTCCTTGATAAGATCGAAGTCACGGTCGGCTCGTGGATCAGCCAGGGTCATCAAGTGAATCCATTCGGAAACTATACGATGAATAGCAGCAAATCCCTCTTCAGGACCATCCGCTTCCAGCATGAATAGCCTACCCACATCAGGGATGTGGGCCCGATTCACCTTATCCCACTCCCAGTATATCCAAGCAGCTATCGTGAACCAACCCTTCCATTCTACAACCAAGGCGCTCAGAAGAACAATGAGTTCTTTCCGAACAATGGGACTAGCGTCATCCCGGCCTGCAAGCATTGCACGCGTGCCAATTGCAATTTCAACCCTGAACTGGTCGCGAGGGTTGAAGGGCAGCAGACCCGTACCGCCCCCACTTCGGTGAGACGGGTCTGGGGAGGACGAGGCACCTAAAAATGTGCCAAGTGCGTACGTAGCTGACGCACGGACTTCGGGTGATATGTCGTGCAACATTTCCATCACCTTATCGTGTGCTGAGTGCTCCATCGCGAGGGCTTTATAGTCATCCCTTTCCGCCCACAAGTTCGCTAAGCAAAGGATGGACCATTGTCGAAGGAGGAAATCGTCGTCGTCAAGTCTAAACATGCATTGCTCAAATGCGCCATGAATAAATGCGCGCTCTTGGCCATGGATATGATCTCGCACGATGACTGACAAGCAGAACGCCGCCATGGCTCGATGCTCCGAAACATTTGGGATCAGAAGGGGGACAGGCCCATTAGGCATGAGAACCTCGCAAAAATACTTCAGCGGGGAGACCTTTAATTTGGGTGCATTTTCACCCTGTGCTTGTGGATCTTTGATTTCAATTTCCCGAGCGAGGTCCTCTTTGCAACTTGGATCGGCGGACAATATACGAGCCCATATAAACAAAAGCACGGGTCGTACATCGGGAGAAGATGATTGGAGAAGCCTGAGAACGTACGGGAATATGCCGATTTCGAGAGCATAGTGCACTGCCCATGGTCCCAAATCCATGAATTGAGATAATAGAATGAGGGCCCGAAGTCGATGTGCTTGGGACAGGAGGACTTGGAGGAGGACGGGAAGCTGTTCAGGGGGGCGCCTATGATTCTCCACTTCATGAGCCTCTTCTGGTCCGCATCCACGAGGTCTCATTGAGAAGATCCGAGCACGCTCGCCTGAGGCTTCATTTAGTATCTTTCCGCGTTTAAGCCAAACCTCAAAGGCGGTCAAATGTTCGGCGAAAAAAACGCTTGGCACGTATCGGTAAGGAAGAGGCGCATCAGGTGCCAGTGGCCGTGGGTCCGGCAAGTGGGAACCCAAACTTCTGAGGATTTCAGGCAGTTGAGCCAGACAACTGTCGACAGCAAGGTCCCAGGCTCTCCACATAGGATGCATATGAGTGGGAGGAAGGCGAGGGAGGGATCGAGGCGTGCAGTCATACGCTCTAAGGACTCGTTCTGCCAAGAGGAAATTACGGAATAACGATGCGGTGGTTAAGTCTTGCCGGAAGTACTTGCGGAAGATTTCGGGTGAAAACACAGACCACGCAATCGTGTCTGTGACGGCAGTGAAGATCCAAGAAAGCTCCCCAAAGGGAGTCCTACGATCCTTGAAATCGCCTGGAATATGGGAAATAGATTCTAATGTGGCATCCGGGAACCTATGGTTATTCTGAAGGACATAAAACCGCAAAGCCATCTTGATCGGTGAGGTCAAACAGGAAGTAAAGACATCCGCAGGAAGGTCAGGGGCCATGGGCAATTCTTCATCCGCTCCGCATGCCAATAGATGAATGCACTCGGACAGCGGGACGTAGTCCGCCGCAAAATTCCCGTCTGGATACAGCTGACGCATTTCCTCATCCTTTGGCTTCGCAAATTTCTCAAAATTATGAAGGATATTCCCAGCAGCCGAGCAGTCCCAAATAAAAAGAGTGGGCGAGCGAATCCAGTCTTGCAGGTCGTTGAGGGAGACGGGTATGTACTGAGTGTAATTGCGATTAAATACCCAAAATTCCCCATTATTAGTGGGCTTCGGTACACCGTGCCCGTTGTAATAAACAAGGGCCCGATTACTCTTAGTGTGATTCCGTAGACTGATCATATATCCCTTGAAATCGTCGAGCGAGGGGTCTAGATAAGATTTGTACTTGCCACGGCTATTCAGTATCTCGAATTGGTTTTGCAGGGCCTTCCCGATTGTTTCGAGAGCTTTTGATGGTGGCATAGTGTGGGGGTCAATCCAGCACTCAAGATGGGCAGCCGGTTGCGTCTTAACTATGTCAGGCGGGTCGCAGCCAATGTTCAAGCATATGATGAGCGCTCCCTGAGTGGTTTTATAGCTTCTCCCGGTCATCCTCCAAAAAGGTTGTTTCTTTTCGACTTGCATGGGATTTCCCCCATTCGTGTGCCGTCGGGAAATGAAGAAATGAAGCGAAGAGCCAGCAGCGCCAAGGGTGCTTGGGGGTGGAGAGTCCTCAGTCTCTTCATAAGACTCTGAGCCTTCTGAATGAGTGAGGTGGGACCTTGATGTACTCTTCGAGTCTCTACTTGTTGATCGATGCCACTCGGCATCTAAACGATGAAAGTACCATCAACAAATCTCCCCATGAAGCATGGAAAGATCGACTCACCAGGAATCGGGTATCCATTTCTTCCCCCATAGTCAGGAGAAACTTCGTGAGCCATCAAAATAAGTCCCTCTTGCGAACGTCTCTGACTCTTCGCAGTGGGTCAACGGTAGCCAATGACGGATGTACTCCTTCCCAGTACTCGTTGACCTCTACAACCGGTTGAAGTAATTCAATGGTCTAATCCGCACGTGACCACTTTCAGAATCACCTTGCACAACTTCCAGAGCCCGCAACAGCAATGGAAGACGATGATATGGAATATTTGGAGGCCGCAGGTTCGGATGATGTTAGTGTTTATTAGCGATGGATCGGCATTTCCTCTTAATGTTCCTCAAGGATTATGGCCTAGAATACACGGACGAAGACGACGAAGGGGTGGCGGCTGGGGCAGATATGGAAAACCAATACTATACAGCGAAGGGTATGCTGTACTGGCTTTCTTTGTGCCTGGATATCTCACTCCCCCGGTCAGCTTTGAAAGAAGACGATCAAGAAACTGCATTGAAAGCATTCCAGGCAATCGTAGCGAAAGAGACCGAACCAACCGAGTGGTATGGGATGCTCCACTCCATTACTTGTCCTCCTGATTATTGCGTTTTATAGGGGATTCAAAGCACTTAAGCAACAGACCAAGCTTCTCTTCTTAGTTTTACGACGCCCACATGAAGCTCTTCGGACATATACCAAACTCCTCACATACACGAAATCTGTAGTGACGCGGAATTATTCTGAGAAGAGTATCAACGGTATTCTCGATTATGTTGGAGACGGGGGGAAGAAAGGTAAAGGCCGTAAAGTGGCGGCTGTGGCGGCGAATCAGGATGTCGATGTCGAGGTACTCCAGAAATTCTACGAAGTCACCAAAGCGAGCTTGGAAGACACGAAAAATGATGTGAGTCGGGAGCGATCCTATCCCGCATTGGGAGTCGTCAACACTTTTGTACCAGCGTTTATCGTTGAAGACCAACTTAAAGCTTGCAAAACTGTGGCTGGACAGGAAAGAATTCGGTCGACTGAATGCAGTAAGTCATTCTGCTCTGCGAGGACGCAATAGAGGTAAATCTGCTGGGTCGCGTTTCATAGCTGATAAGGGAGCTTCACCAATCCGTCGAGGGCGGCGCCAGCGGTGATACAGGGGACCAATCAAGAGGGACGCTGCTACTTGAAATCTACGCCCTTGAGATACAAATGTACAATGAAATGCGGAATTACAAAAAGCTTAAGGTACCAAACCCTCTTTTGCACTTACGACACCTTAGTCTTACATATATTCTTTGAGGAAATATACAATGCCACCTTGGAGGTCCGATCCGCCATACCACACCCACGAATCATGGGCGTAATAAGGGAATGTGGAGGGAAAATGTGGATGGGTGAAAGTAAGTATCCCCATGTTGTTCGATCCCCATGCCTCACGGATTAGCAGAACAGTGGGCTCGGGCATCAACCGACTTCTTCGAATCATTCCGCAATTATGACGAGTCGGGATCCCCTCAGAGAATCCAAGTACTGAAGTACCTTGTACTTGCAAATATGTTGATGGGGAGTGATATCAACCCATTTGACAGCCAGGAAACAAAGCCGTACGTGCCGCACTAGATGTCAGAACGAATTAGCGTAATTATACTCCACTCTTCATCAGATACAAGAATGATCCGGAGATAACAGCGATGACGGACCTTGTTGGGGCGTACCAGCGCCGAGAAGTCCACGAAGCCGAGAAGATACTGCGAGGTGCGCATTTCCCTAATCGTCTTGCACCTATCATTCACATACGCGGCAGACAACAAGGCTACTATCATGGATGATCCATTCATACGATTTTACATAGGGGATCTGCTCCGCACACTGAGGACTCAGTACTTGATTGATCTTATCCGACCGTATACTCGGCTCGAATTATCCTTCTTAGCAAAAGTATGCGCTCTCCAACCTCGTCTGACTCGTCTTCAATGACCCTCAATTCTAGCAACTAAATGTCGACAAGGAAGAGGTAGAAGATCTTCTCATTGGACTTATCTTGGAGGGCAAAGTGAAAGGTCGAATCGATCAAGTGGGGGCAAGGCTTCAGTTAGACTCAAGGTAGGTGCGCTGATGCCGGTATGATATGGTTACTCCAATGGTCTCTTCCTAGCCGAACGCTCGAAAAGAGACGGTACGCTGCTCTTGAAAAATGGACTGAGGGACTCGAGAAAGTGCATGGTAGCATTGTTGGGCGATTTATGGGTTCAGGTGGAACGGTATCGGATACTCGTGCCTTCTCAGAGTTTGCGTAGTGTGTTCTCTGCTACTTGCAATCGTCAATTCAATAACGTGACGTGACTCAAGCTGTCACTTGTTTGTCTTGTTTGTCCTGTGACTTTGAAGTTTGAACCCTCGAGTTGCACCACGTTCTGGGCTCATTACCAATGCCATGTTGAAGCAAAGAGAAGTTGGAATCCCAGCGCATCCTTTGCGCAAAGAGGACGTTCACACACTCACTACGTTCGGCAATCCTTTTGCCGGTGAAGGCGAAGACGAGAGCTCTTCCTATGCAATAGTGACATCGCTTTTGTCGAAAGTGAAGAACACTTTCGGTGCCCAGTCCACTCCTACTTCTACTAGCCCAAGTACAACGCAGATCGTTTCACTCCAAACCGAACCTACGCGCAATGGTTCAAATCCATTCCCACGATTGCCCTCCAGTGGCAAAGATCGAGGCATCCGTGGGCTTGCAGATGCCCGTCGCCCTGCTCCTCCCCTAGTTTCTATGACCCCCGTCATCTCCGAGATCCCTACCTATCTCAATGAGCCCGAGGCCAGACGCCTAAAAATCCTGATCCTCGCTCGGGCTCCCCCATGGAAGGAGACACTACATTTAACACGAGTATTCCAGGATTCCCCATACAAGATGACGCCCGAAGTGTCAGAACTAGCAATAGCCTTAAGCGGAGTGGCACTGCATCAAAAGTCATTCGTCGCCTACGCGGAGATGGTGGAGCCCGTTTAATATTATCCTGACGCTAAATGTTAACTTTCTTTTAGGTTGTCAAAGGACTATTGGATGGATGACGATCTGTGTAAGGAGTGTTATGACTGCAAGAGCACTTTTACTGCTTGGAGACGAAAGCATCATTGCCGTATATGCGGTGAGCGGTTGCACCTAGGGTACGAATGAGTTTCAGTGTGGTTGATTTTCGTTAAGGTCAAATTTACTGCTCTCGGTGTGCAAGCAATATCATCAAAGGAGCCAGGTTTGGTCAGGATGGGCTCGTCCGAATATGCAACATCTGTTTGAAAATGCTAGAAGATGACAATTATGATGATGAAGATGATCGAAGAAGCATTGCCTCCGCCAATTCATCGCCGTTTCCCGCGCATCAGTTGGGAAATTTACAAAACCAGTACCCTCAATCACCATATGCTGCCCAGAACTTGCTTGCACAGAGTCACGACTCCTACAATCTTTTTTCGATCCCTGAATTGCATCGTAGATTTGTTCCAGACACTAATAATCCACTTAACTGGGACGGTGCGGATGCAACGGCTGCACCGTTCCGCAGGAATCTAGAGGACGAGAAAGACGTCGAGCCCCGACCCGGTGCTTTGGAGGAGTTTGCGGCTGAAGCTGGCGAGGCAGGGGGAGCGGGGCCGAAGGGGAACGCGCCTCAGGTACCGCCCATGATTCAGTTCCCATCGCAAGAAGACAAGGAACAATCCTTTATACATTTCCCGGGATCCTCTTCTCCAGATCGTGCGGACAGTCCACGACCTTTACGGTCTCGTGTGAGTTCTTTCGCGACTGATGCAGATCTGGTTGGGCCACCTTTCTTGCGAAGTCGCGTCGCTTCGCGGCTTACAGCTCTCGATATCGGGGAGCCAGGTTGGAGAACTAGACGAGAATCTAGCGCGTGCGTTCGTCATGCATTCCTCAGCCTCCAGCCACTAAAGTTTTCGCAGGTATGCTGCTGAGCTGAATGGAGCATCAATGTTCCACCTCCGAATTTTGCTTCGGCAGCTTTTGGACAAAGAGGGCATACAGAAGGCTCGAGAATGGGAAGAGACATTGATGAAACTCTGCCTTCGATTTGCGTCCCACTTCTCTGTCAACGCCAGACTCCCAGGAGGCTCAATGGATGTGCGGAGAAATATAAAAATCAAGAAACTGCCAGGTGGTCTTCCTCGTGACTCCGAGTATGTCGACGGCGCGGTCATCACCAAGAATGTTGCTCACAAAACCATGTTTCGTGACATCCGCAACCCCCGCATCATGATCGTCACTTTTCCGTTTGATTACCACCGCGTAGAAGGCCAATTCATGGCATTTGAACCGCTCTTGTCACAAGAGAAGGACTACCTCCAAAACCTTATATCTCGAGTCGCTGCTCTTAGGCCCCACCTTGTACTGGTAGAGCGCTCCGTTTCTCGATTGGCTCTTGACAATCTCCTCCGTGCCAATATTGCGGTCGCGCGGACAGTCAAAAATAGCGCTTTACAATTTGTTGCCAAGGCAACTCAAGGCCATGTGTTGACGTCCATGGATAGGCTTGTGACTGAGCCCCAAATGGGACAATGCGCTCGTTTCCGCATTCAAACTTTCGATCATCACCTTATCCCTGGGCGTAGGAAGACGTACATGCGATTTGAAGGCTGTGGCAACGATACTGCATGCACTGTCATCTTGCGAGGGGAAAACCTTGAAACGTTGAAGAAAATAAAAGCAGTTACTGGCTTCCTCATGTTTGCCGTTCGGAATCTGAAGATGGAAACTTTTCTTTGGAAAGACACCGTGATTTCTATGCCTCCAATGCCAACAGACGCCGCACCTCAAAGTTTTGTTCAGCTTGCAAACCGGCGTAGTGAGAACGTTACCCAAAACGTCCCTGGATCAGGAGATTCGAGTCCCAATTCATCAGCGAGAGATGGAGGCGGAATTGAATCTCTTGTCCCTGCTGTTGCTGCGAGCGATGCAAGTCCACTCTCTCCTCGCATTCAGCCTGTGCTTTCGCCCTACTTAATTAACTTCGTATCGATATCATCCACGCTCCGATTTCCTCCTCCATATCCAATTTGGAAAATGAAAGAGTTCGACGATTTAGTGGGTTTTGCGAAGAAAGAGTGGGAGGAGGAAGAAGCATCACGGATTCTTCAGGAAGAAACTGAGAGGTCGCGAGCCCTTTCACAAGCGATCGTTCTAAGAAATGACGATGCTGGGGGCTTAGACTGTGAGGACCTACCCAAGACGCCTCAACCTCGTCGTGCCCCCTCAATCACTCCTGATGATACCACACCTTCCATTGAAACTCGTGCACTGCCTCGTACGGAATCCAAGGCAAGCTTGCTTTCTGGTTGCGGATCCTCTGCAATGCAATCATTGCTTCTCAATCCCACACTGGTGTCTCTGGGTGCGATTGCGGTCGTCCGCGATGTCAGCTGTATAACGAAGCTCAGTGCTTTGCATCAGGCCCGTACTGCGCATGAGGAGTTCAAGAGGATTTGGGAATGGTATCTCCGGAAGAACCCAGATGACTTCGCGATTCAGAAATATCAGTGCATCCATGTCCGCCACTTCGTCATACCGACTCTGGGAATGGATCCTGAGCCCGCATGCTTTCAACCGAAGCTTATTCGCATATCATATTACGGAGAAAATGATTGCACCCTTGGGCAATTCATTGAGGATTCGATCATGGAGTTTCTTGACCCAAAAAAATTATGCCAGGGAAAGGGCTGTCGCAAACATCTTGGAGCGCACAGCAAAGTATACGTTCATCACGAGAGTCGAGTGGTAGTTGCAACCGAACCTTGGACGCCAACAGTAAACCCAGAAAGTTCTATTCCTTCACCGGACAAAATTGCGTCTTTCAGTGTTTGCCGCAAATGCTTTCAGACCACTCCATTCATACCAATCTCGGATGAGACGCTGAAGTACTCTTTTGGGAAGTTTCTTGAGCTGCATTTTTACCCTGCCGATGTTTCTCTCATTCATGGTGCTGGATGCGAGCATAATATCTATCTTCATCATATTCGTTATTTCGCGTGGCGGGGAATGACGGTCCGTTTCCAAACAGAGCCCGTTGGTATCTACGAGGTAGTTTTCCCGTCGATGCGGACAACTCTCCATATGGAGTCACTACTCACCCTCAAGAATCGTGATTACGAGTGGCTTCTCCTCAAGAACGCCGCTTATTGGGACTCTGTCGTCAGTCGGATCACTGAATTGCAAGCTCAAGCCGCTTTTGAATCAACCTCACCGCCGGAATCTTCCAAGGACTCTCTCGTTGATGAAGGAATGGAACTGCTGCGTCGAGTCAAAGCGGACCGTGACGAAGCATCTCGGATCATCCAGGACGCTTACGCAAGCTCTTTTCCCGTTGATACCCTTGCCTTAGGCGGAGCTCGATCATTCATTCAAAACAAAGTGGTGCAATGGGATCTGGAGTTGGAGCGACTCGAAAAGAAACATGCTCTACGGCGGCCCCGGATGCTTTCTGAGAAGGATTTCCGTCGAATGACAGGCTCTCATCATTTCAAGCGTCTGTACGACGATTTTTTCCGCCAACCTAAATCCGCTGCCTCTGAAATTGATGAGAAGTCGACGAATGAGCCTGACGCCCCCATTTCAGAGTCTGAATCAATGGAGGAGAAACTACCGGTCTCTGAAGACGCTGGCCTCCCCGGTGCAGTTCTCCCTGTTGTTGGGGATGTGCTCGCCCCTGTAGCCAAACCTTTGGAAGAAGGGGATAGCGATTCTACCATATCTGCTCCTCGAACAAGTATGTCTGTTTCATTAGAAATCGTGCCATCCAATGATAGGACACAGACTATGCCTTCGCGCGGGGAGGCAGTGCAAGAGGCCAGCAACATTGTGCCTTCTGCTTCACGGCCCCCTTCACGTCTCCCACGCTGGCAAGGAAATGCTGGGCATGTTGCTGATCTGGTGAAACACTTTCAGCCTTCGAACAATATTGAACATTCAACTACGCTTATGGATTTCCCTCCCAGTGATCAGACGACGTACTCTGATTCAGAGGCTCCTTACAATCCCATCCCAAAGAAGCGTATAAGGGTGAGGAGTACCGGCGCGAAAGGTCCCCCACCTCAGGAGTCCGGAGGCTCCGATTATGAACGAAGCTACGCTGCGAACCTTGGGCCGCGTCATCTAGCCCAATCAAAGCGCGCTGTGGGCAAGCTGCGTCCCCCTTCTTATGTTACTAGGATCCCTCCTCCACTCGTGAAAAGGACCCCATTGCCAGCTTATTCCGACGAGCAGATGAGCAGCAACGTCTTGGCCCCGATTCCAGCAGAGAGAGCAAAAGGAAGAAAGTAAGCAGTTGATTGGGAATTTGGCTCGAACCTTGATGATTTTAATGCTACTTCGGGCATAGAAGTGATGAAGGCAGCAAAGCCAGGGCCAAGAACTGTGTAAGGCCTCCTCTCAAGGCGCACGGGTCGAACCGTGTGCTCTCCAGACCCAGTCCTAGGCCTCCTGGCTCTGCGAGTTCGGGTCAAGTCCACACACTAACGCGCCAATTCGAGCGCATTTCCAAAGATAACGCGAAAAAGCACGCAATTGCAAAAACCCGCAGAGCCCGCCCCGTGGCCACAACGCGAGCCAAAGTTGCTTTTTTCAGTTCCATCCGGGAAGCCCCTTTGGACGAATCCGAAGATGATGATGAGGTCAACGTAGAAGCAGACGATGAGGGTGACGGTGGTAAGAACTCGATGAAAACCCCGGCAGATAATGCTCCAGAAGCACCTGCGTCAGTCCATTCATCAACAGAAAGCGTTAGCGGCTTCGCCGATGAAATTGATGCTAAGCCAGCATCTTCTGTCCAGGACGTCAGGCCAGTTGACGAGAATACATTGGAACCTGAAGCCGTCGAGTTATCTGGGGCTGACGTTACAGAAGACCTGCCTCGTCCAATGTCGCCATCTTCTCAACGGACCGATCCGTCTGTACCGTCGAAGTTATCAGAGACCCAAGATACTGGGCCCAGCAGCAGCGCGGAAGGCTCTACAGTAATGAGTACGGTTTCGGGATGGTGGCGAGGAACCAATAATGCGACCCAGTTACAATATCCATTGTACGTGCGCCAAGATGTTTCCCCTGCATTCTCGTATCTCAATGTCGATTAGTGGCGCAGCTGAGCACATGTTCGCGGATAATCCCATCACGTTGCGGGAAGATGAACCAACCTCGATCATTGCATTTACTCTGAAGTATGACTGTTTTCACCACATCGTCGTTGTCTAACTCCATTCCTAGTTCCAAAGATCATCGACAGGCTATTAGCAAAGCACAGGCGGAACGCAAAGCAAAAACCGCGGAGCACTCGGAGACATTCATGCCCGATGACTCGTCCGACAGTCGATCGACGTGGGGACTAATCAACAGCGAGGATGCACCAGATCCTTCAGAACTAATGAAGCATCCAACTAGTGTCACACATTTGTCGTTCCGTACGTCATCTCAAATCTGCTAATTCGCCTATTTCTGATGAAACTCTAGAATTTGAAAGCGGTGGAATCGCAATTTCATGTGCCGTATTCTGTGCCGAGCAGTTTGAACTGCTCAGACGTTCTTGTGGTTGTGAGGATCTCATGATCGAGTCGTTGGCTCGCTGCCATAAATGGGATGCCACCGGGGGCAAGTCAGGGTCGGCGTTCCTCAAATCCAGAGGTTTGTGTCAATTTTACACATACAATACTGGGTTCATCCTTTATCCCAGATGAACGATTTATTGCCAAGGAGATTACGAAGTCTGAGTTAGATGACATGACAAAATTTGCACCGGCATATTTTGATTACATGTCAAATGCAATCTCGTCTAATGTTAGTCTGTTTGATATTGGGCGATCCACATCCACTTGCTCATGGCCCTTGCAGCGCCCAACTTTGCTGTCCAAGATTTATGGATGCTACAAGGTCATCTACAAAAACCCTGTTGCGGGTAAAACAATTCGCATGAACTTGCTTGTCATGGAAAACCTGTTCTATGGACGCAAATTCTCGAAAGTGAGGACATCGGTCGAGCCGAAACAGCATTCATTAATTCGTGTCCCGTAGATCTACGACTTGAAAGGGTCATTGCGTAACCGCCATGTGAGGTCTACGGGCCGCGAGAACGAAGTACTGTTGGATGAAAATCTCGTTCAAAGTAAGTATACTCAATTGTGCCATGTCGTCGGCGCTCAGCGTAATGCATCTAGTGTCGCATCTTGATCCCTTCTATGTCCGTGAGCATAGCAAGCGAATCCTTCGAGGTGCCTTGTGGAATGATAGCAGATTCTTGGCGAATTTGAACATCATGGATTATTCGGTCATAGTGGCGGCCGACTGCATCAAGAACGAGTTAGTGGTGGGGATAGTCGGTTAGTCTCAGACCTCATGGCCATCTTGAACGATGCCTAACATGTTCTGGGAAGATTTCATCCGGACCTATACCTGGGACAAGAAGCTGGAGACGTGGGTGAAAGAGTCTGCCTTTTTAGGGGGCGCGGCGAAAGGCGAACCGACAATAATTACTCCGAAACAATACAAGGCACGATTTAGGAGTGCTATGGAGCGCTACTTCCCTCTCGTGAGTTCATTTGCTTGGGCAAGGCACCCATGCTGACTGAGGCTTCACATAGGTTCCTGACAGGTGGACAAAACAACAATATACTCCAGACGATGAAGGCGATGGCTTACTTGAAATGTGGCCTGACTGGTAATGCTTCAGCATCGATATCCTAATTTCGTTCATGTCATTTACTCCATATCATTGCAATCTCACCATTTGATACCACTTACGCAACTACAAATATGTATTATAGAATATCCTAAACTATAGCGGCCTTACTGTCTCGGCGATTTTCCTCACTCTCTGAACCTGTGCCTGGTTCTTGTGCTCTGCAGCGAAGGATTGTTTCATCAGCTTCTTCTCCGCCCGACGGGTCTGTGGATGGGCACTCTTTAGTATATTATTACGGAAAATGGTAAGGATGGCTACATACCCGGCGTTCCTCTTTGACTGCTCGCCTGCGCGCTTTCCTCTCTTCAGGAGTTTCATCCTTCGGCCGTTTCGTTGTAATGACTTTTCTGCCTTCTACTATAATACAGGTAAACCGGTATTGAAATAGAGTGGGCGCGTGTAATCGCCTTGCAAAAAAGCGCACCTTCGGGTTCGTTTGCTTCTTCACCAAGGACCTCATATCTCAGTGCTTTTCGATCGTCTGTGTTCTCTACGTCGGGCGATGAACTTTTCAGAACGACGTCATCGACGACCGCCATTGGTATCCCCGTGCGTTTGTTTAGCTTTATTTGAGGGAATCGATGATTATTTTTCTTGAGGCCGATGACTTTTGGATGATTTTCCAGGTTGCTGTACGTACCTATTGTTGTTTCAAATGAAACTTATTGAGCGTTCTTGGTGGGATGGATGACTTCCGTACTTAATATGGTTTCAACGTCCCAGCGATCCTCGTCATCATCTATTCCGACGATAGAAGGGAGTGGCATCGCTTCATCTTCTTCATCCTCTCCGTCTTCCACTTGCTCCAATCTCCTCAATATCCGTTCGCGGAGGCTGTCGTCTTCGATCATGGCAGTTCGTAGAGTTCCCAACTTTTCTGCCGCTGTATTTCCTTCTAGAATGATCTTCAATTTTCCGCCGACCAACTCATAGCGGTCAAGGAAATCCTCCATGAGGGATTCGAAGTCTTCTCGAATACGGAGGTCTGGAGCTTCTTCTTCTTTCTCTTTGATCAGCGCTTCGATGACCGCCTCGTCATCCAAATCATCCTCTCCATCTGATTCATACTCTTTCTCGATCTGAGTAACAATGTTAACCGGGGGGGGGACAAATGAATAATAATAATAATAGCGAACTCTTACCTCGGCAAATCGCTCATCTAACGCGGTAAGCCCTTCATTTCGATACATGGATGAACTTGTAAGACTGTACCCAGATGCATCCGATGCACCTTTTCTTCTCCTCTTCCCACCAATGACGGGTAGGCGAGGTAAAGTCCTAACCGTATCTTGTGCTTCCGACCTCCCGTCATCTTCTCCGTCGAGATCACCACTGTCATCGTCCACGTCCGATTTAGAAGCATCAGCAGCAGCGAGTTGCTGCTGCTGTCTCTTAAATTTCGAGAAACGTGTCTCCCAGCTTTCTTCTTCCCAATGATGATTCCCCTCCTCCTTCCCCTTCTTCTTCTTCTTTTTTCAACCTCCTCTCCATTCTCGTAGAATTTGAAACCTGGATCTTCGGTCTTGGTTCGCTCGCCATCTTTGATGAGCTCCCCGAAGAAATCATCCTCAAGACCATCATCTACAAACTCACCATCTTCTAGAGCTTCGAGCGTCTGACGAAGGTGAGGATCCATATCGGGCCGAAACCCTGCAATGGAAGATGGTATCGCTCGGGAGGCTTCATAGGTCTGATCAAGAGTGTTTTCTTGCTTCGAAGGTAGTACTTCGTTCGGCATTACGGATGTAGGAGCACCCTGTTGCTTGAACGCAATTCCATTCCCGGAGTCCTCCCCTTCCTTTCCTTTCTTAGTAGTTTTACTTCTCGACGAGGAAGGTGCTGCTGCTGCTTCGAGTAAGATACTAGCTACACCTTCCTCTTGAACCCCAATTGGACGTAGATGTTGCATGTAGTCATACTCCGTGTCGTCGTAGTAAATTTCGTACATGGATGCTTGGCCTACATTGGGGCGTGACGTGCTTCTCTCTAAGCTCAGTTGGGAAGCGAATGTAGTTTCCAGACCAGCTTCAGATCCCGCCTTAGTGAGTATACCAAGGGTGTCCCCCCCCCCCCCCGAGTTGAGTTAATGATAATAAGTAATACTAGCAGAAAGATGAAAGAAAAAAAAAATGGAATGGGAATGCTCACCTTGCCCAAAGCGTGACCCCGACTGACGTCCCTGAAAACGAGCTTCGAAGCCTCTGCATCGTGTATAAGAGGGTCTCTTTGTGACCGATGAACGAGCTGAAAGCGCTGAACGCCTGGACCCTTAAATGCACTCCTTTTCGGCATGGCTCCTAGGGGGATGCCAATGGGTAGAGGCGACGAGCACACACAGAACCAGCACAGAACGACACGGGAGTTGGTGGCCCATTCAGTCGGTTTCTTCCAGTACAGTAGCGCAAGTACTGTATGTAATTCAAATTCAAAATCCAATTATGTATTCAATCCGAGTTGTAAGAAAAAAAGAAAAAAGAAAAATAACTGCTACAGGATTAAACGTTGAGTGGGGGGACCCGGACGGAATATGGCTGAAAATGAGACAGGAAAGGTATGGTACAACGAAAGTATGTGTGTTTGATAAGGACTAAGGATTAAAGAGTGGAGACAATGGTGTGTTCCTATTGTAGATAGTGAATGTTAACCAAATGAGCAAAATCCGACAAAAAGAGACTGCAACGATATAAACCCATAGGATACCGAATTAACGTCGACGAGGACGACCAAAGTACCCTATTTGAAAGTGCAACTGCTAACGAGGGGCAACCTATATCGCTACACCAATCTCTTCAGCATCCACATGGTGGAAAGCTGATGGGAAACTTGGCAAAGGTGGTGGCAGATGCATCGAGTACTTGCCCATATAGTCTGGAGGAGGGGAAAAAAAAACATATTGGGAAGATCGAAATTCATTAGCAACAGGAAAAATCTCAACGGCTCGGGGGGGGGGGTGACGGGGCGGCAGTACAACGGCTCCCATAGCAACAGGAGAAGAATGACGCGCCTTTGACAATGGAAGCATATTCAAAGTCATCTGTTCGATAAAGGTCGAGGGCTTCGTGGTTCACTGCGGTGTTGGCCTTTGGGCTCCTGAGTAATGCGGGTAATGTGTCCTGGAAAATGATGGACAGATCTGATGGAATACCGAAAGCAAATGGCTCGGTAAGAGCTAAAGTCCAAATGTATGTAGGGTAAACACAGACCGTGCATTGGACTCCAGAATTCGCGAATTATCCCCGTCGCGTCGCCAGAGCTGAGTCATTACTTTCATGAGTAGTCATCAAGATGGTAATGCCAGGAACACGCACAGATCGTCAATATTAGGGTGATATATCCTGTTCATGAAGACGAAGGTAGGGTGTGTCGAAGGGTAGTCCTCTTTGAATGTGACGCGCACTCGCCATACCCCTCCTTCGTATGGAGCTGTGCGACGATACGAAAAATAAATAACCGTACAGAGTCCCTGACAAGGAGCTATAGGAAAAAAAAACCTACTGCCTTTAGGCCCGGAGAAGTTGACGTCGATAGAATTCGGTACGCCTGTCGCTAGATCCAAGCTGAAGCCAACGCCCGTCCTATCTCCCCCCAAGCGACATTGGAATGAATGAACCGTCTGCGTAATCAAAACTCCAAAGCATATAGAGAACGAGAAAAAAAACACGAACAGTTTCATCACTTCCTGCTGAATTCGCTGGTCTAGGGCAGAAACTGACGTTCGCTTCTCTGCGTCCTTGGAGGGTTCTTTGAGAATTGCATTAGAACGTTTTCGTCGGAGCGCCGCCATCGGGAAGGGTTGTACGTAGAGAGAGATTTTGAGGGCAGGAGAAAGGAAAGGATTGTGGAAAATGGTCGAACTTTAAGTGTGTCGACTTAGTAAGGTGGCATGAGTGGGGGGGGGGAGAAACCTGATTTTGTCACTTCTGTGTGACTGCGTGACGTGACCGACGTGTCGGTGTTTTTCGCACCGACAACTCAGCGCTTTGACACCCGGACCGTCCCCAAGGCCACCAGGGTCTTAGGTTTTTTTTGCTGTTCTCCGTGAAGGGTTAGTTGCATTGTTGGCCTGGCTTACAAGGGTTGTGAGTGGCGCGACGGTGCGAAACTGAGGCCGAACGCAGACCGTGGGCAAACCTGAGGGCATCAGGGTCCTGCTCCGGTTTTAGGTTGACAGCCCTATAATATACAGTTCTGCATGCTGTCATTCTTTCTGGAAGATAAGAGCACGATTAGGTGGCAGTTTGTACCACGTCGCTTCACTCGTATTGGATCTTGGTTATTGGCAGCTACTACATTCGAGTGGCGGTGGTCGCTCAAGTGGGTATACATAAACAACTGATAGGATTCCTATCAAATGCGGCACAAACCGAGGGCTCCCTGCTTTGGACAATGGTCTAAACGTCGTCGTTTTTTCCACTACTATCGCATGCGCCACACAGGGTTTCCAGGTTTCGTGATAGGTTGATTGTATTCGTTGGCGCCACTGAGTCATGATGTCAGTGGCTCGGTGTTCCTTCCATGGGTCGCGCGTGTTGCCCCGAGGGGATAAGTCAATAGGATATCAACATGAAGTTAATCCTCAGTGCGATCCTTCATTCTGGCATGCCATCTTCTCAGGAGAATATACTTACAGACTGCAACGACCTCTGATGTGTACGGAGAAGTGCGAAGGAAACCTAGAAGGAAACCTAAGGTCCCGGTCACGAGAGGCCCGTGACATTATCCTCCATCTTACAACAATGCGCTTCGATGCAGCTACAACGGCGTTCATTGAATGCATATCTCAAGACCAGTTCAGATACGAACTTCTCTTCTCTGAACAAAGTGAAGTGCTTAGAACTGATCGAGCAAGATCCAAAGCGGCACAGGCAAAGGTCCAGCAGTCACCGCTTATTGCTAAACCTGGCCAACATTGGCAACCTGCAGCGGACAAAGTCGATGAGTATCTCGCACATTGTGACAAGATTTGTCAGTTGGTGCCACAGGATTTTGAGGAGTTGAGTTTTCTAAATCATTCATCCATCTTTGCTATCTGACAAGTTGTGCAAGTCGTGTTAAAATCGCATATGCAGCTCATGCAGCTCTCATGTGCCTTGTGATTTGCAAGTTTGGAAAACAACCTGAAGTGTGCAGATGGCAATCATCAAAAGGCATCGTGAGTTATGGTGAGTAACCTGGCCTTCAAGTGCCTTGTCTATGTCTTAATGAGGTTTACAGGCTAGCCGTGGACTCTACCCCCCCTCCCACTGACAACCATGAGCCACCTCCTATCTCAAAGCCATCAGTTGAGCCGAGACCTCTTACCCCGAGGAGCGCGAACTATTTCAGAATCCGGACAAACTGCATGGGAAACAATTCGTCCTCTCACCACATACAGATGAATCTGGAGTGTACAAGGTTATTGGGTATCACAAGAGAAGGGATAATTCGGTCCAGTATGATGTGCTTTTTGATGACTGTGAGGACCCAATCTTGGTCGATGCGGGGGAGATGATGAGGATGTTGGAGGACAGCCTTTACATCCCTAATTGATCAAGGCAGTTTATCTCCTTAGTACTATTCTTTGTCCTGGCTTATTAATTAGTCGGTTTCATGACAACTGTGTATATCTGGAGAATTGACCCATTGAATGCTGAATCCCTTCCAGTCATGCATGGCTATCGCGACGCGGAAGCGAGCAAGCCTGAAGGCGTTTGCATGGTTCTTCGTTGAGGAATGGTAAAGGGTTCCGTGAACTACACTGCCGGTTCCTTGGCTGCTGACCAGTACAACCTGTAGGACCGACACGCCCACGCGACCTGTGCCCCCACTCGATGCCGGGGTTTCCACGCGCAATGCGCTTCGATCTTGCATACATGGGCAGCGTGAAGCGTGAAGGAGACATCAGAAGTGAGTCCATTCCCCATGCATCACTCAACGCTTCACGTCTTTTGCCCGTTGAACGCGCCGTGACTGACTCACGTTTACCGTAGATCCCGTGTCAACAGTGCATGCACAGTGCGCTAAGGCCGCCGATGCTGTACGCGTCCTCTGCGCGTCACCCTCGACTCGGGTCCGATCGACCACCCTCCACGACTGTCTCACGGTGCGTCTACATGCAGCTCAATGACAAGGGGACTTCCTTCATCCTTCCCCCCGTCGAACCTCTTCCTCTCGTTCGGGAACTAATGATGTTTATTCATTTACATTCCCGATCCGTTCTGCGAGCCGAGAGGTCCGCCACCCCCTCGTCACCTTCATATACCGCGACCCTTCCCTCGTCCTCAGCACCGCCTCCATCAGACTACTCAGTGCCACAACTAAACCTGTTGTCGCTTGAGATAAAACTAGTATTTCAACGTGTAGCACGAACCTCTCCTGCATTAACGAGACACCGCTTCCCACCAAGCGGAAGGAGCCTACGGCCCCATAATTGACTTAGCATAGTAGTTTTATTGATTCCGTAGATGAATTAGGATTCGAGCCACCAGAAGCAGCAGCAGCAGGTTGAAGAATGTGCTCTCGAACGTTTTTCTGATATTTCCATACCTTGCGAAGGTTACGCTGTCATCATCAATTTTTCGAGGGCGCGCTTCTTCAGACGTAGCTCTTCTCCCGCATCGCATCGAGTGGGAGTTTACCGGTGCCTCCATTTTTTTGTGATGAAGAATGCTCCTTCACTGCTGCAACGTTGGCTAGCGTGGGGATGGCGGGTCGGGTATCGTTGCCCAAGCGGACAGCCTTGAAATACTGAACCACTGGTTTCCCGATGGTTAAACGCTCCGCGGGATCGTGCCTGAGGCACTCTCCAATGATGGCAATCAGGGCGTTCTATTCATGAGGAGGTTCATTACGTGCGGCGCGCAGAACTATATGGTCGGTCCCGCATGCATGGTATGGCCTCGTGTCAAAAAGTATCTGTATGGAATGATGAATATCACCCTCAAGTGATTACCAGAACGTTCTTCACACCTGCCCAGATGTACAGCTGGCCCAGACATCATTCCCTTTGTCGCGAGTTGATACGCGACCGTCGAGCACCCGGGGTGATGTAAACCACATAGTACTGATGGTGCCCGACCCTTCAGCGTACGTAGAGAGATCCAAAATAATGGAAAATAGTCCGAAGTCGCAAATCATAGCATTGCCCTCGCCGCCAATGACAACGTCGAGAGAGACGAAAAGAAAGCCTACAGGCTTGAAATCACCATGCACTATGTTCCTTAAACGAAGACACATTATGCCTTCTGACACGTCAATGATCTGAGGACGGTTTGCAGCATACGGAGACGACATGAACCTCCCAGTCGACAACGGCCGGCACTCGGCTCCTGGCGCAAGTACTGTGATACATTCCCTCTTGGACACCAAGCGGATACCAGTTTCACACGTGTTACATCGCGCTCCTGCATACATTCCATGATCCACCCATGGAATGCCACCACGTTCGGATGATCTAGCGCCGACCAAACCTTGACTTCACGCATCATCCTCTACCAGGCGTTGAGCTTAAGTCAACCAAGCACTGAGAAGCCCATGAACTTAGTTATGACCTCCTCGCCGCCTGACGTGCGAACTTCTCTTAAGACTTTGACACATGCCTCTTGCTGATGGTGTGCCTGACTCTTCGTGATTGCATTACGGAAAACAGGGACGCTATCGTACCTCTCTATAGACACCCGTGCAAAACTCCCTTGGCCCACCAGAACCCGATCATGGATGACTTCATCGCTGAGATCACGGTTGTCCACTTCAGAAAGCTCCGTGAGTTCGAACAGCCATACCGTTCCGGTGCCAATGGGCTGCAGATAGAGAACCGTTTAACTGGCGCGCGGGCCAGGCTTGGGGTTGAAGGACATCATTTCCGTGAGTGACGTCTTCAGAACTCTTGTTCGAACATGAGATATATCTAAAGTAGCAACATGTTCGGAGAGAGAGGAGGGAGTGAATTGTTGTTAGCTCCGAGCCCCGGCTGTTACCGAGTTTTAACAGCGGTGGTGTGCAGTCTATGTACAGTGTCCGGTTTCGGATTTTAGAGGCTTGCCTAGACACAGACCTTAAAAGCTGGTGCGTAGAAGAAACAAGGGCTTCTAGACCGACCCGATTGAAAGGGTGTGCTGTTTTGTTGACGGCTCATTTGAATTACAAATGATGACTCACGCCAGTCACGTTGTGGGGACGCTGATAGTCATTTTTGATTTGATTTGCAAATTGCAAATTTCCGCTACGGAATCCCTTCCAAAATCCCGATTCGACAACGGCTTGCCAAATAAAAGTACTCGAATGTGTAAGGTGAAAAAAGTAGCGGGTTCTGCTGCGTCAGGTGGCGTTCACCAGTTGTTGCAATGTGGGCAGGCAATAGCTAGATATGAGGGTGGGTTGGAATTAAGTGTGTTGTGGTATGAAAGTTCCAGAAGTTGGTGCAATGTTGAATGGATATAGAAGCTATTCTAACTCGGTGGGGAGCGCGTCAAGAAGCTCAAGAATATGTTTCCTTGTGCTTTCCGAATGGTACAGTGCCCTCGAGCAATGTGTCGCGCTCATACAGGCAACAGTCTCCGGCCAAAGAAGAAACTCTTCACCCCGGATTGTATCTCCTAAAGGACACTTTTCGAGTTCCCGAATGAGTACCATGCGGAGAATGCGCCACGTGGGATCATTAACGATCGTCCCACAAATACGACAAGCATAATGGGGGCTGGAATACAAACAGTACTGAGCAAGGGCGGGGGACTGTACCACTATCTGACGTACTTGCTCCCATTAAAATCGTCGGGATTGTTGAGACGGGATTCGAAAATATCCTTGCGACGTCTCACAAGTCCAAGTAGGCGTGCAAAATCAGCAAAATCGATTCCACTGAGCTGACTTATGATATCTGGGTGGGTGAAGTCGAACCTGAGGGCAAGCCGGGCAGAGAGTTGCATCTCCGCTTCCCATGAAAATTGACAGGCAAGCTTGTAAAGCCGTATGGGATCAGAGATGAGTTCGGGGGAGCTTATGGCTGCTTGCATGATTGATATCGGTCCGTTCATGCCTACGGAAGTTCCAGAAACACAGTCGAGCTAAGGGCATTATTTCGATAATCCCACATACCATACTTGTCACAAAAGTGTAAGAGTGGCTCAATAGTGTCAAAGGAGCGCAGGTGCTCAATCTGAATGGGCATGCCACAACACATTCTGAGTGCGGCTTCGATTACCCAATCCTCCTCGTCTAAATGTAAACAATGCTCAGCCTCAGACGAGCTAGAGCCTGTTTGGGGGAGCGAAAACATAGTCCTGAAGAAAGAAGATGTGTTTCGAAGAATGATGGAGTGAACTCTGAAATGGATATTTTCTTTGGAACGCAAGACGACGTCGTCGTGAGGGTCTTTGAAATGTTCGTTGAAGATCCTAGCCTGAGAATCTATGCCATCTTTGGAGTCCATGGCGCGAGCAGGGAAGGATCACAACAAGCTGGCTTCCTAAATCTTGACTGGGGTTGAGCGCGGTGCGGCTGTACACGAGGAAGCCGACCGATCTTGGGCCAGTTTGAGTCATTCCTTATTATGTCAGCGTTACATTGGCGAAGTGTTTGCGCGTACGCTACTTAAATCAATTTGAACAGCAAAAGTCCACCTCATTGATGCACCTAATGGTGCATTTGGCTGAGCTGGCCTTCCAGCTGTCGTGCCCAAAAAATCCATCCTTGTTCATTTGTCCTTCCATTTTGTGACGCGCGAGTAGCCATATGAGGCTGCTGTCTAGAAGTATACCTTGGCACTCTATGAATTTGCCTCGACGCGCGTTAAACGACATTCTACATCTCGATATGATTGGCCTCCGAGTGAGCTGCAAATCTGGATCTGTGAAAATTGTTCAAATGTCCCATGGAACGAAGGACGGTGCAAGGGAACTTAGCTTGATCTTTTCCTGAGCCTTGTGGACATCGATAAGGGAATTATCTAGACTGCGCGCAGCTTTTTTTTTTTTTTTTTTTTTTATCGTTATTAGTGATTCTTGTGCTTTGCTGTTATTTAGACTGCGCCCGGCGAGCTTGCGGGCCTTCTTGTGCTCATTGTTGACGACCCTGTCCGAATTCTTTTCTTACAGGACACACGATTTCACACACCGTTCGAATCCTGAATATCTACGCAAGAAATGCGTTCAACATATGTCGTCTGATACCGGAGGGATAATTATATGTATTCTCCATCCCTGGAAGCGATCAGAGAACGTTCGCATCCATTTCAGACTCAATTTGGAAACGCAATAAGACATCCACGAAAAAACGACTATTTCCGCAGGGACTCCAAGAATGATATAACATGTTCTAGCTTGCCCTCCAACCCCCCAAACCTTGTCTCCAATTCCCCGAATCTCGTCTCCAACTTCTCCAAGCGGCCATCGACAACCTTCATATGTGCATCAAGGGTATGGTTCAATTTATTGTACACCTCTTGCCCCATTTCCTCTTCCGACTCTTCCTCGATCACTTCGGGAAGGGTAAACTTCAAGAGAACTCGAAGGTAATCCGGCAGAACAGTCTTTTCATGCTCCGTCATCAGTCGTTCCTCACATCCTGGGCAGATAAGTTGTGCTGAAGGGTGTGAAGTCACTTAACAAGCTTGGAGAGGAAAGAGCATAGATGGCATACCACCAGTGTGGAGAGTTGTCAAAAACCGTGTACCCGAGAGTGTCTTGCCGCATACGGAGCAATCGAACTTGTATGTACTAGGTGATGATTCCGGGCTCCCTACTGCCTCCGATTTTCCGTCATCTTCGGGATCGGGAGTAGCGGTATTCGCTGACCCAGAAAAGTACTCAGTTTCATCAGCAAGTTCTTCAGACTCGTCCACGCTTTCCACATGCACCCCGTCAGGAACACCGTCCACATCTTCGCCCACCACGGGGTGTTCTTCAGGTTCCGACGCTTCGTCCGCGTGGGTCCCTTCATCGTGTTCGTCACCATCATTCATTTGGTTCTGCACTGAAGCTTCCATCTCTCCGGCAACAAAGCTCCGGGCTGGGAAAGATGGAATAAGCTCGAGGCACGATTTTGAGAATATAGGTTATAGACCTTGAGACTTCACCTCACTTTCAGCTTCTTTGAAAAAGAGTAATTACGTTCAAACTCTGTTTTCCAATGTTGCTCAATCTTGACCACCGGGCGCACAACTTTGATCAGTGGGTGGTGTTTATAATGCCGGGAGCTCCTCCTTCCAACAACGTTGTTGGCTCCTGAGGCTTCGCAGTCAGCGCAAAGATCGAAGTCTATTGGTGTAAAAATCGATCAAGACTCTGGGCTGGATATTGGATGGATAACATGCGCACCGTTGCAGAGGAGACAACGCCAACGTGGTCCTAAAATGGGAACCGATTTGCAAACATCGCAATCCTGCCACCTGTTAGAGTTGAGATATCAGCAAACGGAACAAGCAGGTTACTATTAGTCATCGTACAAATGGGCCAAGATACGCCGACGCTCCAATACAGCAAGGGAATCCCAAAAGTGCTTATCTTTGGGCACCATTTGGGCCTCAACTGTTCGAGCTTGGCTTCATCTTCATCAGAAATCCCAATTCCAATGTTCCAAAGGGCTTCCGCTTGTTCTAATAAATATTGCTTTGCACGAAGGCGAACGTACTCCAAGCGTAGGAGGCGTTTTCCCTTTAACACAGGCCAGGAGATTGAGAGTCGTTCCGGTGAATATTGTTCAGAATAGTGATCGCTGCTGCTCTGAATCGTCGAAGCCCTCTTTCAGAGTGAACAGTAAGGCAAAGTTCAAAATCTTCTTTCCACTGCTTCAGCCGAGCGGTGATGTCGTCGAATTTGGAAAGACTCGGGACTTTCTCGACTCCAGTAGTTCCTGACAACGACGTGTCCACGCCATTCGCAGGTGGGGGTGTAGAATTCTGATTGGGATCGGGGGCTGAGGTCTCTGAGTTTGCTTTATCTTCACTCACTTATTGGCCCAGAGATTAGAGACGAGAGAAGAACCGGGTCCTAAGTGGAAACTCACGTGGAGATGCATAAATACGCCCAATGGCCTTCTCACAGTAATTGACATCGATCGCATACTCGGCCGCGATATTCGAGACTCTCCCAGCGAAGTTGGATGCATCCTCATTCGTATTCTGTATGGATTGCAGTTGAAGCAGAGGTGTGACACTCTCGAGAGCTGTCAAAGCAAGTCGCAGTGCATTTACATCTTGTCCCTCTTCACGCTTGAGCTCTGCCGACACCACCATTTTCATAGCATTGATTGGTCCTGGGACAACATTGAAATCTTCGCGTCTTATCCGAGAAGAACACCTACCTTCCAAAAGGGGGAATTTGCTTGATCTGACTATAATTTCTAGGCCCAAGAGGATCTGCTTTACTGCTTTATCTGTGGCTGGCGGAATCGGTATTATTATAGATTCGGGTTGGAAAGCTGAAGAAGAGACAGCAGCGATGGCCTGCATAATTATAGAGCCCTCGTCAAGTACATGGCTCCGGATAGTGTCTGCGCGCGTTGGCGGATTTGGACTTGAGGCCTCGAGATCTATGACCAAGATGGGGATAAGGGCGCCAACATATCGGGGCTCCACTCACTCTGCGCATAATCCGCCCAAGTTCGCCTCCCATTTCAGTGGGTGACAGCTGATCACGAGGTTCCGTATTACTTTGGGCGAGCGAGGTCTGATTTACGCTATCCTTGGCGCCTGGCGCAGGCGGCGATAAGGTGTTAGCAAGATCGTATGAAGAGGTGTCGACTGTCCAGCGGCCATATCGCAATTCGAAATTGGTCGCTTTCTCATCCCAGATCATTTGCCAGAAATCAGTCTGCTGGTCAAGCGGAACTTCCAACAGAGAATAATCCTCAGGTAAAGGTAAGTTGCCTTTATACGAATATTCATACTGGTATCGCGCATTCAGTCTCTTGTTCTGCACATGGAAGTAAACACTAACAATGCCGCCATAAAATCTGCAAAATTGGGCTTCTACATCTAAGCCCCGCTGACGATAGCCATCTGATTCAACAAGTATTATCTGAGACCCATTCACGTGAGGATAGGGCATACGGACCTGCGAACTGGGAAACTCGAGAATACACAGCGTAACCAATGTTGGAAAGTGTACTTGCCGCTTCCATAAACTCCCGATCATCAAGGATGTATTCCTTAGCTTTTCCAATCATTCGACAGTGACGGAGTATGATTAAATACAGCACTGCAAACAAATCCTTTGGATCCGGTAAGAACACGAAGCACGAACGGCGCGCGAAATACCACACCTTCTCGATTCGACCGGGCCCACAAACAAGAGCGAAAGACTCAGGAGCATCCACATTATAGAACATTCTCTCCAATGCAGCGCTGAGTCTCTCTTCCTTCTGCGCCATGCGCCGTTTTACCAACTCGTCAAGAGGGCTGTCAGAGCTGATAGGGACATTATGTGGCAAAGGATAGGCTAACCGCTCGACAGCATTTACCCAGGATCCTTGAAGATGGTAGTAGAGCACCAGTTGGCTATTTTCAAGCATCACGCCTGAAAATACCACTCGCATCTCTGTGAGAAGATAATTGATCCGCCGCGAGTATATGGAACTCTCCTGTCTCCAGCCTCGAGCCCAATAGGCTATCCATTGGAGGAGCGTCCAGCCTTCAGGAATGGAATCGCAAAAGTCATTGACCTCGGAAATTCGAATGTAACCCGAACTATCATCGTCGAAAGCTTCCATGATAGCGTTCGCGTAAGGGAATGAAAGATATTTGAGGCACCATTTATCTTGAAGAATCACTTCGATGGAGTCAGTGGACGGAAGGAGGTGCTCAGAGTGAGGCGGTGGCAAGTCCGCATCGATGGGGCTGAGAGTGTCGTTGACATTGTGCCGGGAAGCATTGGTGGCAGATAGGACGCTGTTCGCTGCAGGAGTGACACTGGACTGGGACTTGGCAACAGCGTGAGCATATCGATCAAGGTAAAAATCATAAAGCGCCATGACGAAGTCCCGCGCCTTAACACTTGCCCGCCATGCCTAAAGTCAACACCGATGAGAAGACCGAAAAGGGTTGAATAGAAATGATGCACCATGTCTTTCCAGACTTGTCGTATTTCTGGGTGCTGAATCTTCTGGTATGAACCAGCATCCAAGCGAGTGAGGATTTGCTGAGTGGAAGCCTTCAATTGGTGAGATAATATCTGCATCTGCGCCTCCAATTTACCCTCATACAGGCGAAAATTGGCTTGGAGAATTGTCTCAAGTGGCAGTCGGAGCTCAATACGCTCGCGAGCGCTCAAAGCGTTCTTCGGGTCAATCCTGGTCTTTGCGAGCGCTATTTTGTCCTTCGAGGCGTCGCCTTTGTCGACCTTTCCATCCGTTCCCGGTACTTTCCCTCCCGAGCCCTCGATTTCGTTCACAATCTTAGTGAGAAGCTCTTCACTGTCGAGGACCTTTTTCCGTCCTCCAAGATTTTCAAGAGACTGTTCCCACCGCTTATCTTGATCACTCTTATGTTCCATTATGCGGATCAGCTGGGCTAACATATCGTTTGACTGCCGAACTTGAATGTTAATGTCATCTGTGGTGATAGTGTTGTGAATTTGCAGCGCGAACATGATGTCCCGCTTCCGAGTCTAAAGGAAGGGTTCCATCATTGGTCACTAGGAGCCCACATGAAGTTAGCCATACCACTAATGTTTCACCGGCAACCTTAAATTCGGCTTGATATTTGCCGCTGAAGAAGAATTTGGCTAAGAGGGCGTTTCGTCAATAAACGCACAAGAGGATGAGCAGCACAACTTACATGTGGAGCTGTGTTTGTGATATTGATCAACGAGGTTCCCCACCGTTTTGATGTCCTGCTCGATTTGGCCCATAAGGCTTTGGAGCCTTCCAGCAATAGTCTCTCCAGTCGGGGATTTAAGAGTTGGGTCTTTCACGTGGTGAAGTTGCAGCAGAGTTGACATCATGTCTGAAAGTTGAAGGATCAAGGCTCTCGCTTTCGCACTGTTGCTCCGTCGCTGTGTCTCCAGCTGGACGACACCATGGAAGAGCTGGACAGCAACTACGGAAATTGTTTTATCACAGAGAATGAGGTCCGAAATGAGGATTTGACTTACGTTTAACGAATGGAAATGGCTGGGCGGCAGCTAAGCCTTCTAACCCAGTGAGCACCTCTATAGACATGGCCGGTCAGATCCCAGCTTCCCACTTCCAATAAAATATGCATACTCTCAACTGTGCCTGAGAATTCGTGTCAACTTGAACCTATCAGAAGAGAGTGTGCATACCTACCCATCCAATCATCGAGACCACGTCCAAGGTCAGTTGCTTGCGATGCATCAGCAAGTGCCTTGATCGCAGCATCAATAGTTGTACTGTTAGTCTGGTAATATGTCTGGACTGCCGTGATAGGGTTTGCAATGGATTGAATGGCGTCGTCTGCAAATGCATGTATAAGCTAACATCAAAGGAATCATATGAAGCTGTGGGTTCACCAATATTGTCCGCACGAGCCTCGGATTTGGACGTGGTCGCAAATTGCGAGACAAACGCTTCTTCTGGTGCCTTCTCGACAGGAGTGATTGTGATATTGTTCAATGACTTCCCATCCCTTGCCGACTCGTCCTGGTTAGCTGAATCGATGCCCTTCGCACTGCTATCCTTCATTTTGAAAAGGGGCATGGGGCAGAAGATTCAAGGCGACCGTGTTTATTGTACCGTGTGCCAAGAAGAACCCAGATATAACTGTACTCAGCTGATTGACAATTCAGGAAAATAATAAGCGCTAATCACCAGCAGACTACCTCTTAGCGCTCCTTCATACTTCACATGAATTATGTTATGACAAATGTGCTGTTAGAGTTGTTACATGCAAAACAAGGAAGAGGTTCCTTCGGACCCCGGCAGAGGACGACTTATGGGCGCTAAAAACCAAGTGTATTGATACCCTGTTTTACTGCCATTGTGAGACCTCCTGGGCCATTCATCCAAATCGGGTGTGCGGTTTTTTTTTTTCGTTTGCTGTATGAACACACCCTTCTAATAATATAACAATATAACAATAAATTCGGACAACTCCGCTACAATACAGCTAAGGACAAGCTACGAGCCTCCGATCACGAGGCTGTGCATCCATTCAAACGACAAGCGCTCAGCACAACGGACACACGTCTGCATCGCCTTTTCAGCGTGGTGGTGGTCATTGATCATCTCCAATTTGTCGTGAGAACCACGCTGATCCAGGGACAAACATATCTTGGATTCCACCGTAAGGGACCCTACCAACAATTCAAGCCGAAGTGCCGTGGCATCGAATTGCTGTACCGAGTCAACACTACCACATCTGGATATTCCTGAGCAAGTTGTTCGTATATTTCGCTCGGCTCCTTCTTTTGCCCAGCTCATCATTCAGCTGAATCATCAACCCATCCTCCTTCGCCACCGTTGCTCCCCCGTACTCCTCGACGATTGCCCGAACAGTAGTGGCCATCAGATCTGTCCACTCCCCTGGTGTCATGGAGACACCTTCATGAAAGGGTTTGTGCGAGGCTGATGCCTTTGTTAAGTAGAAATATCGGAGATTTGGAAATCTCTCCCTCCAACGAGTCAACGAAGCCATTCCGCAAAGGAACCCAGGCGTGGTGTGGTGTATCTTTGTCCCGAATGCTTCTTTGCAAGAAGGAAACCAACGACGGCTGGCGAGCTGAATGCCCGATTTCCCAGCCACGCCGTGCACAGAAGAGGATAATGTCATGATTTCCCGTCGGTGCCTAACAACATCGCCGTCCTCAGATTCGATGACGAGGTGGCGAAGAGAAGGAAGTGACATGTTGTTGTATAGGCTTTTTCCTGGCCCGCCAGCGGCTGCGAGTTGCAGTCGAAATATTCTTATTGATGACGATGCAACGGGTGAAAGAGCAGAAGAACCGGAATCACCTTCTCCCAAGTCATTCAACCAGTTCGGCGTCCATAAATTTGGGCGCCTTGTCACGATATCCAATACGTCACGGCAAGCCATCCCGGTCTGATCCGCAAACTTTTGGAATTTGACGTGTAAGAGTCATCAAGCTGGACCATCGCTAAAGTCTTATCGACGTTCAACTCCAAGAACGAAATGTTTGGTTCTACTAGGTTGTCTAGAAGCGAGAATGTCACAGGGGTAGCATCAGGGGTAAGGATAGGTCGCTTGTGCTCTCCTTTCTGTGAGATGTATCACAGTTTGGGCATGGCAGCTTGCAAGGGGAACATGGACTGAGCGGCGACTTGATCGTCAGTGTGATGGATGAGCATGAGACATCGTGCGAGATGTGGTCGTTGAGAATCCATCCAACGCCGATTTTGAGTTGTGCCCCATATTCTCAACATGGGGTGTGCTCAAGGAGGCAGAGCTTCGGCGCCAAGCACCATGTCTGTCTGTGACTATGGTGCTAGCAGCGTTCATATGAATATGTTGGGAAGACTGCTTGAGGGGCTACATTGGAGAAGTGCAATGAATGCCGAGGTTGCTTAGCTGCTAAACTTGGGATTAGTCGATCTGCTAGACTGAGGTGTCAGAACTTAATTCGAGGATTTTGACCTCAGCGAAAATCAGTAGGAGGCGACTCAAGGCATTAGTCCATGCCCGTCGTAACGCTGGCTCACGGGTCGACGTTTTCGATTCATTCCAGGGGGCCGGGAAGAGAATCAAGAATGCACGAAAAAGACACATCAATCTTGACAAGGTAACGCAAGGGCCCAAGGGCTGCTTTGACGACTCACTTTGACACGACATCAGCTATTGGCTAGAGCGCCCGAGGTAATCATGAAGCACTCGTCAATTCGGGAGTATCTGCGATCGAGAAGGCTCTGGTGCGCTCAAGCTTGAACTTGTGATGTCGCAGGCTGGTCTTCATCGAATGCAGAGTGCTACGGTCGTTACTTGCCGAATACCTAGTGTTTTGCTATTCAAGGGTGTTGGGAGAAGGCACGATATATCCTAGAGTAAACTGCTTTTCTCAAGTCTATCATCTCAGCAACATACTGCTGCACAAGGCACACCAAAAACGACGCTGAGAAATGCATTCATAGCAAGTTGAGTTAGCCCATCATGGGCAATCCGCCCACTGAAGACAAAGCCCTAGTGAAAACCGGTACACCAAGCTTGGAAACATTCAGTAGAGCCACAGTTGCGCCTTCCTTTGCGGCTAAGATGTATTGTCCATCGTTCGATTCCCCCCACTGAAGCTGCGCGGGGGCGTATCTTCACATTGTATATTACCATATAACAAATCCTCCCAAGCAATAGAATCACCCGGTTCCACAGGTGGCGAGATACTCGGTATTTCTGGTCAATCCATTGAACATCGCAACAACAACCCTCACCATGACCGTTGGTCAGTATTCCACCATAACAGAGTGTATATGGTCCTAGGAAGCCACTTCGGTGTCGCCTCAAGGTTTGCAGTATACGTGCTTGCCGAACCTCATAGGCACGCAAATGAATCCAGTCCCGATTACGAGCCTATCACCTGATGGTGACCACTCCACGGGCGCTTCATGCCCGTGCAGAGTTGCAAGGAGGTTCCCTTTCGGACTCCAATCTTGCATCTTGATGCCCACCGACTCTGTTCCACGAGATAGATGTGACTCTTTCGGATTCAAACGGGCAAATATTATGTAATCATATTCACAGAGGACGTGAGAGATTGATTTTGTGGCCCAAATCAATTTGACATCATGATGATCAAAGCACAAGTCCATCTCATCGATTTGCACTCAATGGCCCACTAGTCTGAGCTGGCTTTTCAGCTCTCGTGCCCAAGAGACCCATGTTATTGGGCTCCTTGTTCGCCTGATCTTCTGTCTTGCGACTATCAATTTCTGCGCGAGTAGCTCTGTGATGATGCTACATTTCGGATTCCGTAGTGAGCACATCTCGCCATCATAGTATAGAATATGCCTCGACGCGCTTACAGCATGTGTTTCTTTTCGTTGAGCGGCATTCTGCATCTCGATACGTCTGGTCTCGAAAGTAGCCTCCGCACGGTGCAAATCTGCCTCCCTGGTCTGCGAAAGTCGTTGAGAGGATATATATATCACGTCGTCACATGGCTATGAAGGGTACAGCAGGACTCACCTTGATCATTTCTTGAGCCTTACGCACGTCAATGACTGCATTGTCATGACTCGACTGCGCCGCGGTGAGCTTGCGTGCCATCTTGTGTTCATTATTGACGGCCTTATCAGATTTCTTGGGGTTTAAGGTCAAAAGTCGTTGCCTCCCTCCAGAGAATGCCTCATGATTACCTTGCGTGCCTTAGCTAGTTGCTGATGACGGGTCAAAGTGAGTCGTCAGAAATAGTTCTCAGGCACTTGTGTTACCTTCTCAAGATTAGTGCGGCTTTTCTGTGAGTTCTTGAATTCCTTCTCGGCTGCCTGGAATCGGATCGAAACTATTCTGGGAGGCTGGGATATGATGAACTCATACCTTGAACTGTTTCCTATCGGCTTTCTCCTCTGAGGTCATAGCTCCCTCGAGGTCCTTGATGTTCTGACCAAGAATCGACATGGCGTGTGAATATCGAGAGTCAAGTCGTCGATGTCAGGGGAAATCACAAAGGCGTTTGCTGAGTTGAGATGGGGAGGAAAGCAAGATAAGTGACGTACTTATATGCCACCCCGCACCTATGAGGCACAACGACTGACTGTGGATCCATTGGGTGTGGAGCTAGAGGCTGGTCACCTGCCTAGTGTGGAGCTGTATCAAACCGGTCTCACGGAAGCAAGCAGCCCAGAAGCTGTTACAGGTTCGGAAGACGACGAGAATGAGACAGCCATGTTCGAGTCGGCTTGGAACCCGTTCAGCATGGTTCAGCACCTTCCGTATTTAGCAACACACTGCTCACCTGTCACGTCGCAGCGCTACCACTAAACTGAAACCTCTTCTGTAAGAATGGAAGTAGCGTGGAGGTCTGAGCCAGAAACATTCCAAATAAGAACCACGACTACCTTTCAGGAGTTCTGGTAGTGCCATGATATGTTCTCCAACTCGCGTCCGATTCGTTGAACTACACCCCAATCCGCGGGACAGTATTATATTCCACATTTGTTCGAGACTTCGAGACCGGTCCATGCCTCACCACATACACGCGACTCTATGTACGCTTCGCACGAACTCTGAAGTTTCTGAATGGGCACACCGAAAGATGTTAAACCTACGCCGTTACACTGGAGGGAGCTACATTTGACCCAAGCAAGGTAGAAATATAATAAGCTTGTATTGAGGCTCAAGGGTGTTGTAGCGTGGCGACAGCCTCCCCGACATATGGACTTCGAGCACGACCTGGTAAAAAGACGTATACTAATTTAATGTGGGCAACGGAAAGGAAAGGGTGACAGATAGGGGAAGGTGGAGGGTAGCGCCTAACAAGCGATGGCAAGAACAAAGTGACAGTGCAGTTCCAATACCTAGACCGAGCATGAAAGACAGGGAAAAAACGCAGCAAGCACAACAAAAAACAGTGAATGGAAAGACACGGGTCAGAAGGAGCTCCATTGGCTTCCAAACATCCACGAGAAGAGCGGCTATTTCCGCAGGGACTCCAAGAATGATATAATATGTTCCAGCTTACCCTCCAACTTTTCCAAGCGGTCATCGACGACCTTCATATGCTCATCAAGGGTGTGATGCAACTTATTGTACACCACCTCTTGCTCCGTGGCCTCATCCGTCTCTTCATCGATCACTTCGGGAAGGGTGAACTTCAAGAGAACTCGAAGGTAATCCGGCAAAGCAGTTTTTTCATGCTCCCTCATCAGTGTTTCTTCACATTCTGAGCAGATAAGTTGCGCTACAAAGGGTGGAGTCACTTGACAGGTTTGGAGAGGAAAAAGCACAGAGTGCTTACCATCAGTGTCAGAGGTTGTCAAAAACCGTGTACCCGTGAGCGTCTTGCCGCATACGGAGCAATCGAACTCGTATGTGCTAGGTGATGATTCCGACTTCTCCACTACCTCCGATTTTCTGTCATCTTCTTCGGGAGCAGTGGTATTCGCTGGCCCAGTAAAGTACTCAGTTGTACCGCCAGTTCCATCAGCCAGTTCTTCTTCAGACTCGCTTTCCGCATGCACCGCGTCGCCATCGGGGACGGCATCAGTATCCTCGCCCGCCACAGGCTGCTCATCATGCTCCGACACTTCGTCCGCGTGGCTCTCCCCATCGTGTTCATCACCATCATTTGTTTGGTTCTGCACTGAAGCTTCCATCTCTCCGGCGACAAAGCAGACTGGGGAAGAAATAAGCTTAACGTGCGATATTGAGAATACGGGATACCGACCTTGAGACTTCGCTTCCGACTCCTCACTTTCAGCTTCTTTGAATCGAGAGTAATTGCGTTCGAACCCTATTTTCCAATGTCGCTCAATCTCGACCACCGGGCGCACAACTTTGATCAACGGGTGGTGTTTATAATGCCGAGAGCCTCTGTCTCCAAGAACGTCGCTGACTCCGGAGGCTTCGCAATCAGCGCAAAGATCGAACTCTGAGTGGAAGAAGGATTCATCAAAGCTCTGGGCTAAATGAAAAACACGCGCACCGTTGCAGAAGAGACATTGCCAACGTGGTCCCCGAATAGGAACCGTTCGGCAAACATCGCATTGCCTGTCCCTGTGTTAAAGTTGATATATCAGCAAGCGGAATGAGCGAGATTGTTCTTAGTCGTCGTACAAGTGAGCCAAGATACGCCGGCGCTCCAGCACAGCAAGGGAATCCCAAAAGCCCTTATCCTTGGGTGCTATTTCGGCGCTCAACTGTTCAAGCCTGACTTCATCTTCGTCGGGAATTGGAATCCCGATTTTCCAGACAACTTCGGCTTGCCTAAATAAATATTGCTGGGCACGAAGGCGGACGTACTCCAAGCGCAAGAGGCGTTTTTCTCTCAACACAGGCCAAGAGATCGAGTGTCGTTGCCGGCGGATATCCTTCAGAATAGTGGTCGCTGCTGCTCTGAACCGTCGAAGCCCTCTCTCGCAGTGAACAGCGAAGCAGAGTTCAAATTCTTCTTTCCGCCGCTTCAGCCGGGCGGAGACATTGTCGAATTTGGAAATACTCGGGACTTTCTCGACCCCTATAGTTTCTGACGACGCGTCCATGCCATGTTTCAGGTGAGATGTAGGTGAGAGATGAGAGAAAAACCGGGTCTAAAGTGGAGGCTCACGCGGAGACGTATCAGGATGCTCAATGGCCTTCTCAAGGCAATTGACATCGATCGCATGTTCGGCCGCGATATCTGAGACTCTTCCAGCGAAATTGGATCCATTCTCATTCGCATCATACGCATTTTTTATGGATTGCAGTTGAAGCAGAGGTGTGGCACTCTCGAGAGCTATCAGAGCAAGTCGCAGTGCATTTACGTGTCGCCCCCTTCACGCTTGAGCTCTGCCGACACCACCATTTTTATAGCATTCATTAGTCCTGGGCAACATTTAGATCTTTGCGCTTGATCCGAGGAAAACACCCACCCTCAAAAATGGGAATTTGTTTGATTTGATTATAATTTCTAAACCCAAGAGGATCTGCTTCACTGCTTTATCTGTGGCTGGCGGAATCGGTATCATTACTAATTCAGGTTGGAAAGCTGAAGAGGCAGCAGTGATGGCCTGCGTAATTATTGAGCCCTCGTCGAGCACTACATGGCTCAGTATAGTGTCTGTGTGCGTTGCTGAATTTGAACTTGAGGCCTTAAGATCTATCACCAAAGAGTGCAAGATGGGTATAAGGGTGCCAACGTATCGAGGCTCCACTCACTCTGCGCGTAATCCGCCAAAGTATCGCCTCCTATTTCAGTGGGTGAAAGCTGATCATGAGGTTCCGCATCACCTCGGGTGTGCAAGGTCTGATTTATGCTATTTTTGGCGCCCTGCGCAGGAACCAGCGATACGGTGTTAGCAAGGTCGTATGCAGAGGTGTCGACCGTCCAGCGGCCATATCGCAATTCGAAATCGGTTGCTTTCTCATCCCAGATCATTCTCCAGAAATCAGTCTGCTGGTCAGGTGGAATTTCCAATAGAGAATAACCCTCAGGTAAGTGACGTTTATTCAAATATTCGTACTGGCATTGCGCATTCAGTCTCTTGTTTCGCATACCGAAGGAAGCACTCACAATGCCACCATAAAATCTGCCAAACTGTGCCTCTACATCAAGGCCCCGCTGGCGATAACCGTCTAATCCAACAAGCATCTGAGACCCATTCACGTAAAACGTGAGGATAGTATATACGCGCCTGCAAAATGGGAGACTCGAGATTTCACGGCGGAACCAATGTTGGAAAGTGTGCTTGACGCTTCCATAAACTCCCGATCATCAAGGATGTATTCCTTGGCTTTCCCAACCATTCGGCAGTGACGGAGTATGATTAAATAAAACACGGCGAACAGATCCTTTGAATCAAGGTGAGAACGCGAAGCATAAACAGTGCACGAAATACCCCACCTTCTCGATTCGACCGGGCCCACAAACAAGAGCAAGCGATTCAGGAGCATCCACAATATACAACATTCGCTCCAACGCAGCGCTGAGTCTCTCTTCCTTCTGCGCCATGCGCCGTTTTACCAACTCGTCAAGAGGGCTGTCAGAACTGATAGAGACATCATGTGGTAAAGGATACGTTAAACGTTCAACAGCATACTTCCAGCCTCCTTGATGATAGTAGTAGAGCACCAATTGACTATTTTCAAGCATCACGCCTGAAAATACCACTCGCATCTCTGTGAGAAGATAATTGATCCGCCGTGAGTATATGGAACTCTCCTGTCTCCAGCCTCGGGCCCAATAAGCTATCCATTGGAGGAGCGTCCAGCCTTCAGGAATGGAATCGCAAAAGTCATTGACCTCGGAAATTCGGATGTAACCCGAACTATCATCGTCGAAAGCTTCCATGATAGCGTTCGCGTAAGGGAATGATAGAAATTTGAGGCACCATTTATCTTGAAGAATCACTTCGATGGAGTCAGTGGACGGAAGGGGGTGTCAGAGTGAGGCGGTGGCAAGTCCACATCGATGGGGCTGAGATTGTCGTTGATATTGTGCCGGGAACCAGTGGTGGCAGATAGGACACTGTTCGCTGCAGGGGTGACACTGGACTGGGACTTGGCAACAGCGTGAGCATATCGATCAAGGTAAAATCATAAAGCGCCATGACGAAGTCCCGCGCCTTAACACTTGCCGCCATGCCTAAAGTCAACACCGATGAGAAGACCGAAAAGGGTTGAATAGAAATGATGCACCATGTCTTTCCAGACTTGCCGTATTTCTGGGTGCTGAATTTTCTGGTATGAACCGGCATCCAAGCGAGTGAGGATTTGCTGAGTGGAGGCTTTCAATAATATCTGCATCTGGATTCCAATTTACCCTCGTACAGGCGAAAGTTGGCTTGGAGAATTGTTTCGAGTGGCTGTCGGAGCTCCATACGCTCGCGAGGGCTCAAAACGTTGTTTTGATCAATCTTGGCCTTCGCGGGTGCCGTTTGATCCTTCGAGGTATCAGCTTTATCGCCTCCCTTTCCATCCGTTCCCACCTTCTCTCCCTCGATTTCACTCGCAATCTTAGTGAGAAGCTCCTCACTGTCAAGCACCTTTTTCCGTCCTCCAAGATCCTCAAGCGACTGTTCCCACCGCTTATCCTGGACACTCTTATATTCCATTATGCGGATCAGTTGGGTTAACATTGCGTTTGACTGCCGAACTTGAACGCTGATGTCATCGGTGGTAACAGTGTTGTGAATTTGCAGCGCGAACATGATGTCCTGCTTCCGAGTCTAAAGGAAGTGTTCAATCGTTGGTCACCAGGAACCCGCCTGAAGGTAGCCATACCACCAATGTTTCACCGGCAGCCTTAAATTCAGTTTGATATTTGCCGCTAAAGAAGAATTTGGCTAAGAGGGAGATTCGTCAATTAAACGCACATGTGGAAGGGCAGCACAACTTACATGTCGAGCTGTGCTTGTGATATTGATCAACGAGGTTCCCCACCGTTTTGATGTCCTGCTCGATTGTGGCCCATAAGGCTTTGGAGCCTTCCAGCAACAGTCTCTCCAGTCAGGGACTTAAGAGTTGGATCCTTCACGTAGTGAAGTTGCAGCAGAGTTGACATCATGTCTGAAAGTTGAAGGATCAAGGCTCTCGCTTTCGCACTGTTGCTCCGTCGCTGTGTCTCCAGCTGGACGACACCATGGAAGAGCTGGACAGCAACTTCGGGAACCATTTTATCACAGAGAATGAGGTTCGAAACGACGATTTAACTTACGTTTAACGAATGGAAATGGCTGGGCGGCAGCTAAGCCTTCTAATCCAGTGAGCACCTCTATAGACATGGCCGGTCAGATCCCAGCTTCCCACTTCCAATAAAATATGCATACTCTCAATTGTGCCTGAGAATTCGTGTCAAGTTGAACCTATCAGAAGAGTGTGGCATACGTACCCATCCAATCATCGAGACCACGTCCAAGGTCGGTCGCTTGCGATGCATCAGCAAGCGCCTTGATTGCGGCATCAATGGTTGCACTGTTAGTCTGGTAATAGGTCTGGACTGCCGTGATAGGGTTTGCAATGGATTGAATGGCGTCGTCTGCAAATACATGTATAAGCTAACATCAAGAAATCGGATGGAGCTGTGGGTTCACCAATTTGTCCGCACGAGCTTCGGATTTGGACGTGGTCGCAAATTGCGAGACAAACGCTTCTTCTGGTGCCTCTCGACAGGAGTGATTGTGATGTTCAATGACTTCCCTTTGCTGGCATCCCTTGCCGACTCATCCTGGTTAGTCGAATCGATGCCCTTCGCACTGCTATCCTTCATTTTGAAAAGGGGCATGGTAGTTGAGGGGCAGAAGATTCAAGGCGCTCGTGTTTATATGTACCGTGGCCAAGAAGAACCCAGATATAACCATTATCCGCTCTTCGGGCACTGAAGTCCTAATTATGAACATTCCTTCTAAAAACAAGCCAAAAATTACACGAGCCTCGGTAAGGAGCGCCGCTGGCGTGCACCCATTCAAACGACAAGCGCTCAGCACAACGGACACACATCTGCATCACCTTTTCAGCGTGGTGGTGGTGGTCATTGATCATCTCCAATTTGTCGTGAGAGCCACGCCGATCCAGGAACAACAAAGGCTACAACACATCTTGGATTTCCACCGCAAGGGACTCTACCAACAATTCAAGCGGAAGTGCCGTGGTATCGAATTGCTGTACCGGGTCAACACTACCACATCTGGATATTCCTGAGCAAGTTGTTCGTATATTTCGCTCGGCTCCTCCTTCTTTTGCCACAGCTCATCGTTCAGCTGAATCATCAACCCATCCTCCTTCGCCACCGTTGCTCCCCCGTACTCCTCGACGATTGCCCGAACAGTAGTGGCCATCAGATCTGTCCACTCCCTCGGTGTCATGGAGACACCTTCGTAAAAGGGTTTGTGCGAGGCTGATGCCTTTGTTAAGTAGAAATATCGGAGATTTGGAAATCTCTCCCTCCAACGTGTCAACGAAGCCATCCCGCAAAGCATGTGGAGGAACCCAGGTGTGGTGCAATGTATCTTTGTCCCGAATGCTTCGACGCTCGGATTCGCAAGAAGGAAATCAACGATGGCTGGCGAACTAAATGCCCGATTTCCCAGCCACGCCGTGCGCAGAAGAGGATAATGTTGTGGTTTCCCATCGGTGCCTAACAACATCGGGTCCGCCCATGCCGTGCAGTGTCTCACCGACTCAATGACGAGGTGGCGAAGAGAAGGAAGTGACATATTGTTGTATAGGCTTCCGCCTGGCTCGCCAGCGGCTGCGAGTTGCAGTCGAAGTATTCTTATCGATGACGATACAACGGGCGAAAGAGCAGAAGAACCGGAATCACCTTCTCCCAAGTCATTCAACCAGTTCAGCGCCCATAAATTTGGGCACCGTGTCACGATATCCAATACATCACGGCAAGCCATCCCAGGGTAATGTCTGATCCGCAAACTTTTGAGGTTTGACGTGTAAGAGTCATCAAGTTGGACACTCGCTAAAGTCTTATCGACGTTCAGCTCCAAGAACGAAATGTTTGGTTCTTCTACGTTGTCTAGAAGCGAGAATGTCACAGGGGTAGCATCAGGGGTAAGGATAGGTCGCTTGCGCTCTCCTTTCCATGAGATGTATCGCAATTCGGGCATGGCAGCTTGCAAGGGGAAGATGGACTGAGCGGTGACTTGGTCGTTAGTGTAAAGCGTGAACATGAGACATCGTGCGAGGTGTGGTCGTAGGGAAACGATCCAACGCCGATTTTGAGTCGTGCTCCATAATTTCGTTATATTCTCAGCATGAAGGTGGACATATATAGTGGCCGCCTGAGAACGCTCCAATAGGCGCGTGCTCGGGGAGTCAGAGCCCCGGCGCCAAGCACTATGTCTGTCCACATCGCCGGTGTGTTGATCGCTACGACCCGCCAGTGGTGGCATACAGAAGTTATAGATTTGAGAAATGCAGTTTGCTCCGGGATATACCGTGCATTTTCCCAACACTCTTGAAAGATCATGGATAGCAAAACACTGGGTATTCGGCAAGTAATGGTCGTGGCATTCTGCGCTCGATGAAGACCAGCGCGCGACATCGCAAGTTCAAGCTTGAGCGCATCGAGGGTCTTCTCGATAGCAGATACTTCCGAGTTGATAGAAAATAATCTCGATTGCCATTTGCTTTCTGGTATCGAGCTTCACGCATGCAGGAGATGAGCCCTCCAGGGTTAAAAACACGTGGTGCAAATTCGAAATAGGCTCACAGTGCATTGTCGCAATTTGATTTGCTCTCTAAGGTATGAGACTCGCTTTCCTTCAGACGAGCTTTTAAGATCTTAATTAGCATGAGGATGTGAGTTGCTTGTAGTGGTGCAACGGTGACCCTGGACCTGTTGGTAGGGGTTGTACAGCCTTACTCATTTTCTCTTTGGAGACCCGTGGGAATGTCATTCTCACGGGTCACATGTGCATGCTTGCTCGAGTTGATCAAGTGGGGTGGGCAAGCGAAGCTTGCCCACGGGACTGCTTATGTAAGCTAGACTGGCCGCAGAGCAGCCTGTGGAAGTATAGTTTTATAACTCATCACAAATGTCTCATGCAACAAAAAGTTGAATCAAAAGTTACTTGGAATTGTAAAAGCTGATAATTGGACTGAGGAATTGTAAAAAAAATGAGTTCTCATGGCTCTGCAACCGTTCTCGACAACCAGCGCGTTTTATAAAAATCCAACAGTCCGAATTATAGAAAAAGACCCTCTACACATCCAGGAGAATTTCTACATGCTTAGCTGCTGTGTGACGAGCCTGAAATTGTTGGGTGATCATTTATTTATTTGTGTGTACGTCGTCGCACTCAATAGCGCATTCTGGAGATGCCTGGGGCACACTCAGCTCAATTGATGCTCTTCTGACTTTAGAACAACTTCCTACCATGCTCCTTATACCCTTTTACATTTTCAGCGATTGGTATTAGTATTACGGAAAATTCGTTGCATACAAAACAATCAAAATCAACTGCCCATTTAATTCATTGGCGATGTATAGCTGTAACAACACTGAGGGCTTCATAAGGGAAAATTTCAGTGAAGCCCATCATCCATTCCTCAGGAAGGAAGCTCGGCATCGAGAACACACAGAATCTTGAGAGGAAACTATGGACAAAGTTGAGGCAGCAAAAGCCGCTGCCAGCCGTGAAGCCCAGAAGGCACGAGATGAGAAGAAGAGAGTGGAGGAGGAGAAACTAGAGTGTACTATACTCCAGTTGGGTGCTACAGTGATTGCTGCAATGACGGGGGAAAAGCTAATTGAACAGATCAACAAGCTCGTTGGCTGGCCCCTAAGGACACCTTTATTCCTAATTGAACAGCAGTCAATAAGGTACGAGTTGGGCCCCGGAAGGCACTACTCCAAGATATTGTAAAACGCTATAATGCACGATCTGTAGAGTCGCCAGGATCTGCTATCTGAGGTACCATAACTGGTCTGTTTACATGCTCATTTTATAATGCGTGGATTTTTCTGATTGAGCGCTCAGTACATACTTTACATTGTATATTCACACTCTCTAGGTTTTTGTTGGGACTTGGAATACAGTTTCACGAGTTATCGATGGAACATTTGCGAGGCCATGTTTTGCCCAAATCTGATTACATAAGCGGTACACGGACACAACCTGAGTTGCCCAGTCCCAGATCAAGTACTTAGGTGGATGCCGAGTGGTCGTCACGTTGGTTGGGTGCTCTGCCAGCCTTCGATGGAAGACACCAAGTGAGAGGGAACCTTATAAATAGGACGCTGGATATTGCTCGACAGAAAGATTGCCCCTGACATTTTGATTATCTCCATGAATCCCCCCGGTTTGGCATTGTACGCCCTTCTTAAATCCGCGCAATTTTTTAGTTATTCCTCGGATTGTTCTTCTATCCCACGCATGACTTCGAAGTTGCTTCGCTCATCAGGCTAAATTCTGGGCTTCGCCCTCCAGATGTGTTACTAAAAGGCGTGTTCTTGATTTTGCTCGCAAATTTCTGCATCCTCACCGTCATCTGGTTGTTCTGTTTTGGTTCTGTTACGACGCGTACGACTGAAGTTACTGGCTCACCTCAACGGATTCGTTGGATCCTTGGCCTTTTAGGTGGAGCTCATATATATTATCCACCCTACCCTGACCTTTCGGCACAAGTGAAATTGTTGGTTTACGCCTACCTGTCTGGATCCGCCCTTATTGTTGTGATCGCGCACGTAACCTTGAGTTGGCCGAGCTGCCAAACTGCTGAATGCATCGACGAAAAGAAATATCATGCGAGATGCCGTCCATGTCTACTTGATGAAGTACCAAAAATCATCTGCCACCACTTTGACTCACGTAACACATTTCGTGGCAAGTCCCCTTTCTCCACAATAGGCAAGTGGATTGTTGTTAGACAAATCAAATGGTTCGGGCTATGTGTTAGAAATTTGACCGTGCACCTGATCTGATGGCCGGCAGTCGAGTCCACACTGGTGTCGTGTTAAACAAGAACTTGAAGAGGATTGGAAGTTCGACGGGACATACCAACGCTGAACTCTGCCTGTGCCATGACGATGTGCCATGACGAGCGACACCAGTGCCGCCCTAGGTATTCCAGTTTGCGATGGAAAAACTCCCTATGAATATTGCTATATATATTGTCCATTGCCTCGTCCACGTAGCAGTCGATTTCCCAGACGCTCCAAATTTAATAGTAGTGATCCAGAGCTCATCGATCTCCAAAATTGGTTTTTCCAAAAGTATAACAATAAATTTGTGGTGATTGTTCATTACAGCACTGAAAAGTCGGGAACATCGAATTAACCTACAGTTCCTGATGCCTCAAAACTTCGTACCCCTCCTGTCGTTCGCGCTCTGCCAGAGTACTCCATATATTCCTAGCTGGCATGGTTGGGTCGAATTCGAAGCAATGCTTCTAACGACAGGCAATTTCTATTATCTAAAATCAAATTAAGTAATACACGTCACTTGTCATTCACACCTAATCATGGCCCCTGCAATTTGTTTTGCAATCCTCGACTTTGGTTAACTTTATCCCACACCTTTTCAAAACACTCACATCTGTACAGTTACGCATGGGGTAACATTCCCACGGAATTTTTAAATTCTGACTTGCTATTGCCGTGCCAAGCTCAGAGAGTTAAACTCGCAATGATTCTGATGGAGATTCGCGTGCGGGGATTGACTGTTGCTGAGGTGGAAGATTGTATGTATATACTTAACATGTTATACGACGTCGGATACATAAATAGGGTTGCCACGGATCCGATTCGGGAAATTTACGTCCGCGGCTTGATCATCATCTCATTTAATTTAGTCCTAGGGATGGTCTTTTTCTTAACTCCCCAGTAGCCTTTCTGAGTAGTCAGGTCTTCCTACCTGACTACAACAACAGTTGCGCACTTCCTGGCGTCACTGTTGATTTCGCCCTTCCCCCCCTTTTTTTTTCAGCTCACTCGCTCACTACACTCCTTTTCAACCACAGCACAGCCAGACATGAGCGACTCCCAACCCAGCGAGTTGACCCAACAGACTAACAGCGGTCTTCCTGCGCTTGTGAGGTCACCGCCATCGAATTCCTCTGTGCCTAACTCGGCAGAACTACCACTAGAAGAGAAGCGGGGGGAAGCAAATATCGACAGTTCGTCTGGTGGTACGCCGTTTCTATTGAGTTCAGGATTACAATCAGAGGTCAATTGTAAATTTTCAACAGAGAGTGACACCGCAGAACCCAAAGTACCCAAGGTCCCCGCCAAGAACATAAAACCTAAACCCCCACCCCTTGACAGCAGGTCCCTAAATGTCAATCTCTCATCGAACCAGCAAGGCCAAGTGTACAGGCGCTCGCAAACACATTCGTCTCTCCAGGCCGCGCGACTTGCTCTCCAAATCAAGGAATTACAACTCCAGCAAGCAGCGGTTTTGGGGCCGAGGTCTAATGGTGATGGTACACTCACTGTCCCCTTTTCGGCTCCTCGCACACCCACCTCTCCCACCCAACCCCCTCGTTTCCCCCTTCCGCCTATTCCTCCCATGACGCCGCTGACGGCGAATCAGATAACGAATGCCGAGCCACTACACGCTGACTATCAGCCTCTCCAACTCCGATGACAAACCCACACCCAAACCCGACTTCAAAAGGGACATCCGAGGATAGTGGTGTGCAGTCAGACAATGTCCGAGGCGCTCCCCCTTCCCCTTTGGGGTCGAGTCCCTTTTGTCGCCTGCCAAAACAAACCTATCGTTCACGTATTGACATTTCTCAAGAACCCGAACTACCCGCGTCATACAAACAACGCATGATGAACATCCAAAGAGACAGCGCAACAACAACAACTGCCACTTCAAAGGACGGGGAACGACAGCCTGTTCGTTATTCTGCCAACACTCTATCTTCAAGTCGTGACCGCGACACCAATGCCGATAGCAATGAGCAGCACGATGCCTCTGACTCGAAGAAGGAACGTTCGCCATACGACTATCCCCCGATGACGCCTGCTACCATCCCCGATTCACATCGTAGAGATTACGACGAAGATGTACCTGAAATGCCACCTCTCCCTGCATCCGTAGTTGGGTCATCCTATCTCCGACGTGTTCCTTCCCTCCCTCTCCTCAACCGCACAGGTACTCACTCGCGTCGACTCGAACACGCCCAAACCGCCCGCGTTCCGACCAGTGAGTTCGCCTCTGAATCCGAATTACCTCCAAGTTATCTCCAGCGGTTCAATGAACTTAACAAGCATGATTCTCGGCACCCTACTCGCCTCCTCCAAGCCGATCCCACCACATAAATGGCCGCATTCCGGACTCCGACGACCATGCATTTAGTGACAGTGAAATTCCTCGGCATCGTGCAGCGGTAGTGGGTTTTCCAGGCTCCTTCGACACGGTCATTGACATCACACGCGATGATACGCTGCATTCCCACATTCACAGGGCAGATCTGTCAGCATGGTCTGAGTGGCCAAACCCCAATGCGAATGCTTTGGAGACCGGTGAGATTTCGAATCTGCCAAGTTGGAAAGACGTGCAAGAAGGGTCACCGACTAGTTACCCTAATCGGTCGACGAAGAGGGATATTGAGTATAGCCTGAAAAGATTATTAAATATTCAGGTGTTTGAGACCTGTAAGCTTCATTTGGATGGCAGATTGTCGCTATTAACAATCCCTTTTAGTGTTGAATGACCCTCTGGGACGGTATCGCTTTCGAGATTGGCTGATTAGTGAAGGAGAGTCTACAGCTCGATGGATATGTGGCTTGATTTGAATTACCATGCGAAACTGCTGGACGAGCTGAATGAGAGTGCAGAGGCTCTGTACGGTACGCCTCTTATCTTATTCGATGGGCGTTTTGTACTTATCCATGGGTCCCTCGGTAAGATATCTATCTCTCTCATGGAAGTTCACACAGAGTAAAGCTCCCCAGCCTATGGTTCGGGAGGTGGAGAGTGTGATTCGCCGCAAGCTCTCAAGACCGAATTTGGCGTTGTCGTCTCCTCAGCAATATCTCCTGGAGAGCATGTACAGCAATGAGTTCCAGGTAAGCGTAAAGGCGTACAAATAATTATTGAAGTTGCGTTTGAACTGTGTCACTGTGGCATCTCGCAGTCTTTTGTAAAGCAAAGGTTGATTGAACAAGCAGAGGTCAAACTTGGTCGACACAAAGTAGCGAACGCGGATGGACTGGGAGATTGCTTCTGTTTAACTAATCCTCGACTTCCTGTGAGTACATCTATTTGCCGTCGTGTCACTCTTGTTTAATTCACAATCGGACCTTGATACCATTCTGAGCTTAGGATCACCCAATTGTCCTTGTGTCGGATGGGTTCAATGCAGTCACCGGCTACCCACGGAGTCAGATTGTTGGGCGAAACTGTCGCTTCTTGCAAGGACCGGGCACTTCACCCGAGTCAGTTCAACGGATACGGGATGCTCTCAACAGATCGGAAGGTAGGGCCACGTTTTCGTGCTGGAATCTTTTTTGAAGTGACCGTTTGGTACGATCTACTAATTAGCGTGTACTGAGTTATTGTTGAATTATCGACGAGACGGGACACCGTTCTACTGCGTGAGTGTTTCCAGCTGGAGGTTCAATGTTTTGAAACGTAAAACTTATCTCTCCTCATGTGTAGCTCCTTTGTATCATACCCCTCCGAGACCATAACGGTAATCTTGTCTATTATATTGGTGGTCAGACTAATGTGACAAGTGTGTTCGCTGAGGAGTAATTATCTCACACTTTAGTACTGGTTGCAGTCATGGTCTCACATGCCATCTTCTCTAACAGTAGGGCCTCGTCTTTCTTGATCACAGGAGGTACAACTAATAATTTGTCAACAATGCCCCCGAATTTGCCAAATTTCTCCCCGTGGGTGTAGGACATGGTCATGATCTCCTCGTCTTCTCACTTCCCAGTCAGATCCATGATGGACTATAGAGGCATGGGACTGAGCCAGTCTCACACATCTAAAACGTCACTTAACTCCGTGCGTGGGAGTGCTGCGGGGGCTATAGACCCCGCTGCTGTCAACCATCAGAGTAGTGATGCAAACTCGAACAGCCTTGGTGCTAAAATCGGACGATTGTTCAAGAAACCGAGTATCGAGTCAGACATGTTTAGAGGGACCATCCCCATACCACAATATATTAGCACCAGTGTGGAGGCACCAAGGAAGTCAGATGTATGTTGTCTGATCTCGGCACACATCGTGTTCTTATTTGGGTCCGATTCTTTAGACGCAAATACCGTTCAGGAATGTATACTCGAAGCTAATTGTTATGCGGAAGGCTAAACGTGAAAGTGAGTGGTGGTCAATTTATGCCGTATTTATCGTGGTGTTTACTATGTTCGGAATCATCAGTAATATTTGTGACGGCGGATCTCCTTGGTAAGGGCTTCTGGCAATCTCCTCCTGGGACTAACTCCGTATTGTGTTTCTATAGGATACCTTGGTAATTTTTCCCATTCTGATGCCCTCTCAATTTTATTGATGTTGACTTTTACTCCAGGTCTCCCTTGCTCGACAACTAAAGAGCTGTACTCGTCGCCGTTGATACATTGTGATTTGCTGGACTGTATCACTGCAGGAGAGAAACGTGCCACCAAATCACTTAGGTACAGGATTAAAGACGCAGTGGACGCGGAGGAGTCGCTCTCTGTTGAGATTGGATTGAAAATGGCAATTGGCGCTTGGGGTAGCATTAAGGTGAACTATATGAGGATTCGGGTTTGATGATAGCTCAAAGCTTTCAACGTCAGGTTCGTGGTGACCGCACTCTGCGGTACGGTTACATGCACATGACGCCGTTAAAGGTAGGCTGTTGGCCTCCGGCGACTGTTATCCGTGCTGATGGTTTGGGGTATACTCAGGAACGAGATGGTCAATGTCTGGCCTACGTCTGCATATTTAGGTGAGTTGTCGTTTAATCACTTAACGACTGGTATCTAATACCCCTGTCAGTCCAAAATGAGAGCGAAATTCGAGCTCTATTGCTTGCATTAATCACCCCCACGAATCGCTAAGCGATTAATTTGTTAACTTGTTTCCCTCCACTGTTCCGTTTGCTGTGCTATACGTACCCGTATTATTTACTCTTCGCCCAAGTACTCCTGAATAACTCTTATACAGTTGTAGAAACCCTGGATAAGGCTGCCAAGTAGACAATATAATACATCACAAGCGTTGAAACTTGGAATGAGTCCAATTATTATTCGATCACTCATTGCCACTCCCTGAATCTGTTCAAGCCCGCTGGAAAATCCACGCCCACCGAACCCTCTCGCTACGAATTCGCTGCAGGAGACTTAGCCACGACGAGAGTCATGAGATTCGTGCATACCCGCGACCACGGGCCATTGATGTATTGTCGCAGACGTGCTTTAGGTTGGCTATGTTCAGCGCTGTGCAGTAATAATAGAGGAGGATGTCAGCCCACGTTATAGCGCTCTGCATGAGACATGTTATGGGTCTGAGTCCGGCATTCGCGGCCATACCTACAAACCAAAGCTAAGCCGACAAGCGGGGGATTGATATTAGAGGGAAAAACTCACCAGCAATTCTCTAAAGATATGATGGAGGCTTCAAGGAAGAGAATGAGACGAACTGATACTTGGGGCCACACATGATCTCAATGGACGTACGATCCAGATTCCCTCGAGATCGTTCCCGTTCCCACCATCTGTGGATTTGGTCCCTTATTGAAACAAATGCCATGTCAGAGGAAATGGGCCGACTCTAGGTGTGCAAGTGACATACTTAATTACACGACTGATACATTGCTCACAAACCCGAGTATTAGGGTCCTCTTTCCATCCAGCAGGAACGGAATTGTCATTCTGTGCCGTTGCATCATCCGCGGTCCCTGGCTGTAGGATTGCCCCGATCAATTGCGAGGGCTGGCTGGAAACTGGCCAACTGCTGGTGGTCGAGGATCTATGTTTTCGGGGCTAGGCGACTCCGGAGATGGCGTATCTCTTCTACCTGCCCTGGAACGTTGTATCCTTCCACTAATGTCAAGATCAATATCGATCATCTCCAAAATTGCTTCGCTCAGATTGATGGTTCGGCTGACAATGTGGCGAGCGAATCGGTCGCGCTCAATTGGATTAGAGTTAAGCAGAAGGTGTGAGGCGGCTTGACTCCAGATCATTCCGAGGACCTGTGATACATTTTGAACGGAGGAATCTGAAGGAGTGATGATATCAAGGTTGTCTAAAGCCTTCAGATGGGATCTGTAGGAGCCGAAACCGCCAAACCAGACTGTAGGTGGATCGTTGGGACATTCCCCTTCGGTGTCTATTGAAGAGCAGCTAAATCCATGACACAGCAGGCCTGCAATGGAGGAGATGGAGTGTGAATCAACAATCTCGGCGGCTAATGAAGCTGAAGAAATTACACTGGATAGGAAGTGCGACCGGGAGATACGCGGTACATGTCGAGCAATGTCTATGATTCGTCGCACCTTCCCTGTGAGAAGAATGTAAGGCCAGATCCATAGAGGGGTCGAGACAATCAGAGAACTGCGATGACTTACACTAGAGGATGACCATCATCTGAGAATAGGCGTGCGCGCCTGGACCCCCTACCAGGAAGGGGCCCTTCCATACCTTCCGGCATGGGTATGGGTATTGGGCAATTGAAACCGGTCTCATTTCCGGGAATACAGGATGGACACGGCCAAATGGGCTCTGACGAAAATTCAGGTAATGGAGATATGGCTCGAACAAGATTGTTGATTATGGCGCCAGTCCACTGGTTTTCCAGTTCATCATCGCTGACGTCTTCATCGTCGAAATCGACAGTGTCATCCAGGTTCGTGCGATGTGCACCGCCAAAGGGATATATGATATCCGTATTCGACGCAACACGAGGCGCCGGGATATTGTCGTGCCCAGAACCACTCCCATATGCTTTTTTTGTTTATTGTAACGTTGCAGAATCCCGTTCAGCTGGAATGCAAATCTGCCAGAATGAGCTCTCCTTTTGCATATAGGACAGGTTCCATTGCTGAGAGGGTATTAGTTGAGATCCTATGAGTAGGGTAATTCCATACGTTTTCCACCACTCTACCAAACATTCCTTGTCAAACTGGTGACCAATCAGAAGTTGATCGCTCTACATTAAATGCCCGAAAACGTACCGTATGGAGGCACGGTACAACAGTATATGGGCGCTGTAGAACATCAAGGCATATTCCTATCAACTCGAACTGTGTGGGTATCGCGTGAAATGAGGATACTTTATTGCCTCACCACACGAAAGATCGGCGGAGAACGACGTGTCTTCGGTCCTCGCTGAAGTGTCAGCTTCCAAAGCTGGCTCGGTCATGGCTGAGTCAGACATAGAGTCATCGTCCCCAGGGACAACTGCGGCGTCAGGTTCGTCCATTTTCCCTGTTGAGATCGCTTCAGCCTAGTTGAGAGCTGGGGAAGTTCGGATGCGCATATGATCATTTCGGCACCGAATCAGATTTAAAAGTTCCCACGGTTTTAGGCAAGACACCAACACCACAACATGCCTCCTCGTCGTGCCTCCGCCCGCATTGCTGCAGCCTCAGCAGAGAAAGAGAAGCCAAAACCTAGCAAACCCAAAGTATCTTCAAAAGCTAGCAAGAAACGCGTGCATTCATCCGAACCTCAAGACAATGAAGACAAGCACCAGAATGACAGCGACGAACAAGAACCTCCGAAAAAGAAGGCAAAGAAATTCACTGCTGTACCCAAGGGCGCGAAGGCATCTAAGGGTAGGTCGAAGGCTAAGAGAAAGAAAGTAGATGTCGAGGAAGATGAGGTGGTTGATCAAGGTTCGCCTGCGCCAGTCGTTTTGACAAGGAACCAATAGAACACTTTCGTCCATAGGTGAAGGAGATGGGGAAGAGGGAAACAAAGATGAGGAAATGAACGAGGATCCCAAAGATAATGCGAAGGAAGTTTTGTCTTCGCCTTCGCCACCTCCCGCTCCAGCACCAGCACCGAAGATTGTCTCTGTGAAGAAACGAGGGTCGGCACCTGTGGATCCCGAATCCTCCTTTGTGGGTAAGCGCGTCTCATAATGAACTTGCCATTCCCTCATGTTCCGTTCTCCCCACTGCCCTTGGCTTCTAAACTCAATGTCTTCAGACACGCATCAAGTGTATGAAGCAAACGGGGAGGTTTGGGATTGCATGCTTAACCAAGTATGTCTGAAATATTTTTATTCGCCCCGGGAGACACCTTTCCCACATTTATCACCTTAATAGACCAATATCTCGAATAACAACAACAAGTCAGTCCATCACCCACATTCTCTGAACCTAAAAGTTTACACTTAATGACGCACAGGTTCTACGTCATTCAGCTTCTTCATCCCATCGGAAACTTGGGGAATGTGCTACTTCACACCCGCTGGGGGCGCGTGGGCGAGCGAGGTCAAAGCCAGCAGAAGGTTTGTCCAGATCCAAGGTCAATTTAGAATATTGATTGAACTCGTTACAGGGGCCCTTTGATCCAAGCATTGGTATCCGCGAATTTTGCAAGCAATTCAGAAGCAAGACGACAGCTGACTGGGCAAATCGTCGCACTATGGTAGCCAAAGAGGGAAATACGTGTGGCTTGAGAGGGACTTCAACGACGACCAGGAGGATGAGGATGAAGAGGACAAGGGGAAGGGGAAGCAGAAAGAAAAAGACCTCAAGTTTCCTGATGCGAAGGCTGCTCCCCAAGTTCAGGTTAGGCATCTGTTCAGGCGTTTTTGAACAATTGTCTGAATATTTTTCGTTAGCGCCTCGTGGAGTTCATATTTAATAGCAGGTGTGTCGCTGAAGGGTCCTTCTTAGTAACATTTTCAATGTGACACACATTTAGCTTCATCAACGCTCACTTGCAAGAAATGAACTATGACGCCAACAAGGTCATTGCATGAGATTTACAAGTGGATAATTATCACTATACAGTGATTGGACCTGTTCCAGCTTCCCCTCGGAAAGCTTGCGAAATCAACAATTCTGAATGGCTTCACCGCTCTTAAAGTTGGGTTTCTCATGTCAGCACCAGTGATGTCCTGACATCTCTACCAGGCGATTGCAGAAGTGCTCGCTGATCCCGGTGGTAGTCTAGCGGTGTCTCATGGCGGGGCAGTGAGGGTCCGTTAAATTGTTTACATCGCTGATTGTCGTTTGACGTTGCCATACGCAGGCATACGAAAGTTGACTAATCAATATTACTCGTGAGTGACACCTGCACATACACTGACGAATACCTACCTCGCTTTTCGTTCAGAGTCATTCCCATAGCTTTGGGAGAAATCGGCCGGTCATCATCAGCGACGACACGTTGCTCAAAAAGGTGCGGCCCAACATGCCTTCCGTCTTTGCTGCTCCAGACAGTCCATTCCTGTAGGAACTTGAAATGCTTGATGCCTTGGGCGATATGGTGAGCAGTCTATCTGTCTAACGTGGGTGTGGAATTGATCCCAAGTCATTTGCAGCAAATCGCAACCAAAGTGCTCACGACTAAGGAGGACTCTGATATACATCCCATCGATGCATCACTTGCAAGCCTCAATCTTTCCATCGTCGAGCCATTAGAACATTCATCCAAAGAATTCAAAGCATTGGAGAAGTATGCCCAGGATACGCATGGAGAGACGCACGCCTACTACAAGGTCCAAGTTGAGGAGATTTTCAGGATCCAAAGGAGCACTGACGACAAGGCGGATCTTTCCGTTGAGTCGGGAGAGCGACTGCTGCTTTGGCATGGCTCTCGCAGTACCAACTTCGCAGGTGCGCAGTCAGGATGATCTCTCAACTACTCTGATGCTAATTTATTCTCTTAGGTATACTCAAGCAAGGTCTTCGAATTGCCCCTCCGGAAGCGCCAGTCTCAGGATACGTACGCATCCCGGCCCCGCTCTTCTCCGTCCACCATCTCATTTTCTGTCCAGATGTTTGGAAAAGGCGTTTACTTTGCAGATCATATGTCCAAGTCTGCTGGCTATTGCTATGCATACTTGTCTCAAAGCACCGGGCTACTTCTTTTGGCAGAAGTCATCGCTAAACCCTTCGTTGAATTGATGGACGCCAAATACGATGCAGATACCTTGTGCAAGAACCAGGGAATGCGGTGCGTGTAGCAACAATCGCTTTGGCTACAGTCTATCTCCCTAGAAGACTCATTTGACATTTTCTCAGTGCAACAAAAGGGATTGGCCGTGTCCAGCCAGTTGAATGGGAGGATTGTGCGGAAGTGCTCGGAAATCCCGAGCTGAAAGGCATACAAATGCCCAAGGGTAAAGGCCGAGAGGTTTCCCACCTGGAGCCTACTTACAGTATAATGAGGTAAGACTGAATGCCCTCTAATGGATGTCATTAACAAATATGATACAGTATATTGTGTACGACACATCCCAAAGTGAGTCTTTCATATTTCACAGGCATCCAATATTAAGATCTCGTCTTTACAGTCCGGCTTCGGTACCTCTTACGAATAAAGATGCAATAATCGGATCGCACAGTTGCTGGACAACATCCCACTGTCAGTGTTTGGCGCATGCTATATATGTATGGCCGGGTTTACAGCATTGTTTCCTGTACGATCGTAACTTAGCAACTTGGTTTCCGTAAACTATTGCTACAAAACTTATTCAATGATCCTGGAGACATGACATAACTTACGACAGAACATGTTAGGGTGAACGGAACTGACCACGCCTAGACTCTCGCCAGATATTGGAATGCTTATTTGAGCGCGTCCTCTCTCTCTAATACTGACGGATCTAATTTGATCAGGATAGTTGTCCGTAATGGATGCGCATCTGTTGGTACGGAATGTGCAGTTACCCGTGCGGGCTGCGACGAAATCATCAGAATCATTAAGATGAGGTCACATGGAGCTGGAACATACAAAGCCTAGGCCATCCAGGACAGCCTCAACTATGCCCGCTGTCAACGCTGAGCAGCTGAGCTGACTCATATCCTTTGGAATGGATATGTATCGCGTGATAATAGGATCGTTGTCTACTATCATGTCTAAGGTCAAGAAGTCATTACCCAAAAAGACTTGCGCATCATTGCATAACTCACATTCATCATCTTTCTCCAACCCACGCTCGAGAGCATCCGCGGGCTTCCCAAACACTGCTTTCCATACTTGAGTATGGATGAACATGAGTGCCTGGACCAGTTTGATTTCTCGCTTTGGGTTTTTGGTGGGATCGTTGCGCCAGGCGAGTAATTCAGCAACACGAAGCCCAATTCGGTAGCCCACTGTGCTCAGTCTGGGGAAATTGGCGGGCATTACAATAGTTGTTATCGCACCGATTTAGTTACTAACCGTCTTTCAAGATCACCTATACCGCTTACTCTCTTCTGTGTGTACTGCACAATTTCACTGAACAGGAAAGCGTATGCCGAGAGAGAGACTTGTGACATCCTGCTTTTATTTAGATTCCTGTCGTATATTGCACTACGCGCTTTTGCAGCGGAGGCATTCGTTGCCGTTGTGCTTATGGGATGAGGTACAGCTGGACCAGATGTAGAGGTAGCTACAGAGAATCGAGATGTATTTGCTGAGGCTGGGACGGGAGAGGATGTCCGGGGCGAAGAAGGTGAATTGTACAAAGATAATCTAGCTACATTGGGCGGCTGCGGGCCCATCATCTTGTGGGACGATCGGCAGAAGCACTTGTTTGAACGGTGAGCAGTGCGTGGCGGTGGATTCAGTGATCCCAGTTCCCACGTGCCGGCTCAAGTTCGACGTCCGCTGTTTGTTGTTCTTTGCGCAAATGTTGACAGCTGGCGCAAAGCGAAGCGTCCACTCACTAGGAATTGCTCCATTTGTGAGCTCTGGAAGCCTCAGGATTGCTGCTACGAACGCTCGACGATGTCTTACTCGGTCTGCTCCAAATTTCGCGCCAACACCTGAGCAAGAGGACGCTGCCTTTCGGGCTCGAGTGACCTCTTTGAATGACTTCTTCACGCAGAAACGCTTCTCTGGTATCAGGCGACCCTATACTGTGGCAGACGTTGCCACCAAACAGGGTAGCCTGCCCGTGCACCCCCCGGTGTCAGCTGTTTTGGCGGATAAACTATTCACACTGTTGACCAAGGCTGAAGAAGAAAAGCTCCCCTTACATACCTTGGGGGCAATTGATCCCGTCCAAATGACCCAAATGGCGAAGCATCAGGAAGTGTTGTATGTTAGCGGCTGGGCTAGTTCCAGTGTCCTCACGACCGCCAACAACGAAGTTGGCCCTGACCTAGCGTACGCTCGACATTTGGGATTAGTCTGTTTCGAGTAATGAATGACAGCCTATTTTTATGCCCTGTACCCTTATACTGGACCCGAACCAGTGATTATCCCTACACCACAGTGCCAAACCAGGTGCATCGACTTTTCCGTGCACAGCAGCTACATGATAGGAAGCACTATGATGAAAGGATGTCAGCGACCCCAGAAGCCCGAGAACAATTGGAATATATCGATTACATGCGTCCAATCATTGCGGATGCTGACACTGGACATGGTGGCCTGTCGTCGGTCATGAAATTGGTTAAACTCTTCGTCGAGTCTGGGGCTGCGGCGATTCATCTTGAGGATCAGTTTCACGGTGGAAAGAAAGTATGTTGGCTTTCAACCCGTTCAGTTACCGATCTTCTTTACGAAGGCCCCCAATAGTGTGGCCATCAAGCTGGGAAAATTCTCGTTCCAACGTCCCAACACATCAGTCGACTCATTGCGTCTCGATTCCAAACTGACATGCTTCTCTCGACCTTGCTGCTTATCGCCCGAACCGACTCAGAATCTGCTAAACTGATATCGTCAAATATTGATGCTGCCGATCACCAGTATATCCTAGGTACGACACATAGTGGAAGGCGCTAGCAGAAACTCTCGCCAAAGCCGATGCAAGCGGGAAAACAGGATCAGAAATTGATGCACTCGAGATCGAATGGATGGGACAACACCAGCTGTGCACATTTGGTCAAGGTAAACAACTTGAAATGGGATCAATCAGCGGGCCAACGTAACACTCTTTTAGCCGTCGCTCAAGCAATCGAGCGCTCGTCAATATCGGACAAGACCGGGGCTCTGGATCGGTACACTTCTCTGGCAGATGGGCAGTCTAACTCAGAGGCGCGAGCGATTGCTCGCGACATACTTGGGGAAGATATTCAGTGGAACTGGGACTGTGTGCTTATTTACTCCTGCTTCTTATGCGATCTCACTGATTCACTCCCCGCTAGTACCGCGTACTCGTGAAGGTTATTACCACTTTGAGGGCGGCATGGAGGCTGCTATTGCGCGTGTTCTTGCATATGCTCCCTATTCTGATTTACTATGGCTTGAGACGAAGAAGCCGGATCTGGAGCAGGCTCGTTCGTTTGCACGGCGGATTCGTGCCAAGTATCCTGGGAAGTGCGTGCATTCGAAACTCGGCTGAGAGCTTGATCGCCTAGCTATTCTGATTCTCCCCATTTAGGTGGCTTGTTTATAACTTGAGCCCAAGCTTTAATTGGTCCGCTCATGGGTATAGCAGTTAGTCGTATGTTGCATATCATTGGTGTGAACTGACAGTGCACACGGCATGATTCAGATGTGGATTTGAAGAACTTTGTATGGGAACTCGCCAGAGAAGGGTGAATTTCAATCTCCACGTTTTCTCCAGCTATTGATAACACATCCCAGTTTCGTCCTTCAGCTCATCTCGCTTGCTGGACTGCACAGCACGGCCGTGACGACTGGTGCGAGTTCTCATGGCTGAAACAAATAATGGCGATATTCATTTGCCGAATCCTAGCCGAGCTTGCTCAACAGTACAAAACTGACGGCATGTTAGCCTACGTGGAACTCATTCAAAGGAAAGAGAAGGAGATTGGTTGCGACGTTCTTACGCATCAGAAATGGTCGGTTCCATGCACCTCGCTTCCTTCTTCCACTCACACGTCTAAATCAGGAGCGGCGCCAACTACATTGACAGAATTCTTACAAGTAAGCATTATGTGCGTATCCGACTTGGTCATCACTGAACCGATAACCCTTCACTTCGAAGCCATTTCATCGGGTTCATCTAGCACGTCGGCAGTAGGGAAGGACTCCACGGAGCATACCTTCTGAAAACGCATCCCCTTTCTCCCAGCCACGGGCGACCACCCGTACTCTCCAGTCCAAATTTATATATCTTCGTTTGACCGCCTTGAGCCTTGCTTCGGTTAGGCACAAGTGTCAAATTCTTCATATGACCCATGCATCCAAACCACATCACAACCAAGGTGACCAAAATTGTTGTACAAAAACAATGGACGAAAGACTGGAGTCATCTGTGTATCTGTTTTTCCAAAAACAAATTTCCAGTGTGCAACTTCCGTGGTGTCGTCGTGTGATGCATGGTTTCCCATTCTGACAGTACAAGCCCTACTGACACGAATGAAGTAGTTGAATGATGACAGCCGTTCCCTGAATGCATACTAGTGGCGTGTGTTGCGTTTCCATCTTCGTCAGGGGTTGTGCGTCGCCATCTGAGCTGCGAAAGCACAGTTCAGTCCACTGAAAATCGGGTCACTGTACCCCGCCGCTGCGGTTTGTTTCGCGCTGGCCAATTGGGCTCAGTTAAATCGCCAGCTCGCCCAGAAGCTGTTGCGGTCGTTCGCGCAGAATTATTACAGTCGAGATCATGCTTGAGTTGATAGCTTCGTTGATTTTGTTAATTTCTATTGCAGTAAGTAGTAGCAATCGAATGATCACACGATTAGTTCAGATGTACGACTGCACAGATGACGCGCTGCGGGATGCGGGTGCGCAGGCGGTTATGCGCTACTAACGACACAGCATAGTTACAGCTCTATTTGCATGGCAATTAGCATCGCATAGCTAAGTATAGTCTGCGTGAATGCGCATGCAGGTTGTATGTAGATCGCATTGCAGAAATAGTCAGATATCGATTCCCGAACCTGATGGGTTAGCACGCGTATGCCCAAAATGTCAAACTTGAGGCGCATTAATGGCGTCTGAGGCAGCGGTAACCGCGACAAGGTTGGATCACTCGAACAACCAAAAATCGGATCGGAAGTTGCCTGCGATATAATCCCGCCACTTTGGAAGATGGCCTTGAGGAAGTTCCCGTTGTTACCTCACGTGTATTGGCTAGTATTCATGGTATTCCAGTCTCTTGTGAAGCGTTCATGAGCAAGGCGTCTCATTGTCTTTTGGGGTGTGTTGCCTCGGCGGAGCCAGTACTTGGAGCCAATGTCAACTGCCACTCCACTCCTTGTGGTGTTCGCCAAAGGCACGGCCTGGTTCCGGCATCAGCTAGTTCCATCTGGCATGGATACAGTGCATGACAACGTCCTGGACAACCGGGATCGTATGCAATCTTACATTTGACGAATGGTACCGGACTCACTGTCATTGAGCAAATGTTGTACTTAACTGCGCGTGCTGAATTGCAGCTTATTTCCTGCTCTCTCTCATGAGCTCGTTTGCCTTCCGAGCTATACGAGATCTTGTTAAAACCCAACCGGGCATTCAGGAACAGCTGATCAGAGCCTTCCTTTTCCCATTGGCCATTGCAGACGTGAGCTCTGAGCCTCGCCAGCAAAGTTCATTGTACTGATTAGAGGACTTCCTATAGGTGACCCAGTCAGCATCTGATCACTATCGAAACTCACAGCGTATCTGACTTTGTGATAGTGTTGCACTGACCTTCCTTGTCATGGCCAATGAAACCACCTGCGACCCTTCAAAGTGGAACGCCGTGACCCATGGAAACATCACCTTCACATTGTTTCTCTTCCTCCTGAGGTCCGTTTGAACTACGTTCCGGTTTGAGCACGGAACATCATCTTATTGTTTTCAGACTGGCTTGGATTGCAGGGGTTTCCCGACCAACGTTCGTGCGTCGAAACCATCAGAAGGCACACTGATGCAGCCCGAAACTTGCGCATCAACGCGTCCCGTTTCCAAGTTATTGCAATACGGGCATCCCTTGGCGTTCACTTTGAACCTAACCAACGCCAAAAACGTCTCTTTCAGGCCATGTTACCAACAAAGCAAATCCACGACATCACACTTTTGGTGGGACAGATTGGAGAGGCGCCAAAGTCACTCCTCCACTCGAGTGCAGTCCCCTTAGGGAAATGACAAGAAAGGGTGTTGGTGTCCATTGCATCGGTTTCACACTCACGACATGGATGATCCGTCCACAAGAATTAAATAGGAAAAAAAAAACGCTTCAGCGTGTATCGCTATCCGGTTAAGGTCCCAATGTGAGCTGACAACTGAGATGGCTGTGAGCAGGAAGTACAATCTGAGCTTTCGTGCAAGTTGGGGAACCAGCTACTCAGACACCGTTCAGATCTTTCGGGGTCATGGGTCAAGCAATCACAATTACCCTTCCTCGATAAGTGGCGGAACGAACCAAAATGGCAGGGTTCCCGAACATCGGGATGCTGATTTGCCTTTCCCTCGGAATGCATAGTATAGGCACTAGTGTCAGCAGGAAACTATAGCGGAAGGGGGCTGGACTTTAGAGAAAGGCACTCGGCGAAGAGGTGGGAAACTGTGTCACCTGACACCCAAGCGCTTGGGACTCAGAAAATGCAAGCGCCGCGGAAACCAGCGCCTCGCCAGGCACGACCTGCCCAACGATATTTCCCTGGAAAGGCCCCAAAGGGTGCTCAAGAAGTCTCTGAATCAGAGTCTGATGAAGAACAGAAACTCAGTGAGGCCCAGCTGGAATCTGGCAGTGTTCCCATTGCTGGAGACATCGAGAATCTGGAAGATGGAGGCCGCCTAGGGATATCTGCAAAGGAGAAGCCTTCTGGTCTTGCAAGGGGAATTAATGTTGCCCTGAGGAATGTCAATGTAACTGAAGCTGGTAGAGTCATCGTAGATGGACGGGAAGAGTCTGGAAGGACAAAGATGGAACGTACGGCCATATCTATAGCTTTTCTGCGTTTTTTTCGGGTCTGACGGCTTTGCACCGCAGAATTGTCGGAGGATGAGTCTGGACAGGATGAAGCCGGGGCAGACGACGCAGAGGAGACTGTGCGTACAGATCCAATCGATATCGAGCAAAAAATCTTGTTCTTGCTGAATGTCGTCTCTTCAGTCAAGTAGTGAGGATGAGTCGGAGGAAGAAGAGGAGGAAACTTCACTCGCATTTCGGCCAATGTTTGTGCCGAAGTATGTCGTTCGTTCCTGAATTAGTTTGCATCTTTGCTACTAAAGGTTTTGTTCGTTAGACGGGCGCGAGCTACTCTCCAAGAGAGGGACGCGGCCGTAGAGAACATGGATGAAGCTGAGGCAAGACGCGAGGAAGAGGCGGCGCGGAGGAAGAAAGAGAGTCATGATCTTGTTGCCGAGAGCATTATTCGGGAACTTGCTGATAGTAAAGCACTCACCGATCCACCTACTATCTATACTCACATCCCCTCCCCTTTTTTCAGAGGAATCCAAGGAGACCGTTCCGGATGTGGATGATACCGACGGTCTTGATCCCACATTGGAGTTTGAAGAATGGCGACTCCGGGAGCTCAGCCGGATAAAGCGCGATAAGGAGGCCCAGCTCAGGAGGGAAGAAGAGCGGGAAGGGTCGAAAGACGGCGTGCGTTGCCTGAAGCTCAACGACTAGCTGAAGATGTAGAACGCGCAGAGAAGTCGCGGACGGAGAAACCCAAAGGGAAACAGAAGTTTCTTCAGAAGTACTATCATAAAGGTGCTTTTCACCAGGTACGAAATTCCCAGTGATGATTTAAGTTTTGGGCTTACTCTGGTTAATAGGATGTAGAAATTCTCAAGCGACATGACTTCACCGAAGCCACCGAGTCAACACTTGATATGTCAATATTGCCCAAAGTCATGCAAGTCAAGAATTTCGGCAAGCGTAGCCAAACCAAATATACGCATCTTTTGGACCAAGATACCACCAAGGACACTGGCGGGTTCGGTGGTGTTGGACAGCTTGGGAAACCTGGTTTGACCTGTTTCAATTGTGGCGGGGTCCATTTGCGTCGTGGTGAGTGCGTTATAACGCTCCTTGGACTTGCCGGATTGACTATAATGCAAACGTTAGACTGCCCTCACGCTGACAACGCGCAGTCGGGCCGCCCGGGATTTGGAACCGGAGCCAATGGGGCTCATCCATCAGCTAGACCTGGCAAACAGTGGGGTGTGCGGAAGGAGGATGAATCATTGGCTCCTGCGGGTCCGAGACAGTGGAGAGATCGTCCGGAAGACGATAACTATCGACGGTCAAGAGAGGAGGATGACAGAGATCGGGGTTGGAACCGGAATCGAGATAGTCGTTGGGACGAGCGTGATCGGGATAGAAGGCGAAGACGATCTTATTCGAGATCTGTGTCACCACGGCCGCGATACTCATCGCACCGGGCCCGTGAACGGTCAGGAAGCATCGAACGATCAGATAAACGTAGGAGAAGAGACTAACAGTTGTTGGTCCAACCATACATAATTTATTCCCTAGTATGCTAATGTCAGTCAATGTACTTCTCTGCACCCCAACGATGTCCATTTTTTGTTTGAAGTTGTCTTTGCAAATGGACCCCGTTCTGGTCAACCAGTATTCTTACGCGGTGTTTGACCTCTAAATACATGATATCGCACCATCACAAACCCAGTTACCAATATTCCTTAGAGACATGGAGTTCTCATTAGTAATAATGTGTAGCTAATATACAAACCAATGACGTCCACAAGATAAACAGAGCATCTACACTATGAACGAACTCTCCCTGTGCTCTCCGTATACAGTCGAGCAGCGATATTCATTGCCTGAAGCTCCTGGAATAGCAACTTCGCGGCATATGGGATGTACAATTGGGAAACAGCAACCTTGTTTTTGCAGGCTCGGCACTCGAATTGTTGTTTTTTCTATGCAACAGGCAGTTAACGGCTAAGATGGTGGTGGCTCACTAGTTGGACCTACCAAGTTAGCAATCGCGGTCAAACCACATATATCACAGACATGCAATCTGTAGGCGTCGCTAGCATCGAATAATCGTTCTTTCAAGAAACCTGCAATGCCATGGGAGATCATGCAATCGCGCTGGGACGTTGAGACATAGTGATAAGCAGAATTGCCAGGCGTAAAAGAATCAATCATTTACCTCCATTTCACCGAAACGAAGACCACCATCTCGACTACGACCTTCCACAGGTTGACGGGTAAGAATCTGCACTGGCCCACGCGCTCGTGCGTGTATCTTATCGTCCACCATGTGTTTCAGACGCTGATAATACGTGGGACCTAGATACACCTGGGCTTGAAGTTTCTTTCCTGAATGCCCATGATACATGACTTCCAAGCCTCGAGAGTGGTAACCGTGCTGGCGTAGCAACTGCGAGACAGACTCCACAGTTAATTCGGTGAATGGGGTGGCGTCTCCTTCATTCCCTATCAAAGTTGCGAGTTTGCTGAGCAAACACTCGATCAAGTGGCCGATAGTCATTCGAGACGGGATAGCGTGAGGATTGATGACAAGATCGGGTGTAATGCCTTCAGCAGTGAAGGGCATATCTTCGTGTCGGTAGGTAATGCCGACAGTACCTTTTTGACCATGGCGAGAAGCGAACTTGTCACCAACTTGAGGAACACGAGTGGCTCGGATGCGTATCTTGACGAATTTGAGACCTTCCGCATTTGTGGTAATAAGGACTTGGTCCACAATGCCGTTCTCAGTCGATTTGAGTGGTGTTGATACATCACGTCGGGTATGTGTTCGAAGTCGTTGTCCAAGTTCCTCGCTATCAGGAGGCAGAGGTGCAGTCTTTCCGATGATGATGTCTTCACCAACGACACCAGTCCCTGGGGCGATGAGACCGTCGTCCTCTAATTTCTCATACGTCCCATGCTTCATACGAAGCGTGGTATCGCGCGTTGGCTTTTCGAACTCCTCAAGCGTGAGGAGACCAGCTTTTTTTCGGTGTCAGTATAACTGCGGTAGTACATACTTCGGAAAAGACCGCGATCGATGGAGCTCTGATTCATGATGACCGAATCTTCCTGGTTATATCCACTGTAACACAGAATTGCGACAGTAGCGTTTTGACCAGCCGGTAGCTCCCTGAAGCGGAGGTATTCCATGGATCGGGTGGTAGCAAGGGGCTTTTGAGGGTAGTAAAGGATGTTTGCCATTGTGTCCATGCGGACTTGGAAGTTAGTGAGGTAAATACCCATCGCTTGTTTTCCCATAGCCGATTGATAGGTATTACGCGGCGACTACGGCAGGTTATAAAAACACTGGCTGGACTGAAACATATTCTGTACCTACTTGGTTATGGTCAGGGAAAGGAATGATGCTGGCGCAAATGCCCAGAATCATGCTTGGGTGAATCTCACAATGGGTCCACGTATGCGCAGTCATGGTGCTACGGATTCGAGCTGCGACATCGTGGTCCGATGCGCCGACATTGGAAACGTATCCAGCCGTTGCAGCATTAGTTCGTGAATTCTCCAGATCATCTGGGGTCATGCAAATCATGACTGTCTCTTCCTCCTCTGCATCGAGCAACTCGATGACACCGTCCCTAACCAAGTCGGACCACTTGTATGGTTGTGTCGCATTTCGGTCATTAAGCTTGTTGATGTGCTCTTTCTTCAACATCAACTGCTGGTCCTCGACAATAAATAATGGGCGGCATACTCTGCCAGCGTCTGTATAGAGACGCAACTCACGCTCACGGATATCACGAACGATGCTCACTTCTGAGCTTATATCGTCCTTTCTCCGCAACCGCCGCAGAGTCTTGACAAGGTTGGGAGCGTCACGATGTACACCTAACCAAACACCATTCACGAACACTTTTGTAGCGTTCCCGTGAGCGCTGTTCTCTTCTAGACTCTCGAGCCCCCACTCTTGCAAGAATTCGATGACAGGAGCAGAGATTGAACCAACAGATATGCAAGCCATGAGAGACAGATTCTTTACTAGACCGCATGCCTGACCCTCGGAGTCTCAGCGGGACAGACCATGCCCCAGTGTGTGTTATGCAGTTGACGAGGTTTAGCAATCTTGCCATCGCGACCAAGAGGGGTGTTACAACGTCGCAAGTGCGAAAGCGTGGAGGCGAAGGTGTACCGATTGAGCACTTGTGAGACTCCAGCTTTCGAAGACATGGCTTTCTTCTGGTCGCCCCAATTACCGGTGGCGAGAGAGTACTTGAGGCCGTTAGTGATAGTACTTGGTTTAACAGCCTGGCCAATGGTGAATTCTTTGTGTGTTTCCACGCACTGTAGAAACCGAATTAGGGAGATGAAAGTATTCGAGTGTAATCCGACATCTACCTTCTGCAAATGTCGATAGACATCCTTCGTGAGCTTCCGGAATAGCATTCGGAACAGACTAGCCAGAAGTGGTCCAGCCAGATCCAATCGCTTCTTTCCGAAGTGATCACGATCATCTAGCTCCCGTCGTTCCAAAGCAGCCAGCAATAACCGGTGGATCATGTACCCAAAGAAGAAAGCTTTCTTGCTTTCAGAACCCTCATTCATCGAAATATGAGGTAACATTTCCTTTTGCAGAATTTCTTGCGCGTAACGAAGACGCTTGTCCTTCGTCAGACCCGTCGTTGTCCCACGTTTGCCGATGAGATCAAGGGCAACCTGTCAACTGGTATTAGGTCCAAACAATCCGAAGCCTATAATTAACCTCGCACCTCGCGCTCCTGGATCACGAAACCTTCATCTATACATGGCTTTAACATTTCAACCATTTGTGTGTCGTTAGAATCGTAACAAATGTGTTCCAAGATATCGCGGTCAGATGTGATTCCAAGAGCACGAAAAACAACCCAGATCGGGATATCATCTCGAATGTAAGGTAGTGTAGCCCGGATAACGTTCCCCAACTAGAGAAAAAGCTGAGCATCCCAAAAAAAAAAAACAGGCACGAAAATACTCCAACGCACAGTCTTCTGAGGATTTCGGTGGTACATTTTGACCTGCATCGTACTGATGGTCTTGCCGCCTTTCTCGACGGCACTCCGCACCTCGGCTAGGAAGGAGACCGGTGACGGCTGAGCTTTGGCGAAGACGTACACGTGGTTTGCGGCCATTCGCTCCTGTGCTATAAGTACTTTTTCTGACCCATTGATGATGAAGTAGCCACCCTTCAAATACGTCAGCATCTCTGTCCCCTGTACAAACGGTAAAACCTGTGCTCACCTGGTCGTAGGGGCACTCGTTCAAATCATATAACTCTCTCTCCGACAATCCGTGTAGGATGCAGAACTGAGACCGTAACATGATCGGGACCTTGCATTATAATAATTTTGGTAACACTCTGAGATAGAGGCCCGAAGATCTTACCTTGCCAATCCAAACACTGTTAACTTGCTCCACGGGGTTGCTGGTGTCTGCAGGAATCCACTCTATTTCACCGCTGTTGCCAGAGCTGCTAGGATCCGGGACGAAAACTGCTTTAGTCATATCAACGTAAAGTGGTGCCGAATATCTGATCAAGGCGTCAAACAGCTGCGAATGGCACATCCCCTTTGAGTAATGGGAAGATTTGCTCACGTTAGGTTGCGAAGTCGAGATTCTTGCGGAAACACGGGAACCACGCTTCCATCGCCTTCAATGATGGTCGGCCGTGAAAGGTAAATTTGTCCAAAGTGGATCTCATAGCGGCGCTTTATATGCACAAGGAATGAGCTGCGAGTCCGTACTAGCCCTTGGTCTATACGTACGGCATTGTTGTCATGTTCACCAGAGTACTGAGCACCCTGGTCCAAGACCAGGTCGGCATTCTCGTCAACAAGTTCTTGCATAGTGTTCTGGACAAACTCGTCAAAGGAGTCAAGCTGTTGGCGCACAAGACCCTTCTCATCAAAGAAAGAAGTAATAACGGTCCAGCAGTCCTCTTGAGTAATGCCTCGTATCCATCATCATCGTAATACTGCTCCTCGAAACTCTCAACACCATTGGTGCTGTCCGCCGGAGTGTAGTCTGAAGGAATCATCTCATTGCATGAAGCAACACATCAGAAAGCACAGTTTCTTTGATTCGTCTAACCTGCGCTCATCGCACGCGTCCCTCTCCTCCCAACGCCTTAACTAAAACGCCAAAGGTCAAAAGTTGGTGGGTGAGCTGAGTAAACGTAGTTTGCTTCCGAATCGGGCCTCGTGATCCTTTATTCTGTCCCCGCATCGTCGGGTCAATAGTGGGGCGTAACTAGCCGCCATGGAAAGTGAGATATTCGACAGCGTAACCTGGGACACCCCCAGCGATGGGGGATTTGGCGGCCATGACCTACATGGTGACCATATCCCAGAGACTTCGACCGGCCCAGGATATCTGCAAGCAAGTGATCCTAGGCAGGCTCCTCCAGTGGAGGGCGAGCCCAAATGGGAGGGTTATCTGGATGTAGAGCTTAAGGATCCAGTGAAGGAGCTAGATGGCACCAAAGATGCATATATTTCATATCTAGTCTGTGCTAGTGTACGGCTCCCCTTCTAGCACAATTGCGTATTGTTGACCTATTTGATTTACAGACCAACTTGATAACTTTCTCATCTCCGAAACCTTCTGCGCGAAGGAGATTCCAGGACTTTGTCTTTCTTCATGAAAATCTCGTTAGGGACTTCCCGGCCTGTGTGGTGCCACCACTTCCTGGAAAGCATCGACTAGGTCAGTCGCTGGCCTACGTCGTCATCGTTGTATTCTGACTAGTTGGACTAGAATATATCACCGGAGACCGATTTAGTCCTGAATTTGTTGAACATCGTCGTGTGGAGTAAGATTCTGTCGGGTATCCGGTGACACACTATTAATGGATCAACAGACTGGAACGTTTCCTAGTGCGCATCGCTCGACATCCGATCTTACAGCGGGCGACTCTTGTTCGCTCGTTTTTCGAGTCTACAGACTGGGTGCGTTTCGCGTTTATCAATGGGGTTATTGCGCTTGACAAACTGTCCTGCAGACGGTCAAGATGCATCAGCATCTTGCACACCCACCAGGTCCCGATCCCGTCCCATCACTTCTTGACAATATCTCCGACACTCTTCTGAATGCATTTTCTCGTGTGCGTAAACCCGATGAACGTTTCCTCGAAGTCCGTGAGGGAATCGATAAGTTTGATGAGGGGTTAAACAGCATTGATCGGTTGTGGAATCGTTCTCGGTCGCGCACAGACGGTAAATATACACTCACGTGAAGGGCTCTCATTGACGTTACATCAACATCAGATTTGTCCAATGACTACCATGATCTAGCACTTTCCATTCAAGGACTCGGTTTCCTTGAGTCAGGTATTACAGAACACCTGAATGCCTTTTCCAACACTCTTCTCGAGTTCTCTGCAATTCTCAAGAATAACGTGCGTGCTTTACGACTATTCGTCCTCCGATGCAAGTTAATAGTCTGTCCCAGACTGTGAATAATACAGATCCATTCTTAACACACCTCCACTCTCTATTGGCCTACTCCCAGGCTCATCGTGGTGTACTCAGGCTGCGCGACCAGAAGCAGCTGGATCTTGAGGAACTTACCCAGTATCTCTCGAATGTTGTCATCGAACGCGATAGATTATCCTCACTGATCGCTGGCCGGCCGGGGACGACATCCCAAGGCATCGGAGCGTACCTCAGGGAACGCGTTGATGCCATACGTGGAGCAGATGACGATAGGAGTCGGGTGGAAAAGATGCGCAAACTGGATACGAAAATAACGGAGGTATGGCTCTTAAATCTCTAATGAGAGTCTTGGATTAAAGTTACTGGATGAGTAGCTTCAGGATGCGGTGACAACAGCTTCTGAGACGTCTGAAGCCTTCAGCAGCGAGACTCTCAAGGAGTACACGGTATTCCAACATGCAAAGCGTGCTGAAATGAAGGATCTTTTTGATGCCGTGGCGGATGGTCAAATCGACACTTACCGAAAGGTACGCAGTCCCCCAATCTGCAGTGGCGATGTAACTATGATCTAATGGACATGCACAGGCCATGGAAGAATGGGAGAAAATCATTCCAGTCATGCAGCGCATTCGGTTGATGTTTAACGTGTTTTTATTCTTTTGTTAATACAAATTAATGACGGACCACACATGTAAATATTCCCATTGCCTTAAGACATAGTTTTGCATGCAACGTTCGAAGCAAAAGCAAAGGGTGAACCCCTGGGTACCGGGTTGCGTTAGGATTGCTCAAGGTGCTCCAACAAGCAAGGAAGCGCACCAGAAAGGCATCATAAAACCACTCAAAGGACGTCATGGCTTTTCTGATGATGCATTCTCACCCATGGCATCAAGGTTATATGATCTTCTGACCCGAAACGTCTTCTGAATCGTCCCATTCGTCCGGTCTCATCCTCTAACTCCTCGCGCCCTTCCTGTCCCGGAGACCAAAGAGGGTTATTGTTCACGTCACGGGTGAGGCGAATGACACTTCGAGGCGACGTCGACCAGCGTGTGTATGTCGATCCGTCGGTGAGAACGACAGTCTGCTGAAATTGGGCGACAACGGGTTGAGGGAGGGCTGGAGCACGCTTCAAGTGGGATCTTCCATACGGGGAGGTTGATTTTGAACGACAGGAGATGAACGAGAGGGGTTTCCGTAAAAATGAAAACATTTTTTGAAAGTGTTCTGCCCCACACAGCCACAGTAAGATCCAGATTCTGGACGTATGGTTGCAATTGGCGCTGGTACACTATCAGTGATCCAGCTTCCCTGTCCCCGAGCCCTTCACGGGCTTCATATCGCTTGTTCTACTCGTTAACTAGCACTTGTCGCCGCGCGTCAATTACATTGACTTTGCAACGCTGCTAATTAATCGTTTGGGAATGGCTCTTTCTACGTATACATAAGGTGGCAAAGTGCGCAACTTCCGATAGAGCCTCGGGCGTTTCTGCGGTATTCGAGTCTCGTGCCCGTCTGATACTCCACAATTAACAATCAACGCTAGCTTTACGTTAACCCAACGGAAGCATTCCATTAAGCGCTTTGTGACTCGCATGCTTGGCGCTGATTCCACTGGGGACCTCGGGGGTGCTGTATCAGGATGAGCCGAGGATGTCAATGCCATGCTGCGTCCAATCTGTTCACTTGATTGGCCATTACTGTAAGTAATCACCATTGATGTATTTTGAGTTTTCTCACTTGCATACCCAGCTCTGGCGTTACATGTTACAATAAGACGAGGAATCTCACCATTTGAGCTTGTTCTTTGCCCCCATAAGCGGTAAATCCCGCATGAGCGCATGGCAACGAACTAGCAGTAAGCACATAGCTGTAAGAATGGTTACCCAACCCCTGATCTGCGAACGCTGGTTTCTTTGATGAGTGTATGATTCCTCACATTGGATCTTTCATTACATTGACGGATTGCCGATGGCATTCTAGGTGTCATTGACTTGAGCGTCAATACCACTGATACAATTGATACAACCAGCCCTGCTTGGATAACGTTTCCTAATTTGCGGCAGCTGTAAAAACACAACAGTTGCATTTTTAGTATCTCCTGTTATATATATCTCGGTCCCAGCGGTCGTTGCACTAAATTTTCATTCAATGGCAGCTAGTCTCTACACGCAACTTGTTTAAGTGGGCTTGTGAGCGCGCCGGATGCTAGGAAAGATCCCCCCCCTCTTTTCGACCACCTGTGCCAGTGGTCTGCTCAGAAAATAGATACTTCAAGACTTGAAGATGATCGTTCCACTCTCCATTACCTTATGGATCGTAACAAGCATCGCGATCCCATTCATTCCACCCTCGCCTATACTTGATCGTGGGGATACAAGTCCTCCTCTTGGACCGTTTAATGCTCTCATCAGCCCGTCTCTACTTCATGCCGAGTCACCCTCCGGCATTAATGGGACCGGTTTTCGTTCCTTGGGGCCGCAGCGGATTGTCCAGGAGGCAGTTGTGAGTCATTCATTCAGGTTATTATTTCTCAAGCTAATCAGTTGGCTTCTTCTCCGTTAAGTCACTTGTTCCGCCATCTCGTGCTGTTATGATGGGGAAATATGCGTATGATCACCTCCTCAGAACCCACTGAAAACATTTTTATTTACTCTTTTAGTGCTCGGATGGTGCTTGCTGTCATCAAGGCAATTACGTGGGTTCGCGGTTTATTCCACTGTGAAAAGAAAACCAACTGATAGAGGTTAATTTCGTGATAGTGCTACGGAACCGGGTGGGTGCTATAGGTTACGGGCACATGGACTAGATATTTATTTGCCCATTATCAGTTGCATTCCCAACGGAGGCACTCCTTGTGGGATCGGGCACTACTGTAAAGCAGGCTATCGCGTGAGTACATAACATTTCATCCGAGCAGATTATCTAAATTCAAGTTAGTGCTACCAAGACCAAAGGTTGGTAGAAACTCGTGCTTCCTCTTCGCTTCGCTACCTTAATTGGCCTTCATAGTTGTATTCCTGAGAATGGATTTCCATGCGGCCCGTTCAATTTCTGCTACAACGGGGAGACGTGCTGCAGTGATTTCGGTTGTACGTGGTCACAAGGAATCAGTTGGACACACACTTCGTTTCTTACAATCATACGTCTGCTCAAGGTTGTATATCAGGACTCACGTGTGGAGGGGATGGTTATTGCTACTTCGGTTCTCGAGTCGTGTCATCTGAGGCTGCAACAAGTGCCTCAGAAAAATTCACGTCTGTCTCCAGTGTCCAGCCTACCTCCCCCACTACTACCCCAGCAATCACAACGCCAAAATTCAGCACTCCCAAGTTCCCCACTTCAACATCTTCCTCTACGACCTCGGCACTCCCCACGATATACTTCGGAATGTACCAGGAATAAACGATGCGGTCAGTCGTGTTGTGAAGTCTACCCTAAATTCAGTTTTTGATCCATGTGTGCTTCCCTTCGTCAAAGGTCACTCAAAATATCTGCAACGGTAAGGATAATCTCTTTCTCCTATACGTATCGCCTTCTCAACCGGATATTTCGCAGGGTTGAGCAAGCGAGGGAAAGGGAATACGGAAGTATTGACATATGCCAAGCGAACCGAGAGCGAGAAAAACAAGATTCGCAACCAAGCTGGATGCGTAACCGGAAAGTGTAATTTTACGACCACAGGTCTCTCCTGCGACGAGGTATGCCAGGTGCTATAAGATGAATTCACATGTGAATGTTTCTCATTGGGCTATTGCAGTACCCCTTCGCATCTACGCAGGAAGGAGGCCCAGGTGCTCAAATTTCATGCGTTCCTGCCTACCAGAATACGCTCCAAGGGACTTATCTCAGTGTTTTCTATTCATACTATCACCTTTCGGACGGTGACAAGTTTGCGGTGCAAGCGAGTTGCTTTCACGCCGCCAAGAGGGCTTCCGTACAAGGATCCGGATCGAATGGTAAGTTGAATAGCGGTCTTTTGGGCCTCTTGTTAAATGAAGTCATCTATGTCCTATCAGGAACGTTACTTCCGCCTTTCGGCTCGAGCATAGACCCTTCCGCTGGGCATGTTGTACTTCCACTTGGTGATCTGCAAGCGGGAACGTAAGTTGAAGAGAGCGAGACGACTCAGTCGAGTTAGGTTGATCGTCACTTTGCCTTCCTTAGTTACACGATCCAGACGTCATCCCAACAGCTCGTCGGTATTGCAGGGAGCGTCATTATTTACGACTCGGATGGGGCGCAATTCTCTCAGTGAGTCCAGTAACGTGGTGAGATCTATATCGATTCTAAGGTCGTAACGAATTATGTTCAGAGCGTCCATTGGTAGCGATGGAAGAAACACTGAGAATTTCACCCTCTTTGAAGATGGAACAGGGTTAGGTGTCGTTATCTCTCCCCAGTCGAAAGTTACCGGTCCGCTCTCAGTTAATTATTCCTACACTGGCACTACCACTAGTATTCATGGTGCCAGTGGCTCTGGTCCGACGCCCAATCGCCCTGACTGGCTTGCCTGCTTCTGGGTTCTCATGATACCAGTCTTCATTCTGGTGTGGCTATGAGTTTATCAATGCCCCTACATTGTGTTCCGCTCTCCGCCTTCTGCCTCATGTCTGCAATTCTGTAACTCAAGCTCGGCATCAAGTATTTTCACGTTAAAATCATTTGTGTAGTTCTTTGTATGCTCTGCCAAGCCTGAGATACCTAAGTCTTGAGATCGATTTTTCCCTTTCCACTTTTGTGAGGACTCATGGTTGGGATGCGGTGCCATTTACCCAGCCACTCACCGATGTATTGCAGGAGATTCATTGTCGCCTCTTATTTTGACCTAGGATCATCGGGGTATGTAACGAGGAGTCTGCCGCGGATCACCTCTATCTCTAGCGGAAATATCATCACCTCTCCCACTGTCGCCCTGGCAATCTCAACGCCAAAATCCCCTCCCACTATATATAACCCCTTCTTCCACTTCTTTCTACGGCCCCGGCACCTGTGATAATCTACCTCGGGAACGTGGGGGATCGAAAGTGGATGCGGAAGGCCCAACGCACGTCCGGGGGAGGGGGAAGAAATTTTTCACAAAAGCGATTCGCATCCAAGTCGGGTGTGTCGCCAGAAAACGTAACTATGGCTCTTATGCAATGCATGAGACGATGGTTTACTTATCCATCAACTGAACTGTTTTTCTCATTCGTAATCCCCTTCACATCCATACACTCGGAGGGAGTAGTGATGCGCTGCAAGGGGTTTCGTGTGCTTGACAACGGGTTCTATCAGAAGCATTCCAGCGAGTCCGGCTGCCTGATTCCGTTAGACGCTTTGTGCATGGGTGATCGGTTCCAATTAGCAGTAGGAGTTCACTGGTCACCATAGGAACGTGTAGAATGGATGCCAGGCCCAACAGATCCTTGGCAAGTTATTCAATTGTCGCATTAAATTTTTATAGACTCAGTTCAGTGGTTCTGTTTATGTAACCCGATTGAGCCCAACCGCGAAACCGGGATTACCCAAAAAGGCTCTGCTTAGGTAAGCGATCACGTTCCTGAACAACCATTCATCTTATCTTCTATCGCATCCAGTGGTCATGCAAAGCCTTGTACACCTACCCTATTTAAGTGGGCGTGTAAGCGTACTCAGATGCTGAGGGAGAGGCCCTCTTTTTCGACCTCACGCCTACGTAAGATATAGGCAGGTCACCAGTTTCTATTGGAATCGTAAAGCTAGATGTTGGCAAACTTTAAGTTAATTGTCCCTGTCTCTATCATTACCGGATGGATCACAAAAAGCGCCGCAGACCCGCTCATTCCACCCTCCCCTGTACCCGGTCGCCGGGATACTCTTGGGCTATTTAATGCTCTCATCAGCCCGTCCCTACTTCTTGTTGAGTCCCCCACTGGTACTAATGAAACTAATTTTCAATCCCTTGTGGCCACTGCGGGATGTCAAGTTGGCACTTGTGAGTCATTCATCCAGGTTCTACTTTTTCGAACATAATCATTTAGCTTCTTCAAGACCCTTGTTCCCCCATTTCCTGCTGCTACGACGGATACACATGCGTATGATTACCTTCTTGAACCCATTGGAAAGATTTTTATATGCTCCGTAGTGCCCAAATGGTAAATGCTGTCCTCAAGGCACTTACGTGGGTTCACCGTTATGATCCACCGTGAAAGAAAACCAACTGATCAAGTTTCCGACAGTGTTATGGATCCTAGTGAGTGCGCAAGGTTAGAAGCACGTAGATTCGACATTTAGTGTGCACATTATCAGCTGCATTCCCAACGGAGGCACTCCTTGCGGGACCGGACACTACTGTAAATCAGGCTATCGTGTGGGTAACATTTCATATGAGCAGGCTTTAGTGATGTCTCAATTCAAGTCAGTGTTACCAAGGCCAAAGGTCGGTGGAAATTTGCGCTTCGTCTTCGCCCAACCACCTTCTATTGGACTTCGTAGTTGTTTCCTAATAATGGATTCCCATGCGGCTCGTCCCACTACTGCTATAACGGGGAAACATGCTGCAACACTGTCGAAGCTTGCTGCAAGTCTGGATATTACGTATGTGCATGTACTTTGATGCGATGTCGTTCTGCTAACGTCATTACAATAGTGTTACGGAAATGGGTTTGTTTGGCCGTATTGTGGAGGCTAGGTCTCTCATTATCAATAATCGACAGATGCATTCCGAATGGTGGGACACCTTGTGGTTTTGGTCATTATTGTGACCCTGGAACAGAATGCTGCGGCAATCAGAGATGTACGTGGCTACAGGCCTCGCCTACAAACACTTCGTTTTCACAACAACAACACATCTGTTTAAGGTTGCCCTTCGGGGAACACCTGTGGAGGGGATGGTTATTGCTATCTAGGTTCTCAGGTCGTCTCGTCTGCAAGTATCTCAGAAGACTCCACGTCTGTCTCCAGTGTCCAGACCTCCCCCACTACTACCCCAGCAATCACAACGCCAAAATTCAGCACTCCCAAGTTCCCCACTACAACATCTTCATCTACGACCTCTGCACTCCCTACGATATACTTCGGGAATGTACCAGGAATAAACGATGCAGTCAGTCGTACTTCTGAAGTCTACCTTAGATTCAGTTTTTGATGCATGTGCCTCCCTTCTTCAAAGGTTACTCAAAATATCTGCAACGGTAAGGACAATTCCTTCTATACATATCACCTTCTTAAAACGGGTATTTCGCAGGTTTGAGGAAGCGGGGGAAAGGGAATATGGAAATTTTGACATGTGCAAGCGAACCGAGAGCGAGAAAAAAATGATTCGCACCCAAGCTGGATGTGTAACCGGAAAGTGTAATTTTATGACCACAGGCCTCTCCTGCGACGAGGTATGCCAGGCGCTGTAATCGTGTACGAGATAGACCCACATGTGGGTATTTCTCATTGATATATGAAAGTACCCCTTCGCATCTACGCAAGAAGGAGGAACAGGTGCACAAATTGCATGCATTCCCGCCTACCAGAATACATTCCAAGGGAATTACCTCAATATTTTCTATTCAAACCATCGCATTATGGACGGTAATAAGTTCGCGGTGCAAGCAAATTGCAATCAACCCGCCAAGAGGGTTTCTGTACAGGGATCCGGATCAAATGGTGAGTTGACCAGAGGTTTTGGGAGCCTCTTATTGAGCGAAAATTTCCCTTGTTATCATGTTCTATTAGGGACGTTGCTTCCACCTTTCGGTTTGGGAATAGACACTTCTGCTGGGCATGTTGTACTCCCACTTGGTGATCTAGAAGCGGGAACGTGAGTTGATGGGTAAAGCCATTCAATCGAGTTGCGTTGATATTCTTGTTGCCTTCAGTTACACGATACAGACCTCGTCCCAACAGCTCATTGGCATTGCAGGGACGTTATTATTTATGACTCAGAGGGTGCACAATTTTCTCAGTAAGTCCAATAACGTGTTATGTTCATATCGATTCTGAGGCCGCTGCAATGAACTATCTCCAGAGCGTCCATTGGAAGTGATGGAAGGAACACTGAAACTTTCACCCTCTCTGAAGATGGAACGGGGTTAGGCGCCGTTATCTCTCCCCAATCGAACGTTACTGGTCTGCTCTCAGTTAACTATTCATACACTGGCACTACCACTAGTACTCACGGTGGCTCTGGTTCTATGCCCAATCGTCCTGATTGGTTTGCCTTCTGGGTTTTCATTGTACAACTTTCACTCTGGCCTGGCTATGAGTTTACTAACGTCCCTTGAACACTATCATTTGTTCTGCTTTGCTCTCCGACTCCCGTCAATGTCTGCGACCCAGTAACCAGATTTGGGATCAGGTGTTTCTCATCTAATCCATTCATTCGTGTCTTTGCGCACTCCAGTCAAGAGATATAAGACTCGGTTATCCTCTTGTCGGCCCCCATGCCCAATGTGCACTCCGAAACTAGTCTTCATATCATTGAATGTTCTGCACTCTATGCTGTGGGTACCGAGCTAAGAATGGACCACGGCAGGCATTGGGGCTCCCAATGCTTCACCTGAGCCGTAATCTTCAGAGGCTCGTCCATAGTCCCTGTGGGTGTGCGTTTCTGTCTATAGGCACACACTCCAATGGGGAATGGAGACACCAGCTCCAGCTATCGAATCATGCCAACAATTTGCCGTCGGATAGGGTTCGAGTTGCTATCACTGGTCTTGAGATATAATGCATTTCTTTCTTCTCACTTCCAGTATGCTTCAACTCGACGTTGATGCAAGGCCCCATTCTCGTCTGTGAGACTGCTCCTGACTTTGTGAGCCGCAGTTGACGTCTTGTTGCGTGCGGTTGAATGCTTCATTGATGCAGTGGCTGGACCCCGTCGGTCCCCGATACAGGGTGTAGTGTCAACTGAGTTTGCGACTAGTAGCCTGGCACAAACACGCCTGCCTCCAGCGACGATGTCACTTCTCCCACAGTCGCTCCAGTCATCTCACGCTAAAATTCTCTCACTCCCACTGCGACCTCTTCATCTGATGCACACGCTTGAGCTATTTCCCAGATCTTCCTCGTAGATTTATTGCCTTCTCAGCATGGTATTGTTTTTATTCAATAAGTGGGACGCCGAAGCCGTGATGTATGTTTGGGAGTGAAGAAAAAAAGGCGATTCACACTACTCAAGCTTCGTGCGTGAACGGAAAGAGTAATGTCTCATGAGATGAGGTGAATCGCTATGGTGATTCTCAATCATACTACCCCGTTGCATCTACTTATGCAAGAGTGGAGGTGCCGATGCACGGGTTTTATGCGTTCACGCCCACCGGCCAAGAAGGCTTCTATAGAGGAATCTCGTTCGGTTCTGATGGGGAGTTGGACAACAATCTTCTGAGCTACAGGCTCTCGTTCGATGGAACTTCCCTATACTAAATTCAAATATGCGTTATTATAAGTGAACGTTGTTTCCATCTTTTGTGCGGTCAGTGCACGTTGTGCTCCCACGTGGTAATTTTCAGGGGCATGAGTGTGCATGTCAACCCCCTAATAAGTGAATGTTGGGGAGTTCAACATCCAAAGGCAGCGTTTGTCCCCTGGACCGTGATATAACTTCAATTCCTATCTTTGGTTTTTTTTTTTTTTTTTTTTTTTTTTTTTTTTTTTTCTATCTTTGGGTTGTGGGGCGTCCATACCATTGATGATTTTTTTTTTTTTTTTTTTTTTTTTTTTTTTTTTTTTTTTTTTTTTTTTTTTTTTTTTTTTTTTTTTTTTTTTTTTTTTTTTTTTTTTTTTTTTTTTTTTTTTTTTTTTTTTTTTTTTTTTTTTTTTTTTTTTTTTTGACGTAATCAATACAATATGCACAAAATGCCGTCCGATGATTGCCCATAATTTCTCTTGACTACTTGTTTAGGTACTTTTTCGCTTATTGTTCGCTAGTTCTCTCGCAGTCGGCTTGTTACCAATGGTCCGGACTCATTTGGCAGACCAACCGCTCACTCCAGAACCCCCGGCGACACCCTGCGCTGACCAGCAAAAACAATTCCGCCGGTGGCGGGACCACCAAGTGAGGAGTCTCTAATAGATGGGTCACAGGTGACTATATCCATTGCCAAAGCGAAGGTGCAGTCTGTATCGTCCCCTGCAGCCATTGAGCTTGGGCCCGACCTGCATAGGGAGGCTGCTTAAGTGAAAGAAAGCGCAGCTTTTTTTGGTGGCCTCCCCGCTCAAGCAATAATGGAAGCGCCGTCGATCAGGAACCCTCAAGATCCAGTCCCACTTTGATTGACCAATCTTACCTGACTGCTGACTCTTCACCTTCCTTGCTGTGCTGGTCGTGGTATACAGGAATCTTCATGGTTACGTTACTCCGCGATGGGACCTTGCTTGGGCAGACACCCCTCAAATGAAGGGCATGTCGACGAAATATTTACATAGTAAATATCATGTTTTTCAACGAAGCCTGTCGGTGACCAACTTGGCGAAAGTAAAATGTACTCTTGATACAGAGGATAACGTTTTCACCCCAGATCCACAAAGACACGCCTCGATCCACACTCCGACTGTATTGAAGGCATACTTCTAGGGACGCGGGTCTTGAATCATCACGGAAAGTCCGCAACTACAACTTCCCCTTGTCTCGGATTGCCGTCATCACTGGTCATTCGCAACGCCGCTGCCCCTGGATCACCAGGAAGCTCTACGAGCCCCCGGCCCCCAACTCGATATCGCGCTGTGGGAATGGGCATCAGGGTGCCGATCACGTTGGTCAAACTCTCCTAATGAATTCACCGACAGATAGGTCCAAGGATCGAGGACAGGGGATATATTTGTGGATGTGAACAATATTGGACCTATGGTAAGCAAGAGATTGGAGGGACTTCTCAACACCGGGGGAGACTGACTTTCAGAAGGACCCAGACCCACGATTGGGGCGTTGCATCTTTCAGCTGGGTCATGTTAAGATCAAGTTTGCGGCTGTAGGTCCGTGCGCCCATGAACTACGGGACGTCGATATAATCTCTAACACCGACGTGGTGTAAATGGAGAAGGTGGAGACAGCCTAGCGTTGAATGTTCCAGAGTAGCTTTGAGTGTTCGAGTATCGTTGAGTGTGCAGGGGAGATTGTGGAAACTGGGATCGCAATAAATGCTGCTGCAATGAGGGCAAAACATGTCGTGTGTTCGCACCAACAGGGATGCACGATCGCGAGGGAACTTCATGTCTCATATGGATGCGTCACCTGCAAGCGGGAATTGGGAGTACCGGCACGGATCCAACGTCAGCCGGAGTCAACACACCAAGGCGGGCAGATAAAGGATGGAACCATGTACATAGCCTGCCTAACGTTTCGCTCTTCTCGGCCATCCTCCCGGGTCACATCGCCACACGGGTGTACGACGGGCACACAAGCGCCAGCGACCAAGCGCAAAAACAGCGATCAAGAACTCTTGAATGAATATGAGGTCGGGATTTCATTTGAGTCATAATAGCGGTATTTACAAATTCTTGATCTTGTGATGCCGATCTCTGGAGAGCAAGTACTCACAATGGAAGACTCGGGTGTTCTCGTACCGCAGACACAGATAAGACATGACCCATTTAAGTGCGTTGAGTGCTTTTGCCAGCAGTGAGACGCTCCTCTTTCGCTATCGCTGTTCGACAGGCAGACCTGATGAGAAAAATGTGTCAATTTCTTTTTGGCAGATTGCTCATGTTTTCATCGTCGCGTTGTTCATTGCAGCAAGCGCCGTCGCCGGTCCTTGCACTCCCCGCTTACCTATTTCCAACCGCGATTATACAAACCCAGCGCTTGGACCAATTGACGCGCTCAACAACCCTGTGCTCTTCGCTTTCCGCAACAGAACCAACTTCCAAGCACTTGTAGCGGCGGCTGGCTCATGTAACCCAGGCAATTGTAAGTCCCGTTTCTCGGACCAGCCGGCGCTTAGCTCCTTTTTTGCCGTCAAGTCTTCTGTGCTCCCAATTGGTGTTGTGCCGATGGGAATGTTTGCGTACGGCTATCTTCCTTGAAACACTTTACAGGTGTTCTTATCCGCTCCTTCAGTGCACAGATGGAAGCGGGTGTTGTCAGCATGGTTCTTACGTGAGTTTCCCATTTCGCTCAGGTTGTTTAGTGCGGTTAACTGAGTGTTTCTTCACCAATGCTGCTCGGAATAGTGTTATCAAAATGGGTCTGTTGATTATATGAATCCTAGTTCACTGTCTCATGGTAAACCCATTCTCCAGTTGCATTCCGAACGGTGGGACCCCCTGTGGTACCGGTCACTATTGCCAACCAGGAAAATCATGCTGTCAGAATGTCGGTTGTATGTAAAACCTTGCGCCGCTCATAGTCTCGCCGATCACCCACGATGACTATGTCGATTATTATAGGCTGCGACCCAGGGTATTCATGCGGACCTGACACCTCTTGTTATCCATCTGCGACGAGGACTATTACGAGGACTACTACGTCGACCACTACGTCTACGACTACTACTTCACACCCAGGAGTACCTTGCGGAACTGGATATTGCAATCCAGGCTATTATGTGAGTGCTCCTTATGAAAGCGAACCTTCGTCTCCGTATCGTCCTTATGCTGCTCGAAATAGTGTGCTGACAATGGGTCCGTCGACTATATGAATGCTAGTTCGCTATCTCATGGTAAACCCATTCTCCAGTTGCATTCCGAACGGTGGGACCCCCTGTGGTTACGGTCATTATTGCCAACCAGGAAAATCATGCTGCCAGAATGTCGGTTGTATGTAAAAACTTGTGCCACTCATAGTCTCCCCGATCACCCACGATGATCACAGGTTGTGACTCAGGGTATTCATGCGGACCTGACACCTCTTGTTATCCATCTACGACTACGACGACTACGACGAGTACTACGACGACTACTTCGTCTACGACTACTACTACAAACCCAGGAGTACCTTGTGGAACTGGATATTGCAATCCAGGCTATTATGTGAGTGCTTCTTATGAAAGCGAACCTTCGTCTCCGTATCGTCCCGCTTATGCTGCTCGGGATAGTGTGCTGACAATGGGTCCGTCGACTATATGAATGCTACTTCACTATCTCATGGTAAACCTGTTCACCAGTTGCATTCCGAACGGTGGAACCCCCTGTGGTACTGGCCATTACTGCGAACAGGGATTAACATGTTGCCAACCCGGTGTCAGCTGTATGTAACAACACAAGAACTTGTAGTGTCCACAATGACTGTGTCGATTACAGGCTGCAATCGAGGATACTCATGCGGATCGGATGGTACTTGTTATGCAAGCACTTCAACTATTACGACCACGACTACTACCACGACTACTACCACCCCTACCTCTACCTCCACCACCTCCACCACTTCTTCTACTACTACCACCTCTACGACAGCTACTACCACTTCCATCATTCAGACCTCTACGACCACTGCCCCTACTTCATCGACAACTCCGGCACTACCAACGATCTACTTTGGGAATGTGCACGGAATAAACGATGCGGTCAGTTATGCCTCCGAAGTCATCGCCTTTCGTGTTCAGCCCTTGACATAGCTATGTTTCTTCATCGAAGGTCACTCGGAATATATGCGATGGTGAACAATCTCTTCTTCATAGCACATTTGTCGCATTCTGAAACTGGTATTACCGCTTTTGGAGGTTTGAAAAAGCGAGGCAAAGGGAGCTCAGAAGTTTTAACATATGCCCGGCGAACTGAGAGTCAAAAGAAAACGATTCGCGATCAAGCTGGATGCGTTGTTAGCAAGTGCAATTCGACTGTCACAGGCCTCTCGTGCAATGAGGTGCGACTGGAAATTTACGACATCCAAAATGAAGTCCCGATGCATTTTACGATAGTACCCTTTCGTGTCCACACAAGAAGGAGTTGCCGGTACACAAATTGCATGCATCCCTGCCTTCCAGAACACGTACCAGGGAACCTATCTCAATTATTTCGTTTCCCAATATCATATTTCGGACGGCACGAAGTTCCTTGTTCAAGCAAATTGTGATCAATTGACCAAGCGTGTTTCGGTTACGGGATCCGGCTCAAGTGGTGTGTTGTACAGCCCAACCAGTCATGCCCGGCACACTTTTTCGTCCAACTAATACTTGGGAGGTCCGCAGGAACACTACTACCACCTTTCGGCTTAACCTCGGATAACTCTTCCGGGCATGTTGTACTTCCACTTGGTGATGTGCAAGCGGGGGAGTAAGTATGGAGAAACTGCTTATTCAAGCCGCAATATTAATTCTGTCCTTTTCCCTTGCGTTCAGTTACACGACACACACAGCATCTGACAAACTTGCCGGCGTCGCAGGGAATATTGCCATTTACGATTCGGATGGCGCAAACTTTTCTCAGTGAGTTTGATAGTATGATGAATGACAAGGAGGATTTCTGTTCTGACGACGTTGTGATGGACTGTCCCAGAGCGTCCATTGGCCAGAATGGAGATAACTCCTTGACTTTCACCCTCCACCAAGATGGGACAGGATTAGGTGCTGTAGTCTCACCCCAATCGCCCATTAGTGGGAACATATCAGTCAACTTCAACTTCACTGGTAACCTCTTTTCGCGAATCAATGGTTCTAGTCCTGCACCCAACCATCCAAATTTGGTGCTCTTTTTCGGAGCGTTCATTGGACCGGTCCTTCCTCTGGTTTGGCTATGAGATCGCATACACCTCTTGATTACATCATGCTCCAACTTATGGCAAGGCATTTTATCTGTTGTGTTGATTCTCTTTCTCGGAAATGGCATTCACGTTAGTGAATGCTCCTGTAGCTACAACAGTTCATGAAAAGTTCTTGAGCCCCGGACCCGGACCTAAAATAAAGTCTCACAATTCTATGTTGGTGACAGGATCCTTTCCTCACCCAGCTGTTTTGCCACCCTTCCACCTTGCCAAGAGTGGATGCTGCCCATGGTACATGGAGAGGATGGAGGCACCTAGCATTGAGTGCTGTGGAATCTGGAGTAGACAAATAGAGATTGTGCAACTGGGGTCGTGATAAGTAGTACTCATGATGCTGCAATGATGTCAGGGGACGATCCCTGGGTCCCCATGACCCCTCTCTATGGCCCACAGCCTATCCTGTAAGCAGCCCTATCCAGGGCATAGTCCTACTGTGGGTAAGAAAGTGAGAAGAAGGTTAACTTCTCACTTTCCCACAGTGGCCCCAATATGGCGAAAACTTCCAGGGATACCCGGAAGTCACATGAGGGCAGGATCCGGGGCCGGATCATGCGGCACACGGCATGGGAAGTCAAGTGTAGTGGGTCCGGGTCTGGGCTAGTCAGGGTGTGTACCCTGACAAATGAGGACACAGCAGGGGCTTAGTGGGGAGTGAGTTGTGAAGATGGGTGAGTTTTCCTATCCCTGCTAAGCTACTATAAAAGGAAGTGGACTGTGTGTCAGGATCCGGACCCCTGCTGGGAGTGGCCAGAGAATGAGGCCGGGTGTGGAAGCTGGGGTACTCTCCCCAGCTGCTAACTCAAAGTCCCTGAGGGGACTGGCCTCAGCCTTCACAGGGAATGAGCTGAGAAGAAGGGTAAGCTTCTCAGCCCCCTGTGGGGCTGACACAAAAGGACCCTAGGAACTACAGTTGAAACTGTGATAACCCATACCCTTGCATTCCCAGACTTTAGTATGGGTAATGACAGGTTATGCGGTACCTCAAATATTGGCAAGGTCTAAACATTAAGATTATGTATCTACATAAAGCCCTTCTACACAACCTTTTTGAAGTATGAATCGAGTGTACTGCTGTGGAGTGATGACTGAACTTGGTGATGGGTCTCGCATCCAAACTGACCTAAAATGACTTCCATCTTCCATGCAAACGAGGAATGTATTTGTTTGGTGTAAGTCATTAGCAAAAGCGCTGCCTGAAGAGCCTCCTGATGTGAGACAACTGGTGTATCATCACCGGAATCATCAGCATCGTGGGCCCCTGCCAAATCCTTGTCCCCATGTTCCCATGCCTCGGACATGGCATCAAAGATGTCATTGTCAGAGACATCATTAATGTGAGTGGTCTCCAGTGGATTGTTTACCAGTTCCGCTATACTCATTCTATTTCTCTTGTGGAGGGCCCCAGCTGACTCGAGAGCATCCAAACCTTCCTCCACACAAGCACTGGCAGTGGCAATTGGGTCTGCGGTGCCCAAGTTATCCCTCTCACCCAACCCTGGCCTGCTTCCTGCTCTGCTGCTGCCAGGCAATGAAGGTCTCTCTGAATTAAGAAGCATTGACAGAGGCATGGCCACTCTTTCAGCCTGCTTGAACAATGGCAGGATTCTGGCCTTTGCCCAACAGTGGTGAATTGTGTCTGAGGTGACCTTCATCCAAGCTGTCTGTGCTAAGTGCATTGCCTCGAGCTGGTCGATGTCATAGATCTTGCTGGGTGTTACTCCGGAGTCATAATGGTCAATTGCATGACTAATGAACTGGCTCCGATAATGTGCTTTGAAGCAGTGGATGATCCCAGCATCCATTGGTTGCACATGTGCAGTCAGATTTGGCGCAAAGAATTCACATTGTATGTTAGTCAAGCTGTCTTGGATGGTGTGGCCTGAAAAGTTATCATGTAGATAGAGAACATGCTGCCCTTGAGCACGGAGTTCGGCATCCCACTGTCTGAGGTATGCAGAGTAAATTGTCGAGGTCATCCAGGCCTTAGCATTGTTCTTGTAGTCAAATCCAAGCTCATATCCAGTCCTTTTCTTGAAGCATCGAGGCTTGAATGCTTTGCCAATGATGAGGGGATCATGTTGATCAGAACCAGTGGCATTAGTGACAAAAAAATATGTCAAGCATGCTTTATTTCCTCTCAATCCTGGGGTTGGGCCCTTACTTAAGCCTTTGTCTGGTGGCATTCTAGGAGATCTATTGGGGACTGCTTGAGGAAGGGCTAGTTTAGCACTCACGAGTAATAGAGTCCTGTCTCATCACCATTGAAAATATTTTTGAGGGGATATCCAGACAAGAGCTCCTGCAGATGGATCTGCTCAGCAGCAACATCTTCAGGGCTAGCTGAGCCTGCTTCATCATGACACTTGCACAGGTGGAGGCCAAGCCTATTCTTGATGGATTCCAGCCAACCATTGCTCATCTTGAGTTGATCCTCCAGTGTGATACCAGCGTGGTCAGAAAACTGCTTGAATTTGGCTCGGAGTACATCTCCAGTGAGGACAACCCCCTTTTCCTCTGCAGCAACAGTCCATAGCTCCAACATTTCTGTGACCATTGGAAATGTTGTATGCTGGATGCGCTTGAACCTCCTGGCATTGTCTGACCTTTGAAATTTTTCATGAAGCTTGGCCTCATCCTTCACCCAAACAGAGACAAGAGGCTGCTTGATTTTGAGATTGGGATAAATGGGGTTGAAATGCTTGGCAGTCTTGGTTTGGTTCTTTCCATTCTTGTGATGCCAATCGAGAATCTCAATACGTTGCCCAAGTGTAGCAATCTCTTTATGAGTGAAGCCCGACCCCTTCTTTGCTGGTGGTTCTTCATTTGTATCTGGAATAGCTTTCTGAATGCAAGTTTCCAAGTTGTCAACCTGTTCAACACACCTTTTGAGTTGAATTTGCGTCCAGTCTCTGGCATGGCATCTGCAACTGCCTCCGAGTTGTGATTTTTGGCACTGCTTGCAGCTTGCATGCACCGAGCAGTTGCCTTCCGGTTATCTGAAAGGGACTCAAAGGCAATCTGGAAGTTTTTTGCATGTTGAAGCTCAGCAATGAGCAATGTCTCATTGGTGAAGTTTGCAGCATGTCAGGAACGTGCCAGAAGCGTATCCGGGTGACCTGCGAGGCGCGTGAGGTCGTCCGGGCTCGTAAGGTCGGAGGGGCGGGACTTTAGCTTCAGCGACTCGGGTGGAGCGCTGCGCTTCGTTCTTATGTTGGTGTCCCAATTTCAGACAGAAGCCTTATGATGAGGATAAGAGTTTAGAGGGGGAATCCAAGTCGATATACGAACTGAGGTACATCCGGTGTAACCTACACGCATTATAAACACAAGTACCTAAATGAGACCGGCCCGGAAGGAGTGGCGGATCAAGCGCGATATTAATGAATGAAGAAAGGAACAAATAGTTAATATCGGCAAACTTGATCAACAAAAGGCAAGCAAGGAACAAAAGGAAAGAACAATAGTCCGTAAGCGGACAAAAGAGAAAAGGCCATCCGGCCATCTAGCAAGCCGTCCGGCTGGGGGCAGACAACAAGAAGCGGGCAACCTAGGTTGGTAGGTACGCGCGCGAGGGAGGAAGTGCGGATGAGGGTGACGGGTGGACGGATGGGTGGACGGATGATGATGATAGCGGGAGGGACGGACCAAGTGGCACTAGGGCGCATGGAGGGAAGTGACGGATATGTCGGGTCGTGACAGTATCCCCTTCTTAGGGCCGACGCCCCTGGAGGCCCAATTGGTGCACGTGGGAATCGTTCGGCCAATTCCGAATTTGAATCCGCGTGTGAAATCAAACATTCGCTCCATCAATTTGACTAAGTCCAGTCATTACTCAACAGTTCTACTCAATACCCTGCCTTCCATGTCCAAACATCTTGACCTCCTCAACATCGCATCCTGGGAGGAAGAGGATATCCAAGAGGCGACGGATGACGAGGAGGATGATTGGGACGAGGATGGGGGTGATGTGGAGAAGTGGGGTGAGGCGATCGTTGATGCCCTCAGGGAGCTGACCGACGCTGTGAAGCAGTTGCCCAGCGAGGTCGCCAAGATTATGTGGGAGGAGAGGTCGAGGAAGAAGAAGGAGAAATCGGACGGTGGGGGAGCGGGTGACCCGCTCACATATACTTCCCGTGGTGTGGGCGCGTCGCCCTGATTTTTTCATCATTTTTTTTGTTTTTTTGTATATACCTCCATTTGTGCCATACCCTAGTCAAACATGGCCAGTTGACGTGTGAGCACTCTAAGAAAAGTGAGGGCCCGGCTTGTCAGGATACAGCGCGTGGAAGTCAGAAACCAAGTCAGAGGCATGGCCAAGCTCTGTGGCCGGCAACCAAGAAGTCTCCTCGTCCATCCCATCATACCCGAGCCAACGTACCAGGTACAGTAACTTACAGTTACGACGCCTACGATCCAGCTTTGAATCCAGTATTTCAGCAATCTCATACTCAGGTTCACCGTCGATCTCAACGGGCAGGGGCGGAGGTTGTACGCGGTTGGGAATGGTGTTGGGGACGGCCGGTTCGAGTTGGGACACATGAAAGACCGGGTGCACAGCTCTCATAGTCTCAGGGAGGTGGATGGTGCGGGAGTGGGTTCCTGGCGCAGCAATGATCTCAAAGGGCCCGAGGTTCTTTTCTGAGAGTTTCTTCGAGGGTCGGGTGGATCTAAAATACTTAGCCTTAACAAAGACCATAGTACCAACCTCAAAGTTGGGTGCGGGTGAACGTCTAGCGTCCGCAGGGCCCTGATAACGCCGTTGCGCTGAGGACATTTC